GAGACTTTGTGTTAAGGATGTGATGGATATGATAATGGTACATACTGTTAAAACACTAGACACTATGGCACGATGTGGCCTTGAGAATCATCATTGAGATTTCCCTAAGTATGGTCACGATGATGGACAACCAAAGTTATTACTGGTGCCGAGAGTAGAAAAATTTAATGATGAAAAGTACGAGGTCATCCATGTCCATCCTTGTCCTTGGTACCTCTGATTGAACCAGCGCGACTGGATAGAATTGGTGGTGGTCGAAAGAGGGGAAGGGTCTGTATGAGGTATGCGCAAAGCAATTCCTTATTGATGAGTTTCTCATGAAGTTCATCGAAGGAAATTGGTGTGTCACACCCATTGATGATTTCAATAATGGGTTTATACTCTTCATCAAGTCCATCGAGAATGGTTTCGATGAGATCCTTAAGATCCACAGGCTTGCCAAGAACAACGAGTTCATCTGTACATGTCATGATAAATTGCATATAATCAATGATGGTGCGGGTTCCCTTGATAATCTATTTGATTTGGTTTTTTATTTGCTTGATTTGTCCACACTAGAATACGTATTGGCAAGAAGCTTCCATGCCTCGGAGGATGTCATGGATTGAGAAATCAAGGGAATAAATGTTAGTGAGAGAGAGAGCCAACAAAAGCACCAAAAATTAGTTTGTCTTGATGCAACCAAGTATGGTATTTGGGATTAAGTGACGCTACAACTTCAGCCATGATTGTCATAGGGTGAGCGAGATGAGAGCTATTGATGAACTTGTAGAGGTCATAACCGTTCAACAGTGCCTCCATCTAGAGTTTCCATGATAGATAGTTAGTGAAAGTGAGTTTAATGGAGTTGTTGATGCTGATGACCGTAAGAGGTTGGCTTAGTTCTTTTATGTTGGGAATGGTAAGTTGATTATTTTCATTGGTCATGATTAAGAAGGCGACAAGAAAAAGGGCCAAGGAAGAAGATAGGTTAGGGTTTGAGGGTTATCAGAAATCGATGCTTTGCTACCATACAAAGAAGGGCATCATGAGAAGTAATTACCACCTGTTATTTCAATAGATACAATTAGATATATATATATATATATATATATATAGGATACAGTGAGAGTGCTATTTGGGAAAGTACAAAACAATAGAAGCTAATTCAGCTAATAACACGAACTATATAAGAGGCAATTACAACATAATAATAATATATGCTAATCTTAGCTTTGTCCTCCATCACTTACTATTAAAATAAAATAAACATTGTAATTTTTTATTTTTCTTCTATCTTTTTCCATCCATTTTAAATATAAAAAGCAAATCAGACTTTAATTAAATTAGGTTTTATCCGATAGTATATATAACTTCATGCGTCCTATAATAATTAGTTTTAATTGATTCCAAAAAGTTCAATACACTGTAACTTTAATTTTGATCTATTTTTAAATTGATGTTATTTACTTAAGATTTCGAAAATTAAATTATAAGAAAATAAAGGTTTTATTTATTTTTTTGACAACTTTTTTCTATTTTAATTAATTAGCATTCTAATATTGAAGGAAAAAAAGTCAAAAAATATGTTTTATCTACCTTAAAAAAATCATAAATAGCCGGTTATTATGGAAGGGAAAACTAAATATTTTTTACTTGACCAAAACGATAACCTAGCCATAAAGGTACGTTGTTTCATGTTTGAGTTGCAGACTTCGGCGCAAATTTGGACCCCATCCCAACAGAGTAACCAGGCCCGAAAAATTAAGATGAGGTTGCAAGAATCTTATCTCCAAAAAATTAAGACGAGGTTGAATGAATCTATTCTGGGCTTGAATTAAATAGCCCTTCATTTTATTGGTCCCAACTGAATTGCTTAAAAGCCCAATATTCACTCTTTTGGGCCCATATGGGCTTGAATTAAATAGCCCTTCTTTTGTCATGGGTCCCGAACTGAATGGTATAAAAGCCCAATATCACATTTTAGGGCCTATTGAGCTTGAATTAATAGCCCTTCGATTGTCATGGGTCCCGAACTGAATTGCACAAAAGCTTAGTATTCACGTTCTAGGGCCGAGTTGTCAGAGCAGACTCCAAAACAGTTGCCTGTGGACTTTGTGGTTGGTTCTTTCAAGATTACGAAAGGCCGAAAAAACAAAAAAAAGGAAAAACCCTTTATGACCCCTCTATCAAGAAAGAAAGAAATAAATCGGTTATTACTGATTTTTTATACCAACCTGTCCTGACCATTTCACAAACAATGCATATTTACCAGCTCTCGGAAATCTCACCTTTTTTTCCTCAGAGATGTTGGAAAAAGTCTTAGATTAAACTTGGTTTAGAATAAAACTTAAAACATTTTCAATTACATAAAAACGGATTGTATATTAGATAGTTTTTTTTAATGAAATAAATTTGAGTTGTAGTAATTTCAATTTATTTAACTATTATATAATAAAAATAATCTCGTTATATAACAAGGATCCAATTGATTTTATAATGAATAAAAAAAATTACTCTCTCTGTCTCAAAATAATAGTCTTATTTTAAAAAACTTATTAATTATAACGTCATAATAGTATTTTTTTAATCATATTTTTTAAAATATATTTTTTATTTAAGGAAAAAATAAATCCAATTAATCCTACATTATATAAACGTTAAACAAATAAATATTTTAAAATTTTGACTTTAGATAATTAAATAGAAAAAAATATTTTTAGACCAGAAAAAATAGTTATTTATTGAAAAAATCAGTATGCGTAACAATGATAGATCTGAATAGTGTTTGGTTTTAAAATTTTGACTTTAGTTATGAAGTATTCTATTTTGACAAAGTAATGTGATTTTCTTCTTTAATAGTTTGCCTTTGTCCTTAAAAATATATTGTTTTCTCTAAGTAGAATTTTTGGTTAGTCAATGCAGCTGAACTAATATATATATATATATATATATATCGTGTTTTTTTACATGTACTTGTATGTGTGTATTTGTTGCTTAAAAAAAAAAAAAAAAAAAAGATTAAACATCACTCCATAATTTTGTGCATGAAGGGTGTTTGAAATGCGTAATACCGATGACATATGTTTTACTGATTGAGTAAATAATAAATTAGTTCGTTTAATTTTGAGAAATTAATTAATTATTTAATTTTTTTATCGGCGTTAATTACATTTAATTTAATATTATTTTATTTTAAAAAATATTTTTTCTTAATAATCTTTTAATATTTTTACTTTTTTATTTATTAAAATTAAAATTAAAATAAATTAAAAATATAATTAATTGAAAAATTAAAAATATAAAAATTAAATAATTAATTTTTAAAATAAAAGGTGCTAATTTATAATTTACTCATCGACCATCACCTGTATGGTAATATATCCCAGACTCTCCCCTCCCCCATATGTGAGTTTGTTATTGAAAGAAAAAAATATTTATGAAAACAATGACAGATTAAAGTGATGGTCAACTGGTCACATCCTTAGCAGGACTCACCTAACATTAGTTTGTAAGCATTGCTTTTAGGTCCTCATTCATATAATATTTCCGGCCAATAAATTCTTTTTTTCAACGTATACATATTTATAAATAATAAAATATTTTTAAATTAACTTCGACATCGATCTTAAATTTATTATTTTAGAACTAAATTAGCATCAAAATATTTTCATTTTTCATTTTTTTTAAAAACAAATCAGTTCACATATGATATTATAAAAAAATAATTATAACTAATTATATATAAATAAATAAATAATTAAATCTTAATTTTAGTTACATCAAAATAATTTTTTTTATCACTAAATAACATCACATCTCTTATCAACATATAGATTCCTATTTCCAAATATCTTGTTTTTACTTAAAAAATAGACTTACGTTAATAATAAAAATAATAAAAGGATGCGAAATTAGCCGGTTCGGATACGAATATTAAATCGGTCGCGTGATGTAATGGGCTGTTGGTTCTCCTTGTACCCTTTCTTTGTGTAGAAATGTTGAATTCCAAATCTTTGAGAAACTTCGGATAATAATTTATTAATACAAAACGTAACAAACTGTATTTGACGATATCGTTAGCGGTTGCCAGATAATTTCTAAGTTGTTGCAGAGTGAGCACAATTTTTTTTTTTTTTTTTGTCAAAGACTATTTGTTAGAACATAAAAGCAAAAATATAAAGTGACAAAGATATGTTGGTCAATGGGAGTTCATTGAATCCATTTCGTTAGAAAAAAAGAAAATGAATTCCATTAATCCAGCTGTGGTCACGCGATCAACTACCACTCTCTGCATCATTAAATAGACCGTCCTTCCCAATTCACATCATTTAATCCATTTCTAAAATACTTTTTATCACGATTTTTTTATCAAAACACTAGAATTATTTAAATAATTTACATATAATTAATTTTTGTTCATAAAATATAATTATAAGTCAATCAAATATAGAGATTTTATTTTTAAATTATGTGACTAATTTCAATAATTTAATTAAAAATCTTATCAGAAAAATAAATTAAACAGTTAATGTATATTAAAATAAAATTTATTCGATTAAAAATATAAAAATAAATCAAATAATTATTTATTACATAAAAGCAGATTAAACCATTAATTCCGTATTAGGTAGGTTTAAGATTTTATCAAAAAGCGACTTAATGTTCATATTATGCAGAAAGTGGTCATAATACCTGCACTCAACAACCAAATCACTGTATGTTCGTGTAATAAGCACATGTGGCAGCCATGCAGTTTAAAGTACAGAAAATATCATGATAAAAAATGCATGTCATTTTTAATTGGTCAATGGGAATTCATTTAATCCATTTTGTTAGAAAAAAGAAAATGACTTCCATTAATCCAGCGGTGGTCACGCGATCAACAACCGCTCTGTGCATCATTAAATAGACAGTCCTTCCCAATTCCCATCGTTAAGCAGACTCAAGAGGGCAACTTCTTTTCAAAGGACCCATTTTCACTCTGCCTCTGTCCGAACAGAGTCTCAGCTCTCAAACTCATGGCTCAAACAACTCCAAACCACACACAAACTGTTTCCGGCTGGGCAGCCCTTGATTCTTCTGGCAAAATCGTCCCTTACACGTTCAAAAGAAGGTAAAGAACATACCCAGTCACTTAAATTTTTCATTACACTTGGTTCTTATGCTAGAAAAGAAACCAGTAGTAAACAGTGGACTCGATTTGTATAATAAACAGGGAGAATGGCGTCAACGATGTGACTATAGAGATTTTGTACTGTGGGATATGCCATACGGATCTCCATTTTGCAAAGAATTCTTGGGGCATTACCATGTTCCCTGTTGTCCCCGGGTAACAAGTTCTTAACGTCCAATAGTATTTCTTCTCGTGCAAACGAAACAGTATTATCGTACATTTGTTTTTCTCGAGAATTTTAATGTTTGAATTGTATTACAGGCATGAAATTACTGGGATAATCACGAAGGTGGGGGGAAATGTAAACAAGTTCAAGGTGGGAGACAGGGTTGGAGTGGGGTGCTTAGCAGCTTCATGTTTGGAGTGTGATTTCTGCAAGAGCTCAAATGAGAACTATTGTGACCAGATACAGTTGACATATAATGGTATTTTCTGGGATGGTAGCATCACTTATGGTGGCTACTCTAAATTTCTGGTTGCAGATCACAGGTAAATTTGAATTTTGAACAGTCTTGATTAATTAATTAATCGCTTTAATGTCCTACCTAACGTCAATTTGTCCTGTTCTTCACAGTTTCCTGTGAAAAAAACAATAATCGAAGTGTGAAAAATAGTAACCATTTTTGTTATTTAATAGCAGTCATTTTCCGGTGGGTGAAACCGAGGTGATTTGGTCCTACCACTCCATGACTGAACCTTCTAATTTTTGGGCAAACCTCGAATTAACAACTAACTACAACTCAAATCTGAATTCAGTACTCTCTCTCTTTTTTTTTAAATAATCTCAATAAGATTTCTAAACCATTCGAAAATACTCCATTGAATTTTCCTTCTAAATTCTTCAGAAATTTTAACAAAAAAAATTGTCCTTTTTAAGAAAAAATTGTACAATTTGGACGGAATTTGTTAAAAAATATGAATAAAAGAATTCAACTGAGAATTTTCTACAACTTTAGAGTACCCAATTGAAACAAAAAATTGTTTGTGGATTCTATCAAGAATGTCTACATAGGTTGGGAACTTATTTGAGGTTTGCCCTTTATTTTTCTACACAAATTTTATTCATGGAAGATCAGGGAGGCTCTTCCATCCATGTGACCAAATTATATATTTCTGAACTGAAGCCAGTAATTTTTATCCTAGCGTAGAAGGCTCTTTGTTGATTGAAACTTGTTAACATTTGAAAATTATGCCTACAGAAAACGAAAATACATTTTCTCAATTTGTGAAACTTTTACATGAAGGTATGTGGTGCGGATACCAGAAAACCTGCCAATGGATGCAACAGCGCCTCTGCTCTGTGCAGGAGTTACTATATTCTGTCCTTTTAAGGAAAGCAATTTGGTCGACACACCAGGAAAAAGGATCGGAGTAGTGGGTCTTGGAGGTCTTGGACATGTAGCTGTCAAGTTTGGCAAGGCGTTTGGTCACCATGTAACTGTCATCAGTACCTCTCCATCTAAAGAAAAAGAGGCCAAAGAACGCTTGGGAGCTGATGATTTTATTATCAGCACTAATCCCGAACAATTGCAGGTTTGTCACCATCTCCTTCCAAGATTCCACCAAACATGCTATTGTCTCCATTTATATTTTGTCCACTTTATATCTAGATCGCCTGTCAATTGGTTTCGTCATGGTCTAGATAAAAGCCAAAAAGTCATGCATGGGAGATGCGATCGGCTGTTTATTACTTTTTTTTTTTTTTTTTTTTGGGTGACAGGCAGCTAGGAGAACTCTAGATTTTATCGTGGATACAGTGTCAGCACAGCACTCTCTGGGGCCAATACTAGAATTACTCAAAGTAAATGGAACATTAGCAGTCGTGAGCGCACCAGACAAGCCGATTGATCTGCCAGCTTTTCCTCTGATATTTGGTAAATTAAATAACATGCAATCTCTTCTCTAATTTTTCCAAGCTTAAGTGGCTAAGTGATACATATATGATCAAAATATGGAAGAGTAAACAAGGGTCTTTCTCTTTTGCTTTCTTTTTTGTGTGATTTTCCCAGGCAAGAGAACTGTTAAGGGTAGCATGACCGGATCGACGAGTGAGACGCAAGAGATGCTGGATGTGTGTGGCAAGCACAACATAAGCTGTGACATCGAGCTTGTGAAACCAGACAACGTCAACGAAGCTTGGGACCGCCTTGAAAGAAACGATGTTAGATATCGTTTTGTCATTGACATTGCTGGAAAGTATTCAAATCTTTAGAGATGCAGAATGCTCCCTCACATATAGCATTTCCTTTTGTTTTATCGGTCTTGATTTTGTTGGCTTCTTTGCTTTAGTATATGTTTGGTGCTGTTGCCTATAATAAACAATCATTGCGAATATGGGTTGGCTCATTGTTTTGTTTTTTTAAAAAAAACAAAAATAAAATAAATTGATAAATTGTCTTAAAATTCACTTTCAAACTTGGGACGGGGAGTCCTAGCACCAAGCGTATCGAGACATTTGGTCACCCGTCATTCCTCACAGGAATAGAATCTGATTCCGGCGGACCAAAAAAAATAAAATAAAATAATTATTGGCAACCACCACACCCACTAACCAGCCACAAGGATTCCAACATTATAAATCATTAATTTAATTATAATCCACGCTAAAAACTAAAAAGTTATGCTCACAAACCCATGACCAGTCTATTGCCTTTGACTTTAAACATTCATTCAACGAGAAAGAAAAAATCAAGCGCGGCGTTTTACAACTAGCAAACAAAAAGCGGACCACGTGACACAGCAAAGTATTTGTTTCGTAAATATTAATTTTTTTCCTACAAATTAAATAAAATATATAAAATTATTTAAAAAAATATTTCAGTTTCATAATCTATATTAAAATATAAATCTATAAAATCAAAGGTTTAAAAAAATTATTTATAATTTTTTAATCAAAAATTTGTATTTAACTATTTATAATTTGTGTTTTTCATAATTTTTTTATTAGAAAAAGGATTTATTCTTGTTAATTCATGAATTATTAACTAAGAATAAAATTAAATAAATTTTTTTAAAAAGCTTTAGTATTTCATAAGATTTCATATAAAAAAATAAATTAAAACTCGTTAGTAAATAAAATTTTAAATTAATTGGATGAGAATTTAAAAAAATGATAAATTAAAATAATAAATTTTAAATAATAAAAATAATTAATAAAAAATATTAAAATAAAATGAGACCAAATCACAATACAAATGAATTTTGAAATCGAAAAAAATATATAAAAAAAATTAAAAATCAAAGTATTACAACAATGCCATGAATAGTGAAAGAAATAGTGATTTGTGAGTATGTAAATAGTAAAAATTATTTTGTTTTAGTGTTTTTTATAATATTTTCAAAAGTAATTTATATGAGTAAATTATAAATTAATTATTTTAGTTTTGAAAAATGAATTAATTATTTTTTAAAAAATCAATTATTTAGTTTTTATATTTTTAATTTTTTTATTATTTAAAAAATTTCTCTCATTTTCAATTAATTTAATTTTTTATTTTAAAAAATATAAAAAAATAAGTAAAAAAATGAAATTTTATCAAATAAAATAATATTAAATTAAAAAAATCAACACTACTCAAATAATCAAATAATTAATTTTTCAAATAAAAAAATAATTAATTTTTTTTCAAAAAATAAAAAGACTAATTTATAATTTACTCCCATTTGCATGCATGTAATTATGCTAACAATAGCACCAAAAAAATATGCGTGTGCGCGAGCTAATCATACAGCATCCTTTTTAATTTTAATTTAATTTTATTTTTTATTGGTCTTTGATGGATTATAATAAAATTTGTGTACGACTTTAATAAAAGAGTATTGGGCTAAACAATTTATTAGCACTCATAGTTTAATTTAACAGAACGGACGAAAAATAAACAGTGAATAGATGGAAAGGCCCCCTCATCCGTTGGTCGTGTTTCCAAGGCTGCATACACCTTTATCCCAAAAAAATAAAAAGTTGCATTGACCTTCGGGCTTTGAACCGTACCTTCGTTTTGGGTGCAATAGCAAATGAAGTGGAGTCATGACCTCATGGAGGGAAACCATAAGATGGGCTTTAAGCCCGGAAAAACTCAAGCTGTCTTAAAATTGCTCTGCGAGCCCAGAATCCATATTAGAATGAATTCCTCACTGGTCAAATTTGAAATTAATTGACACAAATTAAAACCTCTACTTTAATTGAGGCGCATCACATTTTTTTTGTTTGTTGATCTTATTTTCCGTAGATATTTTTTGCTATGGGATGTTATTGAAATTTATATGTTGAAATGATTCAATTCTCCTTTCAACTTTAATTCATTTAAAATTTGATTTTTTTAATTGTTTGTTTTAGATTAGACATTTTATTAGCTATTTTTTATTATTTAAAATTGAGTCTTTTTATTAAATTTTTATCAATTCTAACATACAAGTATAATTTTTAAATATTTAAAAACATGTCAAAATCTATAGATATGTAGTTTTTCTCGCAAAATCTTGTTTTTTTTCCTCCTAGATGCTAAAAAGTAAGTAATTAAAGAATGGGTTTATTGAACTAAAAAAACACAAAATTTAAATTTTTTTAATCATATTAGTACATTCTTTTAATGTTTGACAAAAAATTTACAAATTAAAATTTTGTTAACCATATTAGTACATGTAAATTTTTTCAATTAAAATTTCATTATCAGTCGATATGGCGGGGAAAAAAAGTGATGTTAAAGATTAAATACTGAAGTACTTCAATAGTTCAATGAACGACGAGTAAAAGGTTTGGGATTCTACGTGCTATTTAGTCCTTGTCATCACCTTTTCTCTCCCGTCATGTTAGTTGATAACGAAATTTTGGTCGAAAAGATTCTCTCATACAAATATGGTTAGTAAAAATCTAGTTTATATATTTTCTATTCAACATCGAAAGAATGTACAAATATGATTAAAAAATATAAAATTATTTTTTTTTTGTTCAATAAGCCCAAAAATATCATAAAAAAAGTTTTAGAGGGAAAAATAAAACATTTATAAGTTTTGACATATTTTTAGCCGTCGAAAAAATTAAAAAGTCAAATAAGAGATTTAAACTATTTAACTAATTTATATTGATCTCGGCTCACAATTCACAAAATATTAATCACTCGTTTAACCAATAGCCCAATGCTACCCAAAAATAAAAAAATAAAAAAAATCAATTGGTTGTAAATTGCACGAAGTGACCATTAATTGACCATTGATTCCCGGACCATATAAATGTTGTTTGTAAAAAAATGAATTAATGTTCTCTCTTATATTAGCATTTAGATTATAGCATAGGAGGATATTAATGCATGAATGATGATCCATTATCAAGTTATTAAAGAACCATCTCATCTAAAAGCTTAAGTCGATAGGTGAGGCCCTAGAATATAATTTATACTAGTCTCTTACACATTCCCTCAAGTGAAAGGCCCAACATTTGGAGCATGAAACTTGCATAGGTCCACATTGCCTTGTGCTTAATATTTGAGAAATTGGGGATGGTGCGACTTGAACTCGGGACCTCAAAATCAACCAAGCTCGATACCATATTAAAGGACCATCTCACCTAAAAGCTTAAGTCGATAGGTGAGGTCCTAGAATATAATTTATACTAGTCTCTAACACAAGTAAATCCTTAGCCATTAATTCCCAGCCACATCGGTGACCGGACGATTTCACGATCCTGTCAATAGCGTACTTGTCCGTTTGTTCTTTTATTCGAAGCATATGCTTCCTTGACTCTCACATAAATTTCAGCTCTTTTCTCTCTCTCTCTCTCTCTCTCTCTCTCTCTCTCTCTCTATATATATATATATATATATATATATATATATATATATATATATATATATATATATATAGTGAGAAAAAGAAGAAGAATTGCAGGAGAAAAGAAAAGCCTACTCTTAAAAATCCTACACCAAGAAAAAAACCTTTGACATGTCCAAGGAAGTGATGACGAAGAAGGAGAAGTCTCTCGGCAAGTAAGAGACTACGTCGAACCACCACTAAGCACCCTTTTCGACCCCCGAAGAGCTCGGTCGCAGGGTCCTTTTATAGAACTATCATTGCAGAGTTCATTGCAATCCTTCTCTTCCTCAATGTCCAATATGTGGAGTAGGTTTGGTGGCTCCTAAATGCTCAAAGGAACTCGCTTTAGGAGCAAAGATTATCGGGACTTTTGTACTAGTCTACACCGTCTTTTCTCGCTACCGATCCTATGCATTGTGGTAGCTTATAATTGCCAATATCATCGATACACTCATACACATGTTTTTTGTTGTTAAGTTATAGCACCTTGGCCAATTGGGTTTGCGGTATTTATGGTGCACTTAGCCACCATTCCCACTACGAGGACCGGAATCAACCCGCTCGAATCTTTGGGGACTCGCTGTGATATATATATAGCAATGAGAAAGACTAGGATGATCGGGCATGGACTATAGCTTGAAATATTTGGCTTAGGAAATGCAAGACTTGAACTAAAGACTTTTTTGAGAACGAGACCAACCTTTCTTCCTTTTGGTTCATTGGGAGTTTAACTTGACTTTGGATTTTGTCCATTTACCTCGTTTATTATTATTAGTATTTTTGTGTGTATAATTAGTTATGGAATAGTGAAAGATGCAGCTATTGAGCATTTTCTCGTTGGTGTTGGTTCTCTAGCCCTTGCCGTGATTGCTTGCCCAAGTCAATAAATTAAAAAAAGAGTCGCTGGGGTAGGGACGTCCAATTAGGCAATGTTTCGATTTGAGGCCCGAGGGCTTCCTTGTCGAAGATATATAACGAAAGTCAACAATTTTCCTTCTTTTTGAATCTCTTAAATTAAGTTCGATATGATTCGATTTCGAATGCTTTAAGAACTAATGAGTAATAATAACAATATATCATTGTTTTTGATTGTTTCCCATTTAATTTGCTTATGATTTACGGGGTACAAATGGTGTCAATAATAAAGTAAATCAAATAAAAAACATATCGATTGAGATTGTGTTCATATAAGTTAAAAGCACGATTTTAAAATTAAATTATAACAATGATAAAATTATAACCTCTCTTGTATTATTCTTATTCTCGCTCCACGTAGAAACATGACTTCAAGATTAATAGCAATGATAGATTTACAATAATTATTATGTTATACATGTAAAAATAAGTTTTGCACGTATTAAGATCTCGTATAATTTGAAATTTTTTTATTGAGATATTAAGTTTTTTTTATCTAATTTAAGAGTTTCACTCTTATATTGTTATTGTTTCGGATCTCAATGTGTCACGTAAGCACATGTAATAAGTTCTAGCCAATGATAATTTGTTTTAGCCAATGACGAGTTTGTTTTAGCCAGACTTATCACGTGTCATAATGAGCTCAAATTAAGTGACTGAATTGATGACGTGATAAGTTGTTATTGGTTAGAGCTTACCGCATGTGCTTACGTGACAAACTCGTTATTGACTAGGGTTTGAAACAACAAAAATATAAAAATAAAACTCTTAAATTAGATAGAAAAAAGTTAGGATCTTATTAAAAAAAATTCAAATTATATAAAATCTCAATATGTATAAAACTCGTGTATAAATATAAAATCTTCAAACCTTAAAATGACAAGAAATACATATTCAATAATCTCATTTTTCAGATAATCATCTCAATCAATAATTGTTGAGCCTACATGCCATTATTGATGGGGGGCTTCCAAACTCTAGATAAACCCCATTTCATGCATAAACCACCCTTGTTGGGAAGAAATTGCACAATTAGTTGGAAACAAACAAGCTACGCGGCCAACTTTTAATGTCACAAGGTCAAATCCTAATTCTGTCCGGTTGCAAGATGCCGAGGAGTAGAAGCAAGAATGTGTCAAGAGTTTCAAGGCAAATTGCGACTCAAAAAGCAATTATATCGTGCTACTATTCGGTTTGGGTAGGTACATGGAGGGCTTTGGCAACCACGTTGGCTTAAGATAAAGTTTGAGAACATCTTTTTGCTCACCAAGCGTGGATAATAGGGATAGAACAATCAGCTGCCTAAATTACTTTCAGCACAAGTCCGATGATTTATAACCATATTAGGAATACTTGTAGGTAGTTCACCAAGTAAGATGCCGCCTGCTTATCAAGCTTATCCTCTTCTTTTAGTTTCTTGCCTATGAATTAAATTTGAGTATGGCAAGTAAAGTTTTTTTTTTTTTTTTTTTAATTAGATAGAGAGCATAAACCTCGTAAACCAAAAATAAAGAACACAATTTAAGAAAGTCCCATGAATAAACTGCAGAATGATAGAAGAGCAGCTGGGAATTGGGATGGTAGAGAAGTTTTGAACTTTCAAATCTACAGAAAAAAAACACGATTAGCAAACTGATTCACAACGATCAGTCTCTATTAGTGAGAGAGCCAGAAATTTAATATAAAATGTATGAAATTTTTAATAAAGTTTAGGCCATGTAAGTTTTTTGCTCAACTTATATGACATGATAAATTAATCTATTGTACGGAATAAATGTTATTTACAAACTACAAAATGGGAATCTTTGAAACGAATTAATTAATCTTTCTCATTTAAAAAATTAATTATTGGTCTCTATGTTTTTAAATTTATTTATAACTTAGTTTTTTTTTCAATTTATTTTGATTTTTTATTTTAAGAAATAAAAAAGGAAAAAATATGGAAAAATGAGAAAAGATTGATGAGCAAAAAAAATATATTTTGTAGAATAAAAATAATATTCATTTAAGAAAAGTCAACATTGATTAAAAAACTAAGTAATAGTTTTTGAAATAAAAAGGATCAATTAATTCATTTCTTAAAACTAGAGGGACTAATTTATAATTTACTCAAATTTTTGGTATTTATAGTCAGAACAAACGTAAACAAATATCCCTACGCGGCCATACACTTTTATTCTTTAAAGCAGAGACTTAAGTCATGTCCTTTGCTGGACGAGGTTTAAATAATTAGAAAATAACAGTCAAACAATCCTTGGCAATTACTCTGAGACACTACTTGCGTAGACCAAAATAAGTAATAAATCTTTGATTATATGCTTATAGGATCGGTACAAACATGTATAAAATCTAATTTCAGACTGATCGATTTTATTTTATTTTAAGTTTTTCGAATACTCTGGATGGTAGCTGGAAATTACAAATTTAATGTTCCCAAGTAATTAAGCAAAAGAAAATGAGTAGAAAATGCTATCGGTCCAGCACTTTATGTTCATAATGAGTTTCTAGATAGATATTTTAGAATAAATAACTTAATTTATTTTTATATAATTAATGAGTTTTTATTATATCTCTATATCTTTAATTGTGTCTATTATATATTTATATAATATCAAATGTTAATATATTTTTTCGATGAAGTTTTTTCATTTGAATCGATAAAATCATATTTTTCATTTTAAAATTATCCTTGAAGCATATAAAGATATAATATAAAATTTTCTCAAGATAACTCAAAATGTTTTAAGGAATAAGAAATTTCAAAATTACTAAACCATTAAAATTTGAAAAAGTAAAGGTTTTATTTTATTTTTTTCAAAATAAAAATTATATTCTTGTATAATTTAAGGGTATTTTCAGAATGAAAAATATAATTGCATTAGTTTGGATAAAAAAACATATTGAAGAATCATTATTATACAAGACATAATAAAAACAATTACAAATATAAAAATGTATTAAAAGCTTGACCAATTATATAAAAATAAATTAAATTATTTACCTAATATTTTAAGACAAATAGCTTCATCGATCCTGTAAAAAAAGAATTTAATAACCAATTCAATCAACATGACCAAGTGTTCTCAATCCAACCCAGCAAACCCTTTCTTAATTACTTTAAAATCCTGAAAATTACAAGTAAAATGCTCTAGAACAGTAGAAAATCTACGTTCAAACAACTTTTATTCGAAAATTTATAAGCGGCAATCACAGAGGCCTTCAGCATCCTAAAGCAAATTGACCGTGGACATATCCAGTTGATATTGATATAAATCGCACACGATTTACATTTAAAAGAGCGAATCGTAATTTGCTCCACGAAAAAAAGTAAAAGATAATAAGGAGTAAAATATAAATTAGTCCCTCTAGTTTTTTTCAAAAGAATTAAATAATCCATCTAGTTTCAATAACCAACTAATTAGTCCATATGTTTATAAACTTATTTATAATTTAATCTTTTTTATACCATTTCTATTTATTTTATTTTTTAATAAAAAAATATAAAAAAATATAATTTAACGGTTACATGTCTAATAGTTCATTTTACGAAGGAAGTATGAGTTTGAATGACTCTAGTTTATTTATTTATCATCCCTCGTTGTATGTCTTGACCCATTACCCATAGAACTTTCCATGAATAAAAAATAAAAAAATAAAAAATAAAAAATTTATGAAAAAAAGATGACCTTTTTTAAACAAAATAATATTTAATTAATTATGATTAATACTAGTCAGCCAACTAATTAATTAATTTTTAAAACAAAAGAAACTATTTAATTCGTTTTGTAAAATTAAATAGACTAATTTATAATCAACTCAGATAATAAGGATTATACACTTTTTATTCCATGTTAACATATAACGTAGAGAAATTTAGAAAGCCAGCTAAATTGCTAACACTGTTTCTGCTTAGAAAAGCTTTCTCTCAAGGCATTACACGTAAGAAACACAACGTGCGAGAGACGTTATTGTGAGACAAAAGCCAGATAACCAATTGAGGCGGTGCTGTTTACGGCCAACTGGGCTTTCTTTATCCCTAATTTCTCTTTTGTTTTTTGAAAAAACCCAAATTGCTGCCGATATAAGTGCAACTAAACGCTTTAATCAAACTCTTAAAAACTATTTCAAGAAACCAAAAAAAGAAAAGAGTTCAGCAACATGACAAAGCTTTTGTGGGCTAAGTTAAAGTCGCCCTTTTCAAGGGCAGGTGAGTTTCAACATCATCTTGTCTTTATCAAACTTTATACCATCAAAATCCCATGCATATTTTGGAAAAATCTTTCATTTATATTAGGTTTTTTTTATTTTTGATTTTTTGATTGATGTTTGTTTTCTGGTTTCAGGAAGATCTAACAAGGAACGTGCCAGCAGCTTAAGCAACAAGTTAAACGTTAATGAAGAATACAAGGAAGCTTTCAGGACGAAGTCTTATGCGGAAATGTGGAGCAAGGTTCAAGACCAGCTAAGGAAAACGGGGATTGATGGAGTTGACAAAGGCACCTCTTCGTCTTCATCTGTTCCTTTCTATCTCCATCTCTCCGATTATCTGTTTGAACCACAGCAGAAAGAGACCCTGAGAGAAATGATTGAAAGCTTAAAGTTTCATCACTTTCTGGTTGATTACTTTGAAGCCAACTTAGAAGCATGCCATATTTGCGATTTGCTTCTTCAAAGAATCCAACAGACACGTGCTAATTATAAGAAAATTAGAAGGGTGATCAAGCTAAGCAGAAGGGTGCAAGATTCTGCAGATTATTCAGATAAGTTTTGCGGTGCAATGTTTAGAGAGCTTGCTGCATATGCATTGCTTGAAAATCCATTGTCGATGTTTTTTACCTCTGTAAAATTCCATGATCTTCACGATAACAACTTGGTGTTGCTCCGTGGATTGACTTCAGAAAAGAGAAGGATTAGAAGGAAAGCAAAGTTCAGAAGGATTTGCACGATGGTTGGAGGAGGATGTCTTGTGATTTCACATACTGCACTTCTAATTGCCTTGCTTGTAATTGCCATCCATGGAATGGTTGGCATCGTCGCTGCACCAGGACTAATGGGTTGCTCGCTGTATGTATTCAGAAAGCAAATCAAGTTGATTCATCGTGGGCTTGAGACAAGCTTGCTTGAAAAAAGACTTGGTGCACAGCTAGATCTTGCTGCCAAAGGAACTTACATACTGATCAAAGATTTTGATACCATGAGTAGGTTGGTCAGAAGGTTATTCGATGAAGTAGAACATCGTAAAGCTCTTGCTGATATGTGTATTAGGAACAAAAAACCTGAACTATTGAAAGAGGTCGTGAAAGAATTTCACATTCATGACTTGTGCTATCTGGAACAGCTAGAAGAACTCGAGCGGCACATCTGCTTGTGTTTTCATACTATAAATAGATCCAGAAGGCTTGTTATGGAAGAGTTAATGGTTGCACCCGACAATAGTACAGCTGATGATAATCAGCAAAAAATCTTACGAGGATGATGACAATATTTGGAGAAATAGTGGCAGCAGGTGATCTTTGGTGTTACGATACAGGCTTCAGATAGAAATTGCTTCTCCCTAGGCCGAACTCACCTAGATTAGAAGGCACATCCATGCCATTTGTCAACCCATGATTTATTTATCACTTCTAATGTTAAATTCAACCCTGTATGTATCCAATTTGACATTCCTTACATAAAGTCTCCCTTTATCACCCAACCTCCAGCAGTTTATAAAGACGAGATCTACCATTCACTAAATATATTCATTGCCTCTTCCCCGGTATTGACTGTTAACATGTACATGCAGATACTTAGCTTTCTTCCCTGGTAATAAATTATTTTGCATATTAAGCAGTGTCCAATTTTTGTCAGGTATGCCTGAAGTGAATTTTTCGTATAATGCATTAAGAGAAATCAGCAGTAATTCTAAAACAGCTCTCTGGCAACCCAACATGTTCCATGGTCCAAAAAAGCTGTTTTATTGACATCCTAGGAATGCCTCATTAGGTAGCATAAGCACTGTCATATGACATTGTGCCGCTTGCATAAGTTGGACCTCAACATTCGTATCACAATAGGAATTTAAGGTAAATAATCCACTCGCCTATTCTTACTCGTATTAGCAAAAGAAGCAGAATCTGATACTGTTCTGTTTTTGTTCTGTTTGTGGAGGAAAAAAATCGACAAGATACAATAAGGGGGAAGTATTATAAGTCACCTAAATGGTTAGGAGATTAACCTGGGGGTGAGGCCCATCAAAGGATTGATGACTGGAGGAATTCCAAACGAAGCTTGGAATTCCTTGTTTTTCTTCAAGGCGATAAAACTTATTCAAGCATCCCAAATAGCTCATCTCCCTTCTCTCAGTTTCTCGTATTCTTCAAGGCCCAACATTGAAGCTTTGGCCTTCAGCCAATCTGCTGGCTTTGGCATGATAATAGCAATATACCCTTCTCTCTCAGCCTGTAAAGTTGGTCAAGGAAGCAACAGATGGATCATCAATGTGGGTTGCCAAACAGCTATTACCGGAAAAAAAACATCAGATCAAAGAGATGATATGAGCATTACCAAATAAAATAAAATAAAATAAAAATGACATCAGCTCTAAATAGTGACAAGAATTGATTTTCATCAATCAGAAAGTTAATTTCTCAGTGGCATGATGATATGTTCAGGTATGCGAGATTTCAGATGCTGACACGAACATGTCTGCCTAAAAGTATTATCCCCATGTAGATTTGCAGCACCTTGGGCCTTTTTCTTAGCACGAGTTACCATTGACAAATCACATACTAATTCAATTATGAGATCCTATCTGGTAAAGACACTTGCATCTGACATTTGGTATGCATGGAAAGGTAATACTTACTGCAGAGTTAAGCAAATCTGGCTGTTTAATTAGTTTATCATTCACTTCCAACAGAGAGCCTTTAACGCAACATCTGTCAAAAGTCAACAACATATTTCAACTCCAATATTAAAAAAGAAGGAAGGAAGGAAGGGGAGGAGAGGTGTGAAACTGAGAAAACAGTTGTACCTGACAATATAAGACTCATTCTGGGTGCAAACTTTACACAGAGCAGTGTTAGACTCAAAGTGTTGTGCATTCTGCAAAAGATGCTCTCTATTGTTAGTAACAGTTTGCTATAAGAAAGTGGATCAACTCATCCTAAATGCATGTTCTAAAAACAGAAATCCGACCAAATCTCTAGCAATCCTTGCCCCCCAAAGCAGTCATGTTACCTCTCAATGCAATCAGCTCAGTTTTCATGGTCCTGCTATGTTAAACTGCCTAATTGTGCTTCAGATGAAAGGCCAGGATACGAGAACAACAAAGCCAACGTGCACAAAAAGAAACAATGCTACTAAAAAATGTGGAATTTAACTGATTTTTTGAACTGATCCTCTTAAAAGTTTCAGTGTATGACTAGATAAAGCCTAATTAGATAGCAAACTTCCACCCTTGATCAGTAAGCAACTAAAATACCCAGAAAGCTTAATTCTCGCAACCATGTTCGTAATGTAAATACAATTATCCTCGCCAAATTAAAAGCCAGCAAGAGGACTTCTTAAGAAACCAACCAAGCTACTAGTAGAAGAACTTTCAAAAGTCTAGCTTTGCCAATTTCTTCATACAATTGGCTCAATTCTAAGGAGAATTGCTCAACTGTTATACAATAAAAAAGCCAAAACCTCGAAAAAACGTACCTTTTTTCGCTTTCCGGTGACCTTAATGCCACTACGATCAGACTTGCCAACATTGAAATCAACAGCCGTAATTCCTCCTTCATCCTTAAAAGCCACATGGGTCGGAGCCAAACCAATCACACACAGCCTTTTTTTAATCAAAAAACAAAACATAATTAATTGAACAATTAATCAAACCACACACATTTAACCAAAGACTAGAAGAATTAAATAGTACCCATTGGCATGTCTATAAACGTACTGGTCGTATCCTGGCTTCACAAAATCTAATTCAAAATTCAACAAATTAGGCAAGGAATTTGCTTCAGTAAGCACCATTAATTAAACAAAAACAAAAAGACCGTAGACATACCCGGAGCGAAATAGGAGACGAAATTGGTTTGAATAGAAGAAGGAGGACTGATAGGAAGATCACGAACGTCAGGTAAAAGCAGCTTATGCAGCTCTTCATCATCTTCTTCTTCCTTTTGCTCGTCTGCTTGTTTTAGTTCTCGGACTTGTTCTTGAGTTGGGTTGTTCTGTACTGATGATTTTTCAAGATTGTTTGAGTCATTATTATTCATTGAAATCTATAGTGAGGGAAGTGAATCGAATTTGGCAGTTCGTAGGATACAGTTAAAGAGTCTCTGTCTGTCTCTGATGGCTGTTACGGCTGAACCAAACCATGTCTTCGTGTGCAGCTCCAGTTTTGGAGAGTTTAACTGACCTGGCAATGGTTCCGGGTCTGCGTAATGGACCTTTTTCGGGCTGTTGGGGCCCTCATGGGCTAATGATATTTTGGCCCAAATTAAGACCGATTCATGATTGGCTGATAATGTTTTGGCCCAAATAAGACCGCCTCATGAAGGGTTGGCCCAAATAAAGCCCGACTCATGATGGGCTGATAATATTGTAAACCAAATGTAGACCGCTTCATGATGGGCTGTTAATATTTTAGCCCATATTAGGACCGCTTATTTATGGGATGGTAATATTTAGGCCCAAATGAAGACCTCCTCATGATGGGCTACTAATATTATGAGATTTACGTATAACTCTCGGATTGGCCCAGATGAAACCAAGCCGTCTAACGAATTAATTTGGGATTATAACTAATTATTTAAGTAAATTATAAATTAGTCCTCCCAGTCTTGAGAAATAAATTAATTAGTCATTCTTTTTTTGCAATCTAATTATTTAATTATTTAATCAACATTGACCCTGTTTAATTAATACTTTATTAAAAAAATATTTTTTCTTTAATCGATCTTTTCATTAATATTTATTTTGTCTATTTTTTAAATAAAAAAAATTAGAAAAAGACATAAAATGAAAAAAAAATCTAAATAACTAATTTTTGAAATAGAATAAACTAATCAATTCATTTCTCAAAACTAAAAAAATTAATTTATAATTTTACCCCTAATCATTTCTCATAGCAATTATTATATACTTCAAATATATTGTCTTTTAGCTTAGTCTTTAACAATTTTTTTTAGTGAAATAAAATTTGATTCTTAATGACCACAATTTCCTACGTTACAATAATGAAATGGAAAGAGAATACCACTTATTACATAATTCAAAGTTGGCTAGGACACGCAAAGAAAACTAGAAGTAGGATGTCCAAATAATCTATCCAAGATAATATTCAGAAATTCAATTATTATTATTATTTTTTTTCCTAATAGAGGTGTTTGGGCTTTGGAATTTGAAAAATCTTAGGACATTTTTGTCAAAGCATGACCAGTGAAAAGGAAAAACCGACAGACAAGCACATGAACAATAACTTCAATTAATTTGATCCCTTAGGAAGAATGAAATCACACACAAAATTAAAAAGAAAAAAAATTACTAAACGATATTTTGACGGCTATCAGGACTCTCACTCCCATGAATCCATAAAAGTAAACTATCATCATCTGACCACTTTACAGTCTAGCCTAATCTCTTGTCCACCATTGATGCTACTCATCTTGATCATGGACTTAACAAAAGCTTTTTCAAACATCTTTTGGGAGCAAGCAAATTTAGAAACCAACGCCTTAGTTTTTGCTGTAGAGAGCAGAGCTTGATCTGAAGAGAAAAGACTCCGTCCCTGGAGAAGCAACTTGTAGTAAACATTGTCAAACGCGGTCGTTGTAGAGTCCATTGTAGCACCTGCATTTTTGACCTTGTTGTGGGCTGGACAGACATTCCTTAAACTGGCTCCAAAAGATGGGTTCAATGTCGGATCCACGTCAAGAGTGGCATTGAAGTTGTGGATTCTGTTCTGAAATGATGAACAATGAGCGAATCCAAGAGTGTGACCTCCTACACACATACGCGCGTATTTTTTATCAGCTATATGATTCTTTTTGTAGTAGATCAATATCTTCATAATAGGCTATTGGATATGTTACCTGAGAGAGCTACTAGATCCTTCAAAGAAAGACCTCTTTGCGAGAAGCTTTGCTGTAATTGAGAAATGTTAAAGGTTGGAGCTGGTAATTGCCTGGTTTCACTTGCCTTTGAAATTCTTCCGTCTTTTCTTCCTTTTGGCACATCCCAAGTGGGACCTCCAGACTATGACATATATACAGAAGATGTAATAGAAAATTTATCCCATATTAAATGAATAATATATAAAGTTGAGAAATAATTATACCTTATGAGACATATGTTTTTGAAAGATGAAATCCAATCTCAATTATTTAACTCAATATGATAGTGAAATTTAAGAATCTATTAAAAATCTTTGAGTTCAAGTTACTTACTGACTTAACAAGAAAGCTTGACAGATCTTAACTATGTAAATCAGACAGAAATCAACAGTTGTATTATATCATGTATTCGTGGTTTAATTTGAACAGTTGCAACTAATGTTATTAATTTATTGTTTGGTTGGTGGAACTAACCAAAGCTACTGCATCTCTTGCTGCTAGAGCTAGAATATCAGCACAAGAAACCACGCCAGGGCACAAAGCTTCTACTGCTTTCTTTGCATTGTCAATGACATAAAATGCATGCAATGAAATGTTAGGAGGCCCATCTTTCTCTGCTTGGTTCTTACCCTTGGATGCCAAGAGTACAGAAGCATCACAACCCTTCAAAATGCAAAAAAAAAAAAAAAAGAAATTAAGTAAATTCTTATTTATTTTCTGAAGAACTTAAGTGTGTCTGTGCATGTGTGAACAATGAGCATATAAAATTGTAATTACTCTAATAAAGCAGTCATGAAATTGCATCCGAAGTAGTGCAGCAGGAACAGTTTTGTCGTTCTTCATTGCCTTCTTGACAGCATTAGTAACAGCAGACTCAAGTTTAGGGCAGGTCTGGTGGTAGTAGTTTGAGCTCAGGGCACTAACAGAGGAAGAAATTTGGAAAATGATGAGAAGGGCAAAAACAAGACCAGCTACTGTGCCCATAGCTCAAAACCTTTGAATCGACCTCTTTGTTCTTGATATATAGTTATCTACGAAAACTTGATCGAGAGAGAGAGAGGTATTTGTAGCAGAGATTAAAGAGAAAACTCGTGCATTGGAGTTGTTGTTGAGGGATGTGGTTGTTAGCAAATTTGGTGATCAAAGAACCTGATTAGTGGAGTAGTGTCTAAGCATGCATGCTGCACACAAGGACGAAAACCAATGTCACATTTTTGTTTTTGCTTCAATTTTTTGAAAAACAAAGTTGATGCTAAACATTTAAAAATTATTAGACAGCATTTGAAGCCATGTCACGTTTGATCATCAATCAAGCATCTTGTTATTAAAAGTACTGTGTAAGCAATATTTATGGGGGTGTTATATTGATTTTTCTCAACTCAAAAATTAATTCAACTAAAGAGACTCTTTTTACATTTTTAATAAAATACTTATTTTCTTTCACACTTCGATGTAAAATAAATTACCAATATTATCTTTTGTTTTACACGTCAAGTCTTGAATTTGGCAAATCAAATCTTAAATTCACTATTCTTTATCAATTTATATGATATCGATGCATAGAAAACTATTTAACTTGGACCTTGATATCATATTAAAAAACTATACCAACTCAAAAACTTAAATTGTCAAATAAGATATTAAAAATAATTTTATATTATTCTTTAATAATATTTTTAATTATGGGAAAACAATCCCACGTCACTTGCCTCAATCATTTATTAAGGCATGGATGCTGCATACAAGGACGAAAACCAATGTCACATTTTTGTTTTTGCTTCAATTTTTTTAAAAACAAAGTTGATGCTAAACATTTAAAAATTCTTAGACAGCATTTGAAGCCATGTCACGTTTGATGATCAATCAAGAATCTTGTTATTAAAAGTATCGTGTAAGCAATATTTATAGGGTGTTATATTGATTTTTCTCAACTCAAAAATTAATTCAACCAAAGAGACACTTTTTACATTTTTAATCAAATACTTATTTTCTTTCACACTTCGATGTAAAATAAATTAACAATATTATCTTTTGTTTTAAACGTCAAGTATTGAATTGACAAATCAAATCTTAAATTCACTATTTTTTATCAATTTATGTGACATCAATGTATAAAATATTGTTTAACTTAGACTTTGATATCATATAAAAAAACTATATTAACTCGAAAACTTAAATTGTCAAATAAGATATTAAAAATAATTTTATATTATTCTTTAATAATATTTTTAATTATGGGAAAACAATCCACGTCACTTGCCTTAATCATTGCCTTAATCATTTATCAAGGCATGCATGCTGCACACAAGGACGAAAACCAATGTCACATTTTTGTTTTTGCTTCAATTTTCTAAAAAACAAAGTTGATGCTAAACATTTAAAAATTATTAGACAGCATTTGAAGCCATGTCACGTTTGATCATCAATCAAGAATCTTGTTATTAAAAGTATTGTGTAAGCAATATTTATAGGGTGTTATATTGATTTTTCTCAACTCAAAAATTAATTCAACCAAAGAGACTCTTTTTACATTTTTAATCAAATACTTATTTTCTTTCACACTTCGATGTAAAATAAATTAACAATATTATCTTTTGTTTTACACGTCAAGTCTTGAATTGACAAATCAAATCTTAAATTCACTATTTTTTATCAATTTATGTGGCATCGATGTATAGAAAACTGTTTAATTTGGACTTTGATATCATATAAAAAAACTATATCAACTCAAAAACTTAAATTGTCAAATAAGATATTAAAAATAATTTTATATTATTCTTTAATAATATTTTTAATTATGGGAAAACAATCCACGTCACTTGCCTCAATCATTTATTAAGGCATGGATGCTGCACACAAGGACGAAAACCAATGTCACATTTTTGTTTTTGCTTCAATTTTTTTAAAAACAAAGTTGATGCTAAACATTTAAAAATTCTTAGACAGCATTTGAAGCCATGTCACGTTTGATCATCAATCAAGAATCTTGTTATTAAAAGTATTGTGTAAGCAATATTTATAGGATGTTATATTGATTTTTCTCAACTCAAAAATTAATTCAACCAAAGAGACTCTTTATACATTTTTAATCAAATATTTATTTTCTTTCACACTTCGATGTAAAATAAATTAACAATATTATCTTTTGTTTTACACGTCAAGTCTTGAATTGACAAATCAAATCTTAAATTCACTATTTTTTATCAATTTATGTAGCATCGATGTATAGAAATATTGTTTAATTTGGACTTTGATATTATATAAAAAAACTATATCAATTCGAAAACTTAAATTGTCAAATAAGATATTAAAAATAAATTTATATTATTCTTTAATAATATTTTTAATTATGGGAAAACAATCCACGTCACTTGCCTTAATCATTGCCTTAATCATTTATCAAGGCATGCATGCTGCACACAAGGACGAAAACCAATGTCACATTTTTGTTTTTGCTTCAATTTTCTAAACAACAAAGTTGATGCTAAACATTTAAAAATTATCAGACAGCATTTGAAGCCATGTCACGTTTGATCATCAATCAAGAATCTTGTTATTAAAAGTATTGTGTAAGCAATATTTATAGGGTGTTATATTGATTTTTCTCAACTCAAAAATTAATTCAACCAGAGAGACTCTTTTTACATTTTTAATCAAATATTTATTTTTTTTCACACTTCGATGTAAAATAAATTAACAATGTTATCTTTTGTTTTACACGTCAAGTTTTGAATTGACAAATCAAATCTTAAATTCACTATTTTTTATAAATTTATGTGGCATCAATATATATAAAATTGTTTAATTTGGACTTTGATATCATATAGAAAAACTATATCAACTCAAAAACTTAAATTGTCAAATAAGATATTAAAAATAATTTTATATTATTCTTTAATAATATTTTTAATTATGGGAAAACAATCCACGTCACTTGCCTTAATCATTTATTAATCTTCCTTCTAACTTAGTTTTCTGTCTATCAATGGTCTTAACTTGTGGCGAAATAATTCATGTTTCCTATTAGTAGCATTTTAGTAAACAGATTAGATACCATTTGATAGGGGTCTCATGCTGGACGAACAGTAGAAGCCATGGGCCCATGGCAAACGCATAGAGGGTGGGATTACCTGCTTACAACTTTATTTAAGCATGATTAAAAATTAAGCAAAGTGTGTGCTGAACTGCCCTACAAGAGCTTTAAAAGAATATGTTTGGTGGATGGGGTTGAGCAAATAAAGGCATTCTTGCATAATTTAAGCTTGGCCAAGCTTTTTCCAGCTTTTCATGGGCCATCTCTATGGGTCACCGTCAACAACTTGATAAACATTGAGCTAATCCAGATTATATTTTCTGATATATATATTTTATTAACGACCTTCGAATTAGCTGAAATCATCAACAGTTTCAATCTCTTTCAGATTGTACAGCAGTACAATTTAATTGGAGGAATTTGAAAACATTGTAATTTTTTTTTTTTTTTTCAGTTGTAATGCTGAAAGAGAAACGAAGCTATTATATCTTCGAACATTCTTTGAAGGCATGGAGTTGCTAACATTACAGTAGCAGGTGTAAAACTAAGAAGCACAAATTTGGAATAAATTATAAATTACTTACTCTAGTTTTGCAAAAATAAATTGAATACTAATTAATTAGTTTTTTAAACAGTGCTCATTATAGTTAATTTAATATTATTTTATTTAAAAATATTTAATAAATTAAAAAAAGAAAACAATTAAGTTATAAATAAATTTAAAAATAAAAAATTAATTAATTAGTTTTTAAAATTAAAAGAATTATTTAATTTTGTTTTCAAAACTAGAAAAAACTAATTTATAATTTACTCCACAAATCCATACAATAGAGAGAGTCCGTCAATCTATTTGGTCACAATTAATGGTTGCTGATTAGAACTTCTTTTTGCTTTTTTTTTTTTTTTTTAAAAAAATCTCTCTCTCTCTCTCTCTCTCTCTCTCTCTCTCTTAATAAAAAACTCGGAAGAGAGGGGATGTCTGTGACTTAAAAATGAAAGCTTTGGCTGATGATTGAATTTTCACCCTTTTTTACATATTCAGTTAGCTTATAATCCAATAATAATGTTCTATTACAAAAGGTTTAAATCCTAACAGATTAAGAGTTTTGGATGTGTATGTAAAAAATAAAAAACAAAAAAAATAAACTTTTGGCTCTTTGATGGGTTACTCTATCTTTGAACTTATCCTGGGTCTATTATTTTGTAATTTTTGCTCATTAAGGAAGGAAAAGACCAAAAAAAAAAAAGCCCGAACCGCGTAACTGAATGCAGTAGCGTTAGCAGTTAATGATGATGAGGACTTAAAAGACCCAAGAAATAGTGAAATCATTTGGGCCTCCAACATCATGCAGTCCAACAGCCATGGTGTAAATTATGGGCCTGCGGCCTGTTTGGCCTGTTTATCACCCATGCACAACTATTCACGTTGCAATAATTCCGGACACAGTTTTTGGGATAACCTCATATTAGTCCCCACTTTATAAACCGTTTCTCCATTTGGACCCCAAAGTACATTTTATTTCACCAATTAAGTCCGTATATTCCCATATTCAGGTTGGGAATCTAATTGAGAAAAAGTTATAGGTTGGGGACCAATCTGAAGCTACCCCATTTTTGTTTTCTCACAAATGATACGATGTTAATTTTGTTGGCAAACACTAAAATACAAGGATGAGAAATATCACCTTGAACATGTCCTGTGTCTTATGATTTGTGAAACCTTGCTGTGATGCTTTTCTATTTAATCTGAATGGCAAGCATGTGGAGCAAATGCGAAAAACTGACATCAAATTTATTGGTGGATCGTAGATTCATGTTACAAGCATAAGAATTGAAGAAAGAAAAAATGTTCTATTTTACAAGCTTAAGGTAACCAAAACAAAGATATTATTTATATGATTAAGCTGCAAATTGGTTGCGCTTCTTATTAAGCTGCAACTATATATAAATACAAAAAATAGAACAACTCTGCAAATCCTTGATCACCAAATGTCGTGTAACAAGCTCAATTTGCTTTCTTGGATTGGAAAGAAAGCACAGCAGCGCAGTAGCAGCTAGCCTTGAGTCCATGGGTTCACTTCCTTACCCTCCCTCTTCAAATCATGTTTTAGAGCCAGAACCATATGGTCCCGGCCATCATCAGAAAAAAATCGTGGCGGGCTGCTCTAGTAAAATTATAAGCACGCCTCAGCCAAGATAGACCCTGAACTCTAAAGCTGCTGCTGATTGATTTAGAACTGTACCGAGCTTGAGAAAGTCTGGCCAAATCCCCAATTTGCTGGAACAATGTTTGTGAAGAATCGGGTCTGTCCATCGGTAGTTGTGACCTGAAAGGACAAAGATTGGCCATTGAGATAAGCGTTAGATTGCCAATTAGCTCCCCAATTCCTAGACATTGCCATCCAGCCTGTTTTTGAGCCTTTAATGGACACGGATTTAATGGATCCAGCTCCACCTATATTGCTAATCAAGACAAGCTCGAAGTAGTCTCTTCCATTAATAGTGAATCTAACTCCGCCATGCTTCTTGCAAGGAACCCTGCATCGTTAAATCGGAATCCCTACAATATTAGATCACAAAACCAAAAAGAGGGAGAAGGGAAAACTTGTGACGAAGTAGGGTCGATGTATGTGTTTAATACTGTACCTTTGGAACAAGACAGGCACGATTCCTCCTCTATAAATACCGATCTTTTCCCAAGCAGGCTGAGCCATATCGAAATGCTGGAGGGGAGGGTTGCACCAGCCACCATTGGTGTTTGAAAGAGCAAAATTAGGGGGCAGAAATTTGTTGCAGTGATGGTCACAGACTTGCCTCTGACACACCATCTGGGGTCTGTTAGAAAATCACACATAATTTTGTAGCATTCTCCACATGAAGCTCCATCATTGAATAAAGCAGTGCTTAAAGCAGCAGTCCTGGTCCCATAACCAGTAGAATACAAGTTCCCATATCCACAAGCCCCTCCTGTAGCCCAAAATTTATAGAAATGAAATGCTATTAGCTGTTATGTTTCCGAAAAATGAAGACAAGAAAAGATTTAAGGAGTGTAGTTTCATTACATACCCATAGTTCCCGAGGCATCACTACCTCCATAAAATGTAGCATGGCCTTTCCTCCAGCCAGATGGAGCAAATGCATTGACATTGATAGCAAAATAGGAGCAGAATCCAAGCAAGATTGCAAATGCAAGAAGCACTTTTGCCATTTCTTGAAAAGATGAATACTTCTGAAACAAAGATAAGAGAGTGAGGATTGGTGGTAGGTTGGTGGCTAGTGTATTTACATTTATTGACATTTCCAAACACAAGAACTGCCCCTATAAATAAGGCACCAGAGGCAGACTTCCTTAATGTAACAACCTCACATGCGACCTCTGAAAAACTTGCAACATTTATTATATTTGAATTATTATCTCTGAAAGACTGCAGATTTCTGAACCTCATTCAATTATTCCCACGTTCTCAAACTCTTTTATTTCATGTCCACATGCAAAAGCCGTGAAAAATTCAAATCCCACAAGACAAATTGTTCTTTTTTGGGTTTCTTTTAATGGGCAACTTGTTGGTATTTGAAGATATAGAGTCGCATCTTCAGAGGTTTTATGACAGCATTTTTTTTCTTAGATCGTACCATATTGCCTCACATGGTAATGATTTGACCCATACGATACAATTACATAAATCATGTGTCTTGTGCACATGACTCGTTTTTTTTTTTTACATGGACGGTGATGGGTTGTCAAATCTATCTTCTGCTTAGATCTGTTGGTACAGGGTTTAGGGTTCTACAAAATCATCTTGCTTTTTTTTTTTTTTTTTTTTTTTTACTGTTAATTGGATTTTATCAAATTTAATGCACCCAACTCCATAGAAGAACTAGTCATTATGCTATTACTTCATTTGGCTAAGGTTCTTGTAACCAGAAGGGTCTAATTATTGTTTCTTCATTCAAGAGTGGCTGCAGAGAATATTTGTGGTCCCTTATTTCATGCTAAACTTATTGATAGATTCTTCTCGGATTATTTTTCTAAAAATTTCAACCATTAAATTTATGGGATTCAATGATTCAATGTATGAAAGTTTTCACCAAATGATTTAGGAAAAATATTCAATGAAATTAGCACTACGATCAAGACTCCCCCTGTTCTCATCTGCCATTCCATGGAACTTGCCCAAGTGATGATTACACAGTCAAAGCAAAAGTATGATTTGACTGTTTAATCATTGAGTTTGATTTGCAATGAGGAAAATCCTTGAATATCTGGACTAAGTTAGGAAGATCGATCCCTTTGAATGCCTTTGCCCTAGTTGAACGACATATGACAATAAATTTTAAGAATTCAGGTGATCTATCATACCATACATAAGTATGCTCTCCAATATCAATTATTTTTTCTCTTAATTACAAAAATAGAAAATAAATTATGCCAACAACCATTATTTTTGGTTCTGAACCAAAGTAAATTCAGTCATTGCAGTGATTAAAAACATGATTAAATAAAAAATATTATCACGGTCAATTTATAGACATCAAAATTAGACAATTTCATTTTCAAAATCGGAAAATATATGAATTTAAAGATTTTAGATCTAAAAAGTTTTAAAAAAAAATGAATTCTAATCTAAAAACCTCAAAAATCCTTTTTTTTTTTTTTTTCACACAAAAAACATCCACACACTCCCCAAACCTTTTAAACTCAAATCAAACCTCAAAACCCTTTTCTTAAAAATTATTTCGATTAAAGTTTAATTTTATACCTCTTATATAAAATCTTCAAATTCACGTGCTTTCAAAGGCATATGGCCGGCACTCTAGAACGGCGCAATGGAATAAATAGGTGGGTGGAAATATGGATTATAATATACCAGATATAAAATATATATTTGTTTTATTCGATTCAATAACTACTCATAAGAATATTCAACTCTTTATATTATTAATATTTATTAATTTATTTATATTTTTTATTAACATGCAGGAATCTAATTGTATAAAATTTAAAAATTAAAGATCAAAATATTTTTTTTGAAAACTTCCAGGATAAAAAAAACTTATAAATAAATAACCAAAATGTAAATAATAATAATAATAAATTTTAAGGATAAAAAACTTTTCCTAAAATAAATATTTTTGATAAATTAAATTTATCGCGTATTTAATAGATATTAAATGAGTAAAAATTTATATGGTGATTTTCTAATAGATTATAAATAAGGTATTCTTTTAATGGATAGAGTAAAAAATTAAATTAATGAATCGGATACACTGTTTATTGTCATCCTAGGTGTGAACTGGGAGAAAAAAAAAAGAGAAAATAATTGGAGTAATAATATAAGTATGAAATACATTAAGTTAAGCCAATCAACAAGCACATTAACAGTTATTTGATCTCATATGATATTAAAAGTCAAAAACAAGACACAGACTTAATTATGAGTATACTAGGTGTTTCCTTGTTAATTATATGGCTAAAATGATTGGAATCATATCAACCACATGAGATTAGCTAATTAAACGGGAGCAGATTCCTGTTTTCTGGATAAATATATTAATTTACGAGTATATTTTTATGTGGTTTGGTTAAAATTTGGGATCTTTTTATTCGTTTCTTCCTTAGTTCTAACTGGCCTCCTGATGTGACGAAGCACCTGGATAATTATTTATAATACTTTCTGAGATCTATTTTTTTAGCAGGATCAAAAGTCACAATTTTTTTTTTTTTTTAATTTTTTGTACAAGGTTGAAGCAGCATTCTAGCTTATGGAATTTCCACAACACGAGAAATTTCGTAGATATGATTTTATCCCCCTAAAAGATAAGGGATGTGGTCCCTGAAAAACAGAGATATGGCGGAAGTATGTTGGTCTTCCTGAACTTCTTTACCATACTCTGTTCTTTAATGTGGAGCCACAGGACAGGTCAGGCGTAGTTGTTGAGGATATATTCATACGTTCGATTTGTCTTAACAGGGGCCAAATAGAGAGCTTTTACCCAAATTCGTGTCCATATCTCACTTCTCTTGAAAGCGGTTTCTGGTTCGACCCTCTCCCCTTTAACCGAAGATTCGTCTATACTGGGCATACTGATTCCACCATGCAAATACAAGAAATTTGCAGATGGCACTGCAACAGATTTATTTGCTTAGCAAAGAGAATATAGAAAGTGGGGAGTAGAGGCCAGAAACTGAGAAACATGAAGCATCGTTTCTAAAGGTACTTACCCTTTTCCTCTGCTAAAAGGGGATGTTATGCTCCTTAAGTATTTGTTCAGCCGATTTCCACTCATCAGGACTATACTTGTCTAATGGGAAGCGCAAGGCCTGGGCAGCCTTATTGTGCAACTTAAGACAGAAAGCAATCCTAGAGCTGAAGGCAGCCTGTGGCTGGGCTGTAGAGTAAATGTCTCCAGTCTCCTCCAATACTATCCACCCATTTGCATGATCGATTTTAGCGTTAATTACTCCATCTCGGATGGCCTTTGCTACAACGCTTTCGACATCTGCAACGAGGTTTGTGGAATGCATCTTCAATTTATTAGCAACATCTGCAAGTGAGATGCGGGAATAGGAGATGCTGATGCTGCGCAGTCCAATCCTGATGACGCTAGGTCGCAGTCGAACAATCACATTGTTTGTCCTGTCTGAATAAGAAAATGTCAGCAAACTTTTTTGCTAGATTACTAAACAGCTCCAGGTCGCCAATTCGTACAGCCTGGCAGATTAATCACATTGTGTTCGAGAAATCAATATAAATGGGCTCGCCCTTGTATGCTTTGGTATAATCAGGTCTAAAGACCCAAACAGTCAGCCATGTCAAGTAAAGCACTTAAAGAAAACTCACTTACATTTGTAAGCTCGAAGTATGGCGTCAAAGCCCCCTGCATTCCACTCTGAGTAAAGATTGTCCTCTCAGGTATTTCTCCCAACAGTAAACGAACTAGGACAACCCACTTTTTACAATGAATTCGAAAGTCCCGAGCTGCAGTAGGAGCTCTCCAATCAGCTAGCTGAAAACTCTTTTTTGCCTCAGTATACTCCAGTTGAATAGTGCGAATCTTTCCAATATAAAACAAGTATCGGCAAACCTACAAAGAGCATGTTTAATTAAGAAATAAGTTGGATAAACGGATACATACAACCTCTTTCTTTCTTTTTTTGCTATTAAGTGCTACCAGCGAAAAAGCGCTTGTATTTCCCCTGTTAAAGTTAGGCATAGACCAGTTAAAAACACAGAACAGATTCCCTTTCATCCCTATCATTTTTAAACAAGCGATCCACGAGAATAGACCCAAAACAAAATCCGTACCTGCTGACTTGAGCGTGTTTGGAATTTTGGTTCCTTTGACCTCAATTTCTCTGCCTGGTTATATATAGTTTGTAATGCAGGTAATTACGAAGCAACAGATTGAGAAGTGTTTCCTGCATCATTGTCTTTGTATCACGTATGAGCTCCTGAAACCAAACATAAGCAACCTCCAGGTCGACTGGTAACAAACCTGACTCAGCTCATCACGGTGCAAAGCAGCAGTGTTATACAAGTTGCGGAGGTTCCGGGAAACAAAAGCACAGTTCTAAAGCTAGAATTCAAAGCAAGCCCTCCAATTACCTAATGCTTCCACTTTACCAGAAGGTCAATATACCTTCCTAAAGAATATTACGTAGGTCATGTGAAAGTACTGGTTTAAATTATGCCATTATCAATCTCGTGCACATGCTGACGTAGACAAATTTCAAGATAAAGGTTTGCTTACCGAAGAATTTCATTAAGATGACCTGTGACCTCATAGCAATACGAGTAATAGAAGTACATCCTTGATGTTAGAACACTAGCTAACAGTATCGACAGTATCTCTGCTTAGATTCTTCAGTCGAGTAACGCCATCTAAGACACAAGCTTTAGCCTGAAAAGAACCTAGCACACGGCACATTCCCCACATATACGACAAAAACAATGGCCACAAATACATCACGCAAAACTAATATAACCTCAAGATATCTACTCTGATCAATCAGAAATATCAGCACAAGAAAGTAACAGTAAAATTCAAGCTCTGGCGAAACTTTTATCTCTAGAACATTGAGAGCAGAGTTTGGAGAACGACCGAGTTAATATCAAAAGTATCGCTAAATCCATCAAGCCTACACAAAAAGAAAATGGAAAAAGAAAACGCAAAACCGATCATAGCTTAAAAAACGTAATTATGAACTGAATAAATAAAAGTGGAAGCTGATGATCATATTTTACTAACTATCAAAGATGGAAGAGTGAGCTGAGGTTGAGGAAGAAACAGTGGAATAGCTAGAAATCCTTTTTGTCTCGACTGGTTTAGACATTACTGCTAAAATATTCTGTATCAGAGATGAAAATTGTGAGGAAATGGTGAATTTAGGGTTTTATTTTGATAAGAGAAATGTAGCAAGTTAGCACTGATATTACCTGCAAATCTTAGCTGGCAGTCTGGAGAGGAAGCTCTAGAACGGTGTGGAGTCCCTGCTTGGGATTTGGGTCAGTTTCCTGTTTCTTTTCATCAGTTTTTTCCGCCTTATAGTTCTGTTGTTCTGTTAGCTTTTGATGCTAGCACAAGAGTTGTTATGATTATAAATTGTAAGAAGAGTAAATTACAACTCAATCCCTGTTCTTTTGGTGTTTTTGGGAGTTAGTTCTTTTAGTTTTAAAAATTATAAGTTAGTTGTTCTTTTTTTATCAAATTTGACTGTTAATTTTTTTTTCCTTGAAAATCTAACTTCCTTTTGTAATTGAATTTTTAGTTTTGTAAGTAGTAGGTGATATTGGAAATTTTGATTTGAAATGAGGGATATTTTAGAAGAAAAAAATAATTAAATTGTCATGAAAAATCAATATAAGGACTAAGTTACAAATAATTATGAAATTATAGAGACTTGATATTGGGTTTCTTAAAATAAAGGGATTAACTAATTATTTTACTAAAAATGTAAGGATCAACTATAATTTACTCTTCTAAGAAATACATAACCTGTCTTTATCCCTTTTCTAATAGAAATGCTGACAAGCTTAGGCGGTAAATTCATATGGCATAATAACGACTTAAATTGGCACAAACCTCCATTTATAGAGAGAAAAATTTGCAGACATTAGGCATGCTTGTAACCATCTGATGAACTGAGAAGGAAAGTCCATGGCTTGAAGGACGTTGAATAGAAACTGCTAGTGAACAGAATCAACAGAGTCAAAAGCTTTCATCAAGTCAATTTTTAGAGTGCTTTTTGGAGAATAGATGACTTATGATTGGCCCCTTACAATTTCTTGAGATAACAACATATTATCACCAATTCTTCTACCTTTTACAAAGACAGTTTGATTGAGGCTAATAAGATGGGGAAGACACTCTTAATCTGTTGGCAAGAATTTTAGCAACGCATTTATAAAGTGTTGTGCAGCATGAGATGGGCCGGAATCCAGTAATCTTGCATGCATTAGGAGTCTTTAGCACCAAAGTGACAGTGGTAGCCTTGACTGCTTTGAGCATTTTCCAGCTATGAACGAAATTTGAAATGTCTTCTGTTACCTCTTACAGCTATGAACGAAATTTAAAATGTCTTCTGTTACCTCATCTCCAATATATTATCTTTCAAGATGTTTTGAAAAATTCTGCCGTATATCCATCTGGACCAGAAGCTTTGCTGCCATTTAAAGAAAACATAACTTATTTGATTTCAGCACCAGTGATGGGAGCCACAAGTAATTGTTGATGCTCTATTGTCATTTTGTTTTTCAAAACCACGCTTCCAGCATTAGTAGCACCATCTACTACCCCAAATAGTTTCTGATAAAATCCAATGATTTCATCTCTGATTGTTGCTATAGTTGTCAAGTTTTCACCATTTGCATTGTACAGAAGCGTGATGTTATTTCTGGTTTTCCTAGAATTAACTATTCTATGGAAAAAGCCAGTATTGAGATCCCCTTCTTGAACCAACTTACTCTAGATTTCTGCTTGGAAAAACTTTCTTTAGCGTAGAGATATCCTGCGAGCATTTCAGATTAAGCGTCTTTGGAGGGATTTTAAGAAGGTTTAATTCTTTTGCAAAATCTGAACATGGGCCAACCTTCAACTCCACAGTCACCAAATGATTCAAATAGCATTTACATTTCATAATAATAAATGAGGAAGAGAGAGGGAGAAAGAGAGAGAGTACCTAAAGGTTTCTCTTTCCTTTTCGTCAGAGCTTTGGTTGATGCTCTGGATCATCAGTTAATCTCTACTCTGTTTTTTAAGCTCTGAGTCATCTGTGATGAAGTTATAGTCAAGCTTTGAGTCTTCTGCGAAGGGCCTTTATTCATTTGGTGATCAGGGCTAAGACTCTTTTAAGCTTTAAGTCCACTAGCCTACGTTTGAAAATCCGTAGCAATTAGAGAGGAAGCAAAAGCCTCATGGACAATTAGTTATATATACGTCTGATATGTGTGATTGCAGGAGACGATTTGTTTTAATATGACAGCAAAATATGAGTCTTTGAATCATTGGCAGGGACGGTAGGAGGAGGAGGAGAAGCTTTGGAGAAGAATATTTGTCTTTACATGTTATCAGCACTGAAATGGATTGAAATTCACAGTGCAAGTAATACAATTAAAACTTCCAATATAATATCCAAGAGACTTTAGCGTCATAGGCAAGCCTATCCTTCCCTGACCATAAAAGTGAACAGCTTTGATAACTGATACAGGAAGAACAAAGATTAGGCACCAGTAATTTTGGATGCCAAGCACCACAGAAGAGATAAGTTGTCATCTGCCTGCAAAAGAGAGGACTTTAGATGCCCATTGATGAAGCCTGGCTGTAATTTTTTTCCAACAATGCCTTACAGCACCAAATCTCAATTTTCCAGATACCGAACTGGAAGCTCTCCTGATTTTAAACCAGAAATACATTGAAGAGCATTAGTTCTGTCTCGTGAAACCCCTGAACAAAACAGCTCACTTTTCTAAGGATTGAACTTCAATCCAGAAACCAAGTAAAAATGAAGCAGGATGGCAGTAACAGTTGCAGAAGAATATTTGTCTTACTGTTAAATCAGCACTGAAATTGGTTGAACCTCTAATTGTTCATTTCAAGCTATCAATGTTCTCTTGCCTCAATATTTCCTCTGAAATGCGCCACCATACATTAACTCATTAGCAGAACGGGCATTACAATAATAATTTCTGAAAACTTGAGAAGCTATATGTGCTTTTTCACATGTCCATCACCGAGAGCTTGGTTGTCCCAAGAGGAGCTGCAGTTGTGCGCTATGACGACTTCATTGTTTGCTGAGCTGCTGTAGGCTGTGACCACTTCATTGTTTGATTTGATATTGTGATCATTTCCTTCCTCTTCATACATAATCCGTACTCCAATTGTTTTTATTTGAATGCCTGGCTCATTTGCACGCACTGAAACACTCAGTTCATCGCCATTATCAAACTTAACATCCGTAATAACTCCAATTTTCCAATGGTTTAACAGTAAGAATTCACCAGTTCTGTGAAAGGACCTTGGAACAAAGTCAGGGCTGAAGACCACGCTTTTACCCTTGGTATTGTTTTTTATTTCAACGTCAACAGTACGCGTGTTTCTTAAGTCTAATATAGCAAAAAACGTTAGGAAGAGGTTAAAGCCACATGTCTGGTGCTCGGAAGGTGGGGATATTTTGAATGATAACTTTTGAAACTCATTCTGAATTAGCCACTAACCTTGAAAATTCATATTCGTCAGGTAAAACAGTGAGTGTGTTGTCCCAAAGTGTTACCTGTTCCATCAAAAAATAATCTATAACAGCCAGCAGTCCTCCTACGTTCCATGATCATTACTAGTTCATCCAGACACCATCTTGAAGACGCATAGTCTTTGGAGAACACGATTATTGATATTTTCGATTGTTGTATTGCTCTTTGGATCTCGAACTCGATATTTTCTCCTCTCCTTATTTCATCATCATCTCTAAACGTGTGAATCCCTGACCGAACCAGGGCTGCGTAGAGGTGATCGATAAAATTCTTGCGAATGTCATCACCTCTAAAACTCAAGAACACTTGATATTTACAACGAGAAAAGCGTGAAGATGAGGAGTCGGGATAATTCACAGCAGCCATTCCAAAGAAGAAATTTTGTTCAAAGATCTGCATAAAAGAGAAAAAAATGAGGATCAATATCGTATTCATACTGCTCCTTAAATTTGTATATCAAGTTGGTATCTTGTCAAATTTGTAACCATAACAAGCCCATGAAGTGAATCCGTTATGATCAAATTTGTAATAACCCTTATACCCCATGAATCAAAACAAGATTAGCTTATAACTTCTTATCAATCTGTGTGCTGATCTAACAAAATCAGTTACTGGAATAATGAGATCAGATCAATAAGTTGTAAGAGAACTTTCATGTAACAAAATGATTTATTGACTTGATTATTTTATTACTTCTGATCAATCTACCATAAGCTGTATTTTCTTGAAGTATTATTATTATTATTTAGTAGATTTGGATGTGATTTTTTTTGTCTATATTTCTTTTTAAAACAGACTTATAAAATAATTATTGTGAATATTTCTTGAAGTATTTTAAAATTTATTGGACGGTGACTGGTCAATCCTTCAACCGCAATCCAAATTAAGAATGCAAATCAAATTCATAATTTTTTTGCTTTATTCGTGTTTTTGTCGTTTTATGCCAAGCTTCTCACCTCTTTTTGACGTTTTCTACCTTCGCTTCGCCAGTGTACGTCGTGACTTATTTATACGTTAGCGATCAGCTACCTCTCTCTCTCTCTCTCTCTCTCTCTCTCTCATATCAAACAAGTTTTCCCTCCAGCCAATTGTTATACATATATATACAGTGGAATTGCATGCCAAGAATTCTCTGTTTATTATACGGACTAACTTAATTAACGTCCGAATGATCATGGGAATGGAAAAGTGGAGCTTCTTTTCCGGTGTATCAATTTGCGTCTTTTTGAGTTTTGCATTCGGAGAAGCAGCCCCAAGAGGGTCACTCGTCACAAAATTGCCAGGCTTCAACGGCATTTTCCCGTCAAATCACTACTCAGGGCAAGTTAAACTTTTCCTTCATCATTTAATTATATTGTTTGTCTTTCTTTCACGTTGTCGTATTCAATTGATTTGTTTAGCAAACAGGAGAAGGTATTTGAGATATGTTATTAATTGAGACATTTTAAAACGCTCTAAAAATAACTATTATAAGTATACAATAATTACTCAATAGGATACAATAATTAGTCAACAAGTTTATTTTTTAAAAGAAAATAGATACATAAAAAAATCATATCAGAACCTATGAAAAATGATAAAAAAAATTTTATTTAAATTTATTTTTTTATATTTATTTCTTTATTTTATCTATCTTTCTTTTATGGAACAAGTACTGATAATTACTCCTTAAATAATATAAATTTTTTTGTTAATAATTAAGAGAAATTTTATCATACTTGAGGAGTAATTATTATACATGAGTCCATTTTTATTATCAATAAGTTCATTTTTTAAAAGAAAAATAGATACATAAAAAAAATAGAACCTATAAAAAATGATAATATATATATATATATATATATATATATATCTCTTCTTTTTTATCTATCTTTTTTTTATGGAGTAAGTATTGGTAATTACTCCTTAAATAATATAAAATTTGTTGTTATTCATTAAGAAAATTTTAATAACTACTATACATGGGCTCATTTTCAAAGAGGGATGGACACGTACAAAAAAGAAAATTACATCCGAATTTGTCAAAAGTGATAAAAAAGTTTTCACGTTGACTTATTTTTTTTATTTTTTAATTTTTTTTTTGTTTATCTCTCTCTATGAAATAAGTTCATAAAATAATATTACTCTTTAAATATTATAAAATTTCTCATTAGTTAATAGTATGTGTGTGAGAGTTTTAATGAGAATATTGTTCTTTAAATTTCAACCTGTAGCTATATAACTTTTGATGAGAAGAATCTTTTCTACTACTTCGTTGTTTCTGAGAGAAATGCGTCCAAGGATCCTGTGGTTTTGTGGCTTAATGGTGGACCTGGATGCTCTAGCCTCGACGGCTTCGTTTATGAACATGGTAAGCCTTTGTCTATCAAGTACCGAGATTTATATGGATTTATTGATTTTTCTCTGTTTCACTCATCTTATGCATACTTAATTTCTTGATCATTTCACACTTATTTATTTATTTATTATTCTTGTAATTTATACTAGATAACGAATATTATGATAACAAGCCCTTTTGTTTTTCGTTTTCTAATAACATTTTCTTTGAATATATATATATATAATCAATTTTGTAGTGGTACCTGTTAAGTTCCTCTAAAAAAAAATTACTACCTAGTTTGGAAAGATGAGGATATGGGAAAGCATCAAATTCATTTTCATTGAACACCCAAATTATGAATTTGGACTTCATGACGAATAAGCTAGATATTTCTTACTTCATGATGATTAGGGCCAAAAATTGACTAATTGATAGATTTTTATTTTTTTTTGGAAAATTTTAAAAATATCACCCAGTTGTGTAAGTAGTCTCAATGTTACCATCAAACTTTTAGAAATTATCAATTAAAGACTTTTATTTATTTTTAAAACTTTTAATTCATATTTTCTTTCAAATTATATTTTTTATCGTAAAAAATGATGTCATTTTGTTTTAGAATGACTAAACAGAAGTCTTTAATTGAGAAATTATAATAATTTTATGATAAAATTAATATAAAAAATAATTTGAATGCAAAATTAATAATAATCTAATAGTTTGCCGGTCTATTTGATGTTTGTCCTAGTTTTTTAACCCAAATTAATTAGTGTTTATGATAAGGCATATATAAGACCGAAAATCAACAAAGTTGCACTTAGTGAGGAAGGAAAAACACCATTATTTATTTTTTCTTCTTTCCTATCTTAAATGACTGTAAATATTTTAGTTAATTGGTTTAGATATTGAATGTCTGATGTTTGAAAAAAGGAGGCCGAGCCTATAACTCATATTAATTCTCAAAATACTCCTAAAAATCTAAAGTAAGATGAATCAATCTTAATTAAATTAATTAAAGAAAGATAAATATGAAACTTTAAATCTACTACATCCGAAAAAGCATCCATCTTCAATCATTATCGTAGTGTTAAAAAGATTATCTAATTAATGATGTCCTTAATTACTTTTCATTATATATGTAGATTTAGATTTAGAGAACAACAACGAAGAAGAAGATATTAAGTGCATTCTATTGTGAAAATAAAAAGTCAAAATATCACCTTGAAACCATATATAGAATTCTACGTTATTGGTCATATATTATTCCCTCGATCAATGCCTTCGGTCATTCATGTTTAATTAATTTGTTTATAAGCTTGATGGATGATCCATACAAAATTACCTATTGATCTTCAATTACAAGCAAACATGTTTATTAAAACGTCGCATAAAAGTAGCATTTTTATTTTTGTAACTATATTGTGTGGTTGTATCCAAATACACGAAAGAGACACAGAGGAGAAAGGTTAGCTTAATTTCATGATTAGTTTTAGTAGTTCTAATTTACCTTCTCTCTTTTAACCACTCCTAATACACTTCTTGAAACTTTCAATGTCCTCATATCTTTGAATGCTAACTCTGTTCTTGGTTGTATATGCAATATATGGTTTGCATAGTAGCCTTGGTTGAAAAGTTTGAACTGATCGATGACATAAGTTTCTTGGGAACTTGATACTGATCTCTTGAAATTATTAATTTTTAGAAGTCAACCAGCTCGGTCTAATTTTTAAACTACTTTTTAACCCATTTGAATGCCCATTATATAAGAAACTTTTCCAATTGGGTCACCATCCATATTCATTAATGTTTTCTATTTAAATAGTTTGTTTTAAACAAATCGCTTCTTGTTGGAAAAGTGAGAAGTATTTGCTTAATTAGTTGAATTATTTTGTTTAATTTGGTTTGATTCCATTTGAATCTATGCAGGACCATTCAATTTTGAAGAAGGAAAGCCTAAAGGAAGCCTACCAATATTGCATCTCAATCCATATAGTTGGTCCAAGGTCATAACTTCAATAGTTCTATTGAATTCTTTTTTTTTTTTTTTTGCATTTGTTTTTATTTTATTTATTTTATTTCTTCTTCTATTATTTGCTTATAAATATATTGATATAAATCCTTACTTATTATATTTTCTTTGATTGTTGTTTTCATCGTTTTCAAATAGGTTTCAAACATTATCTATTTGGATTCTCCTTGCGGTGTTGGCATATCTTATTCGAAAAACGAAAACAAATACATTAACGATGACTTACAAACAGCTGCTGATACACATAAATTTCTCCTCAAGGTAATTTAAGTTTATAAATAAGATAAAAAAATATCAGCATAAGATTAGTAACGATAACAAAGAAAATTAATATGTGTGTGTGTGCGCGCATATGTTCCGACACTTGTGTATGTGTAAATATGTATGGATATGTATTTTGAATACTAGACTTTAACACCATTTGCATCCATGTTCTTGAAAAATGTAAAAAAAAAAAGAAGATATAGTTGGAGGTTAAGTAGCAAGGCCAAATGTCTAGCCTTGTTTGGATCGAAATATTGCAGTCCTTAATTAACTCTATTATGCTTTAATTTTAGATGTTATATTTTATTATTATTTCATAAGGATGTCTGTTATATTTGGAGTTTATTTTAGTCCATATATTTGTTTTGGATTTGGACTAAATTAGTTAGTCCTTATCGAGTTTGGATTGAACTTGTTGTGGCCGAATGGCTTAGGAATTTTTTGTCCTAATTTTTTTTGGACTAGGATCAAATATCCTTGTTTGTTTAAGAAAGGTTGTTGCCGCACCTTTTGGTGTCCTAATTGGTTTAATATTTTGTCTTGGCATTTAAGTATTTTTATGTAATATGAAAAAATAGCTCTCGATGAATTATTGAATAAAATTTGTGAGAATTTTTTCTCTAATTAATAATTTGTGTGTCGTTTTGTATTTTCTATAACCTTTACTAAATCAATCAAGATGATGTTAACTATTAATATTAGTTTAGATTGTAATAAATCTCATCAAAATCAATCGAAACTAGAGCTACTTTTGCCAGTGAGAGATTTGGCCATAACAAATTAGGGTTGAAAATTTTTAGACTTCATCTACTTTGAAGGAATAGCATTTGGCCATTTCTTAAACTAGGGTTTGGAGTTTGGGTTTGTAACAAATTGTTACAAAATTGGTGTCAGACGGCCCACTATTATGATCCTACTTTTCTATTAATCAATAAATCAAATACTAATTATCCAAGGCTATATTCTCTCCCAAGCCTTTATAGTTCAACTTTTAGGTCAGCTTGTGAAAATAAAATTATTATGAATTCTCTTTTTCAAGCTTGAATAATTTATCTTTAACATTATCAGAGAGGTAGACTCAGTATTAAGTACTAGAAAATCAAATGGATAGAAATAAACAGAATCCCCAGTAGATCAATACTCCAAGATTTTTTTTTTATTTCTCTAAAATAGGATTTGATGTAAATTATCAACCGAAATTTATTATAATTTTTTAGATAAAGACTATTTATTTAGTAATAACACATTTTCAATAATTAATTATTAATTTGACCCACATTTTACTATTTATCAATTGAACCATGAGCATGTATGAAATTTTGTATAAAAAGTTTGGTAATTATTTTCATTTTTAACATCTTTTTGTTTTGCAATATAGTGGTTTCAACTATATCCAGAATTTGTTACCAATCCATTTTATGTCTCGGGAGAGTCTTATGCTGGAATTTACGTGCCTACTCTTGCTGCTGAAGTGGTGAAAGGTCTGTAAGCCATTTCAAGAGTATTTACACACGATATAACAAATTCTTTATTTCTTAAAAAATAAAAAATATCTGTAATATGGTTACTAGTTTATACATATAATTTTACAGACAATTTTGCTTTCTCTTGCAGGAATAAAGGCTGGTCAAAAACCTATTATCAACTTCGAGGTAACATAAATATGCCACTGAGACAAGAAGATCCAGTTCAAATAAATTGGGTAAATATGGTGTAACTACTAATCATAGGTCTAGTCAATTCATACAGGGCTACCTGGTAGGCAATGGTGTAAGTCGCAGTAAATTTGATGGGTGGAGTGCTCTTGTCCCTTTTACACATGGGATGGGTCTTATTTCGGACGACATATTTGAGGCAAGAAAATTATATTTAATGTTATAGACAATTAAATTGATTTTTTTTTCATGTTATTTAAATTTAAATAACGATAATTTAATTATGTTATTTTTTCTGACACATGATCTTATTATGCAATTCAACATTATTTTTACATAATAATATAAAATTATTTTTTAGTCTCATTTAAAAGTTTAAATTTTTGAATTGAAATAATTTTTTTATATAATAATTATTATTACATAATAATATAAAATTATTTTTTGAGTCTCTTTCCGAACAAGAGAGAATTGAAACCAAATAGTCTCAATTATAATTGTTTAAATTATGTTTGCTTTTCCAAATTCGTTCTTGATTAATGCAGCTGATGGAAACTCTTGCAGGAAGTTCAACGTACTTGCAAAGGAAATTATCAAAATCTTAGTGATAATTGCGGTGACAGTATTTATAAGATAGACCAAGTAAGATGATGCTTTCTTAGCATTTTAGAAGTTATGATTTCAATATCTGAAGCAAATGGATCAAATTTTGGTGCTTTTGATTTCTTCTTAGAGGATCTTGGGGCTAAACCTTTACGACATCCTTGAGCCATGCTACCATGATCCTGAATCCGATCAACATGGCAAAGGAAACACAAGCTCAAATTTGCCAATTAGCTTCCAGCAATTAGGGGTTACTGACAGGCCTCTCAAGGTGAGAAAGAGAATGTTTGGCCGTGCTTGGCCATTTTGGGCGTTTGAAAAGGACGGTTACTTCCCAATGTGGTCGGAACTTGCAGTGCAAGGAAGCGTTCCATGCATTGTAAGTTATTCAAATCCCTTTTAGTGATCCAATGAAATTAAGCTATATTCGAATATTGTATAATGACACAAAATTAAGCATCTTATTTGCTCTTACTAATTTTCCAATATATATATATATATAACAGAATGATGAAGTGGCAACTATATGGCTAAATGATGAGTCAGTGAGGAAAGCAATTCATGCCGAGCCAGTAAGTAGTCAAAATTTATGATCTTTTTTTTAAGAAAAAATCTTCCTTTTGTTTAACATTCTGCTTATTTAATTACAATTATAGAAATCCGTTGCTGGTCCTTGGGAGATATGCTCTAGTAGGATAGTTTATGGATTCGGTGCTGGAAGTATGCTTCCATATCATCAAAATCTAACCACCCAAGGATATCGAGCCCTTATTTATAGGTAATGTTCTCTTTAATTTTCGTTTTTTTTTTCCTCTTGATAAAATATTTCTTTAAGCTTGGTAAAAACTATTTGAGAGAAAGTCTAATATATGTAAGACATTTATGTTCCTTGGAGGTCCAATATTCTTATGAGTGTAGTTTTTTTTTTTTTTTTTTTGAGAAGTTCCAAGTATATATAATGTTACTTTATGATATATATAGAATTAGTCAAGAGTTATATAAGACTGTTTTAGAAATTCATCAAGTAATTTAAAATTTTAAATTAAAATAATTTTTTAACAAAGTATCAAATCTTACCGATCAATTGCTTTTGAATTCGAATCTTACGACTCTTATTCTGTTTTTTAATTAAAATTAAATCATCACAAGATAGTATGATCAATCTTTTTAATTTTTAAGCTTAAAATGCATGCTTTTACTTAGAGATACAAAAATCTTTTCTAGATTTCGGTGATTCCTCCAATTATACTTAATAAACATTCTAGTATCATGTTCTTTTGTTTATAGGAGTCTTTTTTCCACAATTTCGGAAAAAATAGAGGTAGACTAAATAAAAGTAATTTTTTGTTTTTTTTTTTTAATTTTAGAAAGTCTAATTTTTGTTTATTTTACATACAGTGGAGACCATGATATGTGTGTGCCATTCACTGGTACGCAGGCATGGACAAGGTCGCTTGGATACAAGATAGTAGATGAATGGAGGGCTTGGTCATCTAACGAACAAATTGCCGGGTAAAATTATTATCAAATCAACCTTGAAAAACTTAGAACTTCACACTACTTACCGTATTTTTCTGGATGAACAAGTTGCAAGAAGTTTATCTTGAAAATTCTCTCTTTATTTTTCTCACCTATAAACATGCTTTATATAAATATTGTGTGTAACCAATGGTTGTTGCTCATGGCTAATTTCATTTTTATTGTTACAGATACTTGCAAGGATATGCTCATAACCTGATCTTTTTGACCATCAAGGTATGAAAATCGCATCATTATACATGTTTGCAATATCTTTTATATAAATAATGATTTTGGAATGCACATCAATCACTTCACAGTTATGAGTTGGCATATTTTCAGCGTTTACTAAAAACCTATTTGCACCGCATGATTTCTATTAAATTTGCCAGTAACATTTTATCTTTCTTGCAAAGTATTATTAAGAGGAGTATTCTGCAGTATTTTTTCTATGATACAGAGATAGCAAATGTAGTCTTACTTTAAACATTGATCATTTGAACATGACTCTAAAGCAAACCAAAATACTAACAGTTTTGATCTATAACTTGATAAATTGATGTCTTGTAGAATGACATAAGAAGAAGCAATGCAAAGGATTTTTATTAACATATTGAACTAGTTTCTGACATACATATATAGTATTTTTCAACAATAATTTTGGAAAAAAAAACTATCAATATACCCTTATATATTGCGTTATTTATCAATCATACCATTTTATTAAAAATAAAAATAAAAATAAAACCAATCAATATTGACCTTTAATTTGCTTTCATTCTCTAACATACCCGACGTCAATTATTTCCATTAAAATAAAGGTCACGCACATAGGATATGATAATTTCAATATGAATTGATGAAGTTGCTTCTTCAAGTAAATATAAATTACTGTTTCAAAAAACTAAGGTATAAAATTCATGTGTACAGTACGAGAGAATTGTAATATGCAACTAAGTTGACCTAGGCTTAGTCCCTGAACAAACATTTTTTTTTCGTATTATATTGATATAAAGATAATTCATCAGTTCATATGGAAAAATTTACTCCCGTGTGGCGAACGTAATTGTCAGTTTTAACGATATTAATTGATAGAATTAAAGGGTATATTAGAGAATAATAATTACAAAATTGATTGATTCTTTTATTGAAGGGTATGGTTGAGAAATAGTATAATATATAATTAAAAACATATCAATAGGTTTTTCCAAAAGTTCGACAAATAACCTAGTCTTAATTCCAAGGTATTTACTTTAGTAATGTCTTGAATCTATTTTTAAGAACATAATTGAATGGAGATGGTTAATTATCACCTTTATAGCCTTTATTTACAAAAGAAATTTGTATAGCTCTATTTAAGTCGTGTAAGGTGAAAAAGCATGTGAAAGACTACGAATTAAATTATTTTTCTTCTAATAACCAATTTCTTTACACAGGGTGCAGGGCATACAGTTCCTGAATACAAACCAAGAGAGTCGTTGGATTTCTATAAACGTTGGTTGGATAAGGGGCAAATATAAAGATTGGGATCTGGGGGAATGAATAATTAAGGTTTCATTTCATAGACACTCTGATTTGTGCTATCTTCTCTGGCATAGTGAAAGGAACTTTTGTTTATTTATATGTGAAAAGAAAAATGCAAAAAATTATTCAATAAAGGTTTCATTTGTGGATAACAAATTAAATGAGTTTTTTCTCATATTTAAATCTTGTATTCTTTAAATTTTTTTTTATTGAAATCCTTTATTTTCGAGATTTTTTACTTTAAACCCTTCGTTATAACATCATCAATTCGTGATTAACGTGCTATACTTTTTGAGATTTTTTACTACATAATACCATATGTCTATCACTAGTTAGTGATATTATAACAAAAGATCTGAAACAAGAAGTCCTAAAGAGTACAAGGTCTCAATAAAAAAGATTTGAAAAATACATGACCTAAATATAAGAAAAACTTCCAATTAAGCATATGAAGCTAGCGAATGTTGTATGACAAATTCTTATGGTAAACATATATCAACTATTTACAACAATAAACTATCTTACAATAAGCATATGCTTCGATCTATGTATAATTGTATTGGAAACACCTCGACTTAAATTCTAATCTGCAATGCTATTAGTTATCATACTACTTGTATTGTCACATTTTTCTTGCATTATAATTTAACTTTGGTTATATATATATATATATATATATATATACTAGTTCCAAATAGTTATTGTTTAATCTTTATCAAAACCAAAGCTTGATATTCATACTATGGATGACAATGTACAGATACTTGATCCATTAATTCATTCTTTTATTCTATTTATTACCCATTAAGAAATCACTATATAAATTTTTATTCAGCTCATATCCAACCCATATTAGTTTATCAGTCTATTTAGTACTCATTTAATACCCGTTAAAATTAATTTATAAAAAAATATTTATTTTAATCCCTATAATTTTCTATAAAGGTTTTTTATCCTTAATTTTTTATTTTTTGCATTTTGATCATTTATTTATTTTTATTTTTTTGGTCCTCAAAGGTTTTGAAAAATATTTTGTTCTTTAATTTTTAAATTTTATACAATTAGATCCCTACATGTTAATAAAAAAATCAAAATAAATTAGTGAATTTTAATAAGATAAAAAATGGGTATTCATATCCTGAAACTATATTAGTGGATATTATTTTTTTATTTTTACTATTTCAATACCCATCGGACATTTTTAATGAAAATTTATCGAACCAGGTAAAACGAATATCCGTTTTATACTCAGCTCATTACTATCCCTAATCCATACTAACTTAAAAAGGTGAAAAGAACATTTAATTATGTAAAATTAGGAAAAAATAAAGGTGAAACAAGCTAAGTTACTAAACTAAATAAATCACAAAAACAGTGACCAAAATAAACTAAGTGAGACAAAAATAAAAAAAACAAAACATTATGTTTCAAATTTTCCCTTGTCTTGCAGAAATAAGGGGCACTGTTGAAAAGACTTCAACGTTGGACTAATAAAATAGAGAAAATCTACAAAACAAGGGACTGAGCTCAACAAAAATGGAAAATCATTAAAATACTTCTGTCCATTTTTTTTTTTTTTTTAACTTTCACTTCTGTTGATTTTGCCGATGTTTTTCTTCATGTTTCAGCCTCCATTAGCTCACATTTTAGCTCAAAACGACCACCCCTTCAACCTCACCATATAGTAGGCAAGGAGAGGGAGAAGAATGCTAGATTTCAGTCAGAATTTGGAGCAAACAGCCAGCCAAAAGAGACTCCAAACTAGCATGGAAAAAAATATATCAAAACTTAACTAGCCAACCAGCTAACAAAAGTTAACACAACAAGAACATTCAAAACCTACATTTGGCTCAATACGAGAATAAAAACAATGAGGTATATACCTACTAAAGAGAAAAGAAATAACACCAATGGTGAGAGATTGATGTGAAAAGTTTATACAAAGTCTTGATCCAAAAATTAGCTAGGCTCTCTAGCTACTTTATCCTTCTCCTTTTTTATGCCCAACCTCTAACCAAAACTCTCTCTATTTTCTTTCTATAGTTACCCTCAGCTTCCTCTATTATCCTGGGCTTTCTTTCTGTCTTTCTTTTCTCCCCAAACTCTCAAAAAAGTCCTCTCCAACCCTTGTTCGAAACATCTTTTTTATAGTCTTTGTCAGATAGTTTTTTTCAAGGCTTTTTCATCAAGTTTTAGCCTTTTATTTTGTAAGATTAATCCACTCCCTACACGTTCCTAGCTATGTAAGATGATGAATAGTACCTAGCGTGAAGAAAGACCACATGGATACTTATTAGATATTGTTTGTCATTTTACTTAACTAGTATTAACAAAAGATTATAATACCTAGCGTGATGATGAATGGTACCTAGCGTGAAGAAAGACGCCGTTTCACCCTGTTAGATTATATTTTTTGTTTTTCATTGAATTGTAGTATTAACAAAAGAAAAGATGAAGTTGTTGCTGCTAAGTTGGTACAATTTGAGAATTTATTAAAAAAATAACCTCTCAAGGTTATAATATTTGTTTTACTAAAAAATGTATTTATTTATTTATTTTTATTAATTTCAATTCATTTATTATTATTACCACCACCACTACTACTTTTTTTAGGTGATATCTAAATATTTCATAAACTTCAAGGATTAAATTGAAATTCATACATTTTTACAAGACTATTCATAACAGAATTGAAAGGAAGGGGGAAGTTGGATCAAAAAAAGAAAACATAGGAGTTGATTGAAACAAATCAAAGATTTTAAGTGAAATTGAAAGAACACATAAACCTCAAGGAGGCAAATTGAAATTGATCCTAAATTATAACTTAATCCTTACAGGGAGAAAAAACCTAATTAATTAGTTCTCGTTCTAAAACACTATATATTCAATTCTTATATTTTTTAAATTTTCTTATAATTTAGTGCTTTTGTCCCTCTCATGTTACTTTCAATTTATTTTATTTTTTCTTTCTTGAAAAATAGAAAATAAAAGAAAAGAGAATTAGGTAAATGGAAAATTTTGACTACAAAAGAATGTATTTTGGGTAAATTTTAATTTTTGTTCTGGAAGTTTGAGGAGTTTTTCTATTTCTCTCATGAGATTTCATTTGTATCAATTATCCCGTGAACTTTTATCTCAGTTTCAATTCTTTCTTTCCATCTATTAAACTAACTTAACTAATGATGTAACATTTTTTAGGTTTCAATTGACTTCATAAAGTTTTAATTATACATGCATTCTTCAATCATATTAACTATTTTGTTTTTGAATTAGAATTATAAGCATTTATTGATCTCATATTTCTCAAATTTATAAACTTTTAACTATAAAAGAATATTAATAAAAATACACAAACTTAAACTATAAATATTGTATATTTTAATGAAAATCATAACTATACTAATACCAAGTTAACATAGATACTTGGTAAAAAATAATAATAATAATAACATAATTTGGTATCATCTTTTTAAATTCTTGTTTTCAAAAAACAAAAATCCGTGTTAATTGTGTAAAAAGTAAAGTTTGATATAATAAATCAATAATACTTATACACTATATATATTTTTGCCCAAATCAAAATTGAAATTTCCATATTAATCCTTTAAATCATATTAAATTCATAAAGTCAAACTAATAACTAATAGTGTGGCATTTCATAACTGAAATAATACCACTTCATTTTTTTTTCCTTCAAATTTTGATGAGACGGTTTTATAAATTTTAATGTGATTGAAGGGTAAATATTTAATTTGTTGGGTTTTTTTTTTAATATCTCAAGAAGTCAATTGAAAATAAAAAATATCATATCATTAGCTATGTTAGTTTAATAGATGAAAATGATGAATTAAAACTCTGATTAAAGTTCAATGGAGTAATTGATACAAATAAAATCTCAGAAGAAAAATTGTGAAACCCCTCAAGTCTCTGGGGACAAATTAATATTTACCCAGGTATTTTGAGAAAAAAAGAAGAAGGTTAATGTCAACTTATGCTATTAAGGTTTTACGACAAATCGATTTTCTCTGTTTTAGATTTCAACTATGTCATGTATATCCTGAAGTTTAAGTCACTTATCAATGTTCCATTTCAAGTTATCCAAACTAACAAAAAAGAAAGTTTTTTTCAATCACTAAACTTTTGAAAGTTGATCAAATAGAAATCTCTTAATCTGTCCCTTCTTTTTTAGAAAAAATATCGTTTACATAATGGAGAAAGACATAAAATAATTTAAAAATTAGAAAAAAAAATTATATCAAGAATACCACAAAAAATTAATACCTTAAAATTAAGAATTGTCCAAAGAAAAACAAAATTTAAGCTTTTGTACGGTTAGAAGGTATAATTATCAACTAACAAAGAAACAATATATTTAATAAACTCGCACGTGAATACGTGATGCAAATACGTGAATACGTTGATGTTTAAAGCATGTTAGAAAACACCATTCAATATCAGACATAACCAGCATTAAAATTCAGACATGGTTAACTATGCCTGAGGTCCATTATGTTTGAAGTTCTCATCTAAATACAAAATAAGTTGACAATATGATTAAAATAAATACAATGAGATATTAAAATATATAAAAAAAAATATGATGATAGAAAAAAAAATTCTATTTTTCTTAGTTTTGATTTTGGGAGAATTATTAAAAATAACTCTCTAAAAAACCTAGAAACTTATTTTCAAATTTCTCAAACCCAAAATAATATTTTTCTTACCAAAATATATTAAATAGTTAATATTAACTAATGTTAAGTAGGAGGTTAACTATTTTGATAAGAAAAAATGATTTTGGGTTTGAGAGATTTGTAAATAAATTAGTGGGTTTTTTTATAGAAGATTTTCTTTTTTATATAATTATCTAATAATAATCTCATTTTAAACTTATTTATGGTCAAGTTTTTTCTACTTTCAATCAAAAGAAAAAAAAAAAAAAGTTTTATTTTTTCTTTAACTGCCGACCCACTGACTTTCGGTTATTATTATTTTTATTACACTAAAAAATTTCCTCTGCAGGAGTTTTTATCTCCTTCTATCCACCATTTATTTCATCAACTAAATGCAGCAAAATACTAACAGCACATAAGAACCTGGAAATTGGAATGGTCCATAACATTTCCAACCACGAACAATGAATATAGTCATGGAAAAAGTTCTGATGAGGCTACTGTCTGTCTGCGATAACTCATTGCCTTGTCCAAAGCACATCGACAATGAGGATTGCCATATCCAATCAAATTAACGTACCGATACCACCATGGAATACAGGTACTTTTCTTATGATACCGAAACAAATCTATTTGCATAGTAAAGACTGAAGAGAACACAGAAAGTGGGAAGTAAAGGCCAGAAACTGAGAAACACGAAGCATCATTTCTTACTATACTTATCCTTCGCCTCTGCTAATTGTTCAAGTAATTCTCCATACAGTACTTGACTTGCTTTTTCCCTCTTCTCAGGACTATCCTCCTCTTTGGTAAGCGCAAGGCCCGGACAGCCTTATTGTGCAAGTTAAGACAGAAAGCAATCCTCGAAGTGAAGGCAGCCTGTGGCTCGGCTGTAGAGTAAATGTCTTCAGTCTTCTTCAATACCAACCAACCATTTGCATGATCGATTATAGCGTTAATTATTCCATCTCGGATGGCCTTTGCTACGATGCTTTCGACATCTGCAACGTGGGTTGTGGAATGCATCTTCAATTTATTGGCAACATCTGCAAGTGAGATGCGGGAATAAGAGATGCTGATGTTTCGCAATCCAACCATGATGACACTATGTCGTAGTCGAAAAATCACATGGTTTGTTCTGTCTGATTTGAAAATGCCAGCAAACCTTTCTGCTACATTACTAAACAGCTCCAGGTCACCAATTCGTACAGCCTAACAGATTAATCAGATGGTCATTATTGTGCAGAGAAATAGATAGAAACGAGCATGTCCAAGTATGCTTTCCTATATTGTCACCTCTAAAGACCAAACAATCAGCCATGCCAATTAAATCACTTAAAGAGAAGTCACTCACATTTGTAAGCTCGAAGTATGGCCTCAAAGCCCCCTGCATTCCACTCCGAATAAAGATTGTCCTCTCAGGTATTTCTCCCAACAGTAAACGAACTAGGACAGCCCACTTGTTACATTGAATTAGAAAGCCACGAGCTGAAACAGGAACTATCTGAGCAGCTTGCAGTAAACTCTCTTTTGCATCAGTATACTCCAGTTGAATTGTCCGAATCTTTCCACGATAAAACAAGTATCGACAAAGCTACAAAGAGCGTGTTTTAATTCAGAAATTAATTGGATAAATAGATATATACAACAAAACATTGTTGTTGTTAAGTGCAACCAGCAAAAACACACAAAGATTCCCTTTTCTCCTTATGTTTTGTCCCATTTTTTCTTTTTTTAACAGCCATGTATTTCCCCTGTTAAATTTTGGTATAGAACAGTTAAAAACAGAAACAGATTCCTTTTTCTCTTTATGTTTTTTCAACAAGCGATCCACAAGAACATACGTCAAGAAGATACCAGAAGTAAAATCCATACCTGCTGAGTTGAGCGTGGTTGAGAATTTGGTGCCATTGACATCAACTTCCATGCTTGGTCATATAGCTTGTAATGCAGGTAATTACGAAGCAACAGATTGATCAGTGTTTCCTGCATCATTGTCATTGTATCACATATGAGCTACTGAATTTCCGAGCAACCTCCAGGTCGACTAGTAACAAACCTGTCCCAGCTCATCATGGACCATAATGGCAATGTGATGCAACTTAAAGAGGCACCTGAAATAAAAGTACAGTACTAAGATTAGAAAACAATGTGATCATATTTGAGAACAAAGTAAGCCCATTTACCTTCCTAAAGAGTGCATAGGTCCATACAAAATTACAGGTTCCAATTATGCCAACATCTTTCACTTACAAGTTCAGAGATAGACAAATTAAACATCAACATAAAGGTTTGCTTACCAACGAATTTCAGCTAGATCAACATCCAAGACCTCATGGGTATACGAGAAATAGAAGTACAACCTATGTGCTAGCACACCAACAGTTGCAAGCTCTAGTCCGTTTAGGCCCATGGTCATCAATCGATAAAGGCCATCGGTGGAACAATCTTTAGCCTGAGAAGAATATAGCGCACACAGCACATTTTACACTATACTACAACAAGGGCAATGGCCAGAGAGACATCAAACAAAGCTAATATAACCTCAAGATCTTTTCCCTGATCAATCAGAAATATCAGCACGAGAAAGTAACAGTAAAACTCGAGCTCTGGCGGAAATTCTACAGCATGAAGTGCAAGAACAGATGCTGCAATATCATCTTCCCCATCCTCCTCATCATCCTACAACCAATATTATCGCAATAATCTAATAACCAATCATTTTTCAAGAGAAAAAAAAATCAATCATATAAATCTACAGAACAAAAAATGCATGATCACATATCGTTCTCATCATAAATAAGCAAATTAACTACTGAAATTTTATTAGCTCAATGTAATTAAATTATTAAAAAAAATAATCGTAGAGTCATTTACCTGACTTTGTATGGTTGCTTCGGGAGAAAGATATGCAGATAGTCCAGCATTCAGCATAGAATTCTTCGGAACAGCAAAATCCAGAACATTTTTTATTATACATTGTGACGTCAGCTTCTTCCTCAAGCGATATGTAAGTCGAACAGCTCGTGCTGTTCGGAGAACATCCGAGCTAGTCTCAATTTCCTTTATTATATCCGTCAATCCTACACAAAACAAAAATAAATAAATAAAAATAAAAATCGGAAAAAGAGACACAAAACAGATTAGAGCTTAAAAAAAATGTAATGTGCAACTAAATAAATAGATTAAAGTAGAAGCTGATGATCAGATCAATCGATGTGATTTTGAGGTTACTAACTTTCATAGGTGTCAAAGTAATCTAACATAAAAGTAGGAATAGAGGAATCGCTGATATAGCTTTCAGTCTCGGCTACTGAGTCAGACATTGCTGCTAAAAGATTCTGTATCGGAAAAGAAAATTTGTGAGGAAATGGTGAATTTAGGGTTTTATTTTGGCTCCCTAAATGTAGTAAGTTACTGCCTGCAAATCTTAGCTAGCAGTGGAGCTGGAGAGGTAGTTCTAGAACGGTTTGGAGTTCGTTTTTGATGCTTGGGATTTGGCATTAGTTTCACGTTTCTTTTCATCCAAGTTTCTCTCGTTTTTTTTTAATCTCTGTTTTTCTGTTATCTTAACGGGCCCACAAGTGGATTCATGCTAGCAGAATGATAAATTAAAACGAAAAGAAAGTAAACGGATAAGTAAGATAATTTCTGAGAATAATTAGTGTAATTTTATGCCAACTTATTAATTAATTATGATATTAAAACGAAAAAAGGAAGGATTATGGAAGAATTCTGTCACTTATCCTGAATTTCTTGTCAATAGAAAAAAAAATTCGCTTAACTTTTTTTATTCTGATTTGGGTTCTGAACTTTTTATTTGATCCACAATTAATTTATTTGGTTTCACTCACCAAAACCATATTGGATCCATAAAAAACTTGCTCAAACTAGTAAAATAATAACAGGTGTTTTGAGATTAAATCAATGACATATGTCCTATCATTTGCTTTGAATGTCACATCAATGGAAAAAAAAAACTTAATTACAAATAAAAAAAATTAGAATCCAAGTCAAAATACAAAAAAAAATTATGAATTTTTTTAATTCGCCAAGAGTTTAGGATATTTTATAACCAATTAGTCGGCTCAAAGCTTAATAAACCTTTTGATAAACCTAGAAATAAAATTCTTAAATAATCCTTGATGAACCAAGCCGATTTAAGCCCTGAGGACACAAATTTGATCCTCTGCTAATAAGTTTAATGACCCTCTTGATGAACAGAAAAACAGTTTTCTTAAAACATTAATCCTCAGGGAACCAGGCTCCAGTATTCTTAAGAATTAATCCTGCATGAACCAAAATTAATCTTACATAAGAATCCTCTAAAGCCCTGAAACTATAGATATGATCCATTGCTACAAATAAAAAATTTGCATCCTGTTGAAACTGCTACAGATATATCAAGCTAGATTTTTCTAGTAATTGTTGTTCTAATAAAAAATGCACAAATTACAAACATAAACATAAATGTATTCATAGGAAAAGATGCCGGTAAACTACAGTCTGTCCGAGATAACCCATCCCCAGGTACATGGCACATCTATAATGGGGATTGCAGTATGAAATCAAATTAGTGATTCCACCATGGAAATACAAGTACTTTCCGTATGATACTGAAACAAACTTATTTGTTAGGAAGAAGGAAGTGGAGAAAGAATAAATGGAGGCCAGAAAGTTGAAGCATTATTTCTAAAAATACGTCTCCTCCTCATCCATGTATTCTCTTGCTAGTTCTTCATTAGAAACTCGACTTTCTCTCGAGTACTCATCTTGTCTCTTTGGTGGGAACCGCAAGGTCCGGACTGCTTCATCATGCAAGTTAAGACAGCAACCAATCCTAGAGCTGAAGGCAGCCCGTGGCTCAGTCATAGAGTAAATGTCTCCGGTCGTTTTCAATACCAACCAGCCATTTGCATGATCCAACGTAGCATCAATTGCACCATCACGGATGGCCTTCGCTGCAATGCTTTCGACATCTGCGACAGGGTTTGCTGAGTCCAGCTTCAATTTTTCAGCAACATCAGTGAGTGATATGCAGGAATAGGAGATGCTGATTTTGCACAGTCCTGTCCTGATGACATTATGTCGCAGGCGAACAATCAGATTTTGGGTTCTGTCAGAACTGAAAATGCCAGCAAACTTTTCTGCTACATTCCTAAACAGCTTCAGGTCACCAATTCGCACAGCCTGAAAGATTAATCCGAGAGTCTTAGTTTCTCAGAGAAATCGATAGAAAAGAGCATGCCCATGTATGCTTTCCCGTACTTTTCAGGCCTAAAGACCCAAACAATTGGCCAACGTCAACAAACGCACTTAAAGAAAGTCACTCACATTTGTAAGCTCGAAGTATGGCCTCAAATCCCTCTCCATTCCACTCTGGGTGAAAATTGTCCTCTCAGGTATTTCTCCCAATAGTAAATGAACAATGATAATCCATTTATTACATTGAATTCGAAAGCCATAAGCTGCAACAGGAGCTTTCCAAACAGCTTGAAGGAGACTCTCTTTAGCATCAGTATACTCCAACTGTATTGTCCGAATCTTTCCAAGATAAAACAGGTATCGACAAACCTACAAAGGGCATATTTTATTTCAGAAATATTTAGCATTTTTTAGGTAATTAAGTGCCACCCAGCTAAAAAGCTAAAAAAAATGCTATATGTATTTCCCCTGTTAAATTTGACATAGACAAGTTAAAAACAGAGGTCTCTTTTTCTGTTTTTCCTTATATATATATATATATATATATATCAAAGATCCGCAAAAGAGACAACAAGAAGAGACCAAAAACAACATCCATACCTGGTGAATAGAGTGTAAATTAAATCGTGGTGCCTTAGACCTCAGTTTCTCTGCCTGGTGATATAGGTTGTAGTGCAGGTAATTACGAAGCAACAGATTGAGAAGTGTTTCCTGTATGATTGTCATTGTATCGCATATGAACTACTAAATTTGCAAAACTAAACAACATCCAGGTTGACTGGCAACAAACCTGACACAGCTCATCATGGTGCAAAGTGGCAAAGGTATGCAAGTTAAGGAGATTCCTGAAAATAAAAGTACAGTAGTAAAGTTAATAAGAAAACAATAATGTGATCATATTTTACTACAAAGTAAGCCCTCCAATTACCTGATGCTTCCCACCTTACCCCAAGATGTCAAATACATAAGTTCCTTACACAATTATAGATTCGAATTATGCCATTATCTATCTCTTGCGCACACTGACATAGACAAATTAAGACGTCAAGGTAAAGACAAAGGTTTGCTTACCCACGAATTTCGGCAAGATCATCTAAGACTTCATAGATATACGAGTAATAAAAGTACACACTGGATGCTAGAACACCAGCAGTTTCAACAGTTCCACTGCTAAGTTTCCTCACTCGAAAAACGGCAGCCGAGGAGAAAACTTTAGCCTGAAAATCATATTATTAGCACTCAGAACAATTACCATGCAATTAGAAACACCATTATTCCACTGCCAAATAGACAGAAAGAGGCAACCAGAAAAAACTAACATAACCTCATTGTGTCTATTCTGATCAATCAGATATAGCAGCATAAGCAAGTAACAGTAAATCTCAAGCTCCGGCAAAATGCTTTTAGCCGGAGCAGATATTGCAGAATCAGCTTCCATTCCATGCCCATCTTCCTACATTTCACATTAACAACAACCTCAAAACCACGCACTCTCACGAAAACAAAATATGGATCATCCTTCGAACTTTTAGTTAAAGATCTTTTTAAAAAAAATGCATAGTCCCGAACTACAGATATTGCACGCTATCTTTTTAAAGAAATCAAAATAGACTGAAGTTTACCCGATAATTAAGAAATGCAGATAGTTGGGTGTGTAGCTCAGAACCGGGGGAAAGAGCAAAATCCAGCAGTGCAGAGAGCAAGTAAGGCTCTGCCAGCTTCTTCTTCAAGCCATTAGTAAGACGAACAGCACGAGCTATATGGCGAACCTCCTTCTTGTACGAACCAGTCTCGATAAGCGATGTTATATCCATGAAGCCTACCAAAAAAAAAACAGAGAACGGATAGCATAAAAAACGTTGTGTGCAAGCAAATAAAAGAAAGTAAAAGCTGAGAATCGATGAGATTACTTTTCAGGGAGGAAGGAATAGGTGAGGTGACGGAAGTAGGAAGAGTGGGATTGCTGGGATTGCTTTTTATCTCCGCTTCGTTAGACATTTCTGCTGAAATCTGTGAGGAAATGGTGAAGTTAATTTTGATAAGCGAACTGCTGTTAAGCTACTACCATTGCCTGCAAATTTTAGCTGGAGAAGCTCTAGAGCAGTTTCTTAGCTCGTTTTGATGATTGGGATTTGGCATCACTGTCACGTTTCTTTTCGTCCAAGTTTTTCCTTCTTCTTTTTTTCTTTTTTCGTCTATTTTTCGACTTTTCATTTCAGGAAATCTTAACGGGCCTCAGACGCCGTGAGTGGATAGACAACGGGCCTCAAATACCGTGAGTGGATGGATAATGGCAGTTCTGTGTCCATTCACGTACGATATTTTTTTTTCCGTCTATTTTTCGATTTTGCATTTCAGTACACCTTAAAGGGCATCTTAACGAGCCTCAGACGACTGGATGAATAATGGGCTGCTCCATATCCGTTCATGCTACGGAAGAACCAAAAGAAGAGTTCTTTTATCCAAAATTGAAAAATAAATATTGTAATTTCGTGCCATATTATTTATTAGAGTGGCTCTGATATTGGATTTTAAAATAATTAATATATTTTTTAAAAAATAATATAATTGAAAATGTGAAACTAATTTCGAACACAAAAATGGTTAAAATAGTCACGTGCCTCGCATTCTAAACGAATTTAAGGCTGCATAGTTGGTATCTCCGGTAAATTCACTTCATGAGATAACAAAGTTCCCATCGAGGATTCTGAGATTAAAGACCAACTGCTCTGTAAATTTTGAAAAGCTCATGGAGGTAACAATCCGCAGTCGAGAATCCGGCCAACCTTTAAAATTCAATGCACGTCTATGTAAACCCATGCCACGGCACCAACCTTTGAACATCCAAGCAATCCCATGCCGTGGCAGCTCTCTCTAAAGTGAACCAGAAACCCAGAAACGATCATACTCTCATTCCCAATGTGCAAATATTATTTCCAGGGATATTGGTGAGGTTGAAGTCTCCGTGAACACAATTTTTTAAAGCAATGCATCAATCCATCCCAAGAGTATACGGATACAAATGGAAAAATAAAAGAATGCACTGCTCAGTAGAAACTAAAAAAGTTACAATTGTTCAAGCACCCAAAACTACAGCCACAACAGAAAAAAAATGGACTCAAGTGACAAAGGTTTCAAACTAAAGGGATTAGCCTATGGAGGTCACACATGAATGTCCTAAAGTTAACACTACCACTACTTGGGTCCAATAAAAAAACCAAATAGGAAAGAGGGATAAAGAGATGATAGACATAAAATATTGGGAGAAGGCACCAAACATTAACATCTGCACTCGATTCTAAGGAAGCCAAAACGAGCATCTTAAGCAGCTGCAGGGATCGGACCATTAGATCTATATCCACGGCCCCTTCCACGATTTCCCCTCCCACGGCCACGACCTACAATCAATACACAACAAATTAATGCACCACAACTGACAAGACATTTTTACTTGGTGTTGGCAAAAATCTATGGTAAGACTCCAGAGAGAGACGACAAAAAACATCCGCACCAACCTCATGCTAGCAGATCTAAAACATGGCTAAGCTTGAAATGCCATACAATAAATTACATAAAACCAGGACTTCATTGCACTGACGATTTGGTAGTCTAGAAATATGTTCTTTATGTGCCATAATTCTCATTTACAGTAATTGCTGTTTATGCAATCCAAAGCTTTTACTGCCCTTGTGTTTCAAGAATGTTCCACTATTTTTCAAGGAACCTTCCTGCTCAAAGTAGAGTCATAAAGTTCATGGTTGTCACAGTAAACAATAAAATGTTAAGAATGGACAAATGGATGAAGACTTAACTGGAGGGCATCCTAGTGAAAAACCTAAAAATACATCAACCTAGGATTTTATTTCTTGATAAAATATGAACTCAGAAGGATAGCCATATCGATCATGAAAGGCAAGAAAAAAATTGTTGAAGAGAAAAAAAATACCACGGCCTTGTGGAGGTGCTTCATAATTATAACCTCCATCTTGCTGGCTATCAGCATGTTGTGCAATAAATCCTCCCCTTCCACGACCACGGAAACCACGTCCTCGGCCTCGGCCCCTGCCCCTCAAGAAGCCCCTGTTACGATCCCAGCCCCCATCCTCATGCTCACCAGACACAAATCTGTTCCCTGTAGGAGTGCAGTGTCATGCCATGCAGTATTGGAACTAAGCAGCCACAACATAAGAACCTTATATCTCACCAACTCAGATATCAAAAAAAAAAAAAATCTTAAATATTTTTACAAAACATCCTGTGACAGCCTGAACCATCACCGTCAAGCAGTACGGTAGTTTAAATAAGTACACAAACAAACAAAAGGCAGCCAAAAACAGCAAAAAGTGAACTAACAATTGGCACATAAGCAATCGATGGCTGATTTTCTAGCAATAAATATACATAACCAGATAATCCAATGAAAATAGTGAAAGCATGGAGGCAAATCCCATCAAGACATACCCCTACCCCTTGCCCTTCCTCTACCACCCCGTCCCCTACCACGGCCATTTGGTGAACCATCTGCAACACAAAAATAACTCTAAGCAGATGGAAATAGGGTCAAATTAAAACAATTATAACCATGATGAGCATTTCTTACCTCCTTCGTACTCAAACTCTGTGAATGCCTTCACCTGCTCGGCAGGTAATGGAGGCTGGTACCTGATGAAATTAGCAATTTATAAGTCATTACAAGTCACTTTTTTACAAATATGCTCACTTGCTATAACAGAAAGTTCAAGTGACTAATAACCAATTGCCATCACATAGTTACAACAAGAAAATGCTTAAATCGCAAATTTAAGCATGGAGACTCAATAGAGGCGCACAAACTCACCCAACAGAAGATGCATTCAGATCATTCTTGGAAAGGGTTATTGTAATCATCGAAACATGCCTTGTGGTTTCCAATCTGCAATAACAAAAACAAAATTTCATAGTCAAAGCTAAAGTAATGGAAGCCATACACACAGCATGAAAATTTAAAAAAAAAAAAAAAAAAAAACAGACATTCTGAATTTCCTTCAAACTCTACTTACGGAAAGAGGCCTTCCTCAAGGGGTTCCCATGTATCTGTTATGTCGGTGGATCCAATTGATGTGATTTGATGGAGACCAACAATTCTTCTCTACATTAGAACAAGAAACAGAACATCACCACCCACGATCAAACACAAATAACTTAAGTGACAGAATAATCCATTATTAGGTGTGCAGTCAGTGGGAAACCTTGATTAACTCCACTATGGTCACGGTCTTGTTGATGGCTCTTCCCATTGCCTTGAATACAATTTCATTTGAACCTTTTTCCTACAAAGAATACAAAAATGAGAAACAAAACCAATAAAATAATGCAAATAATGCTAAACACCACGCTTTTGTTAAAAAAAAAAAAGGTAGCTGCAACCCTAGCTGTCCGCACGAAACATAACTTTTTTGGTTCTATAAATAATTCAAGCTGTTCATATAATTATTGAAGTAACTAACAGGCACAAAAACATCACAACAGAAATAAAACAAATATTTTAGTACTAACAGAACTATCAACCTCCCACAAACTTACAGAAATTCAAATTTTAACCAAAAATTGAATTAAAACACCGTACAGATCTAATTATCGTTCAATATAAAGCCAGAAAAAAGAAACTAAAAACAGAGAGAGGCAGAAGAGAAGAGAAATACTTGAAGCAGACTCATGGCGTACGAGATATAGCTGCGCATCCTTCCTTGACTTGTAATTCGAATCTCGTTCTCATCGATTGGTGTCTCTGCTCTAGGCTTCTCCACTCTCTGGTACCGATCCATCTTTCGTCACCGGCGCCAAAACCAGAAACCAAAAAAATCAATTTTCAAATTATATAAAAAAAATAATAATAATAATAATAATTATTAGGTTTTGAAAGAAAGGATAAGAGTTAGGGTTTGTTAAGGTGGATCTGACAGTTACCTTGAAAATAAAATAGAGATAAGTTTGCACGGCCAAGAAAGAGCCCTCTTCTACGGCTTCGTTTCTTCTTTTACGCCCTAAACCGCTAACCGAGGCTTATCGTGCTTTATATACACAACACTCTTTCTCAACTGCCCTAGACAACACTTTTTCTCCGGTTCAAACCGTTCTAGGCCCCAATTAGGGCTTATGGTTGATTTTGTAGACTGACACGTTTTAAATGCGTTTTTATTATCCTAAACAATCACGCTTGTTATTATTATTATTACTGTTATTGCTATGGATAAATATCGATTTAGGCCCTCATGAGGTACCCTGTTATCAATTGAATCTCGAACCTTTTCATTTTACCAATTAAAAAAATAAAAACAAACACAATTGACGTTAAACAAAGTCAACCATCCATTGCTAAACCCATTAATTACATCCTGTGTTTTCATAAATTCATCGAATTTTATATTTTCAATTCCATTATTTATATTTATATTTTTAGTCAATTAAATACAATTTTATAAAATTATAATGTTTATACATCAAAATAGAATAAAAATAATAATATAATCATATAGATTAAGATCAACATACACGTGTACGTTTGTGTATAACATTTTAAAATTATCAATTTTTTAAAATTATATTCAATCGATTAAAATTGAAAATACAAATATTTAATTATCGACCCGAACTTTTATTTATTTATGTTTTATTTTTTATTTCTTATGTTGAGCAATACTTGTATTCTTTCTTAGGGAGAAAAAAGCTCTTGTTTTTTTTAACGAAATCCCTAAAATATAATATTTATGATAATAACTAAAATGAATTTAGATAAAATATCAAATGACCTCCCAGATTGCTAAACCCATTAATTACATCATGTGTTTTCATAGATTCACCAAACAAAATTTTGTATTTTCAATTTGATTATGCATATTTTAGTTTTCAATCAATTGAATACAGTTTTATGAAATTGATAATTTTTATACATTAAGTTGAATAAAAATAATAATATAACAATATAGATTGGGACCAATAGATGGGGTGTGTGTACATACACATATAACATTATAAAATTATCAATTTTATAAAAATCATATTCAAACGATTGAAATTGAAAATACAAATATTTAAGTAGCTGAATTAAAAATACAAAGACTCATTTAATTATTTGACATTTAAAACTTTCGTTTTATTAGTGTTGAAATTGTCCTTTATAGCATGTCAAAGTTTAGTTTTTAGGTCTTCGGTTGAAGTATTTAAAAAGTTAGTGTAAATTGAAATGTAGTAGTTTAATTACTATTGATAATGGATAGATAGAGGAGTGATGAGTGTTAGTTACGTTTGGAGGGTGCAGGTATGAAGGCATTCAAGATTCATATGGAAAAGTGATTTAAGATGTCAAGGATTCGTGTTTTTGTATGCTATAAAATCTTAAATGCTCGAGAATCCAACATTTCATAAAGCATAAATGACATTCTCTTTAAATGAAGGAATGTGATTTTTTTTAAAACGTTGAGATCACAATTTAAAGGTAAGATAATATATTTTGAATTTAAATACCATTATCATTAATGTTGATTGAACCTATACACCCTTGATTTTTAACAACAGCAATACAATTATTTTAGATACCATATTCTATCAAGTCAATTTTTTATATTTTTCAACCAAAAAGTTAATTTTTTCACATCAAAATTTTAATCTTTTATTTGAATCCGTTTCAATATATTAGTTTTCAACACCAGTAACATGTGTTTTTATAAATAAAAAAATATTTATTTTAGTCTTTATAATTTTAAAAAAGTTTTTTATCCTTAAAATTTATTTTTTTACATTTTGGTAATTTATCTATAAGTTTTTTTATCCTTAAAGTATTCATTATTTTATCATTAATTTTTAAATTTTATGTAATTAGATTCATATATGTTAATAAAAAATCTAAATAAATTAATGGGTATTAATAGATAAAAAGTGGATACTCATATCCTGAAATCATATCACCAGATATGTATTTTTTTACTCTTATCAATTTTAATACCCATTGGATATTATTATTTATCAATGAGCTTTTATTAGATTGGATAAAATGGGTATTCAGTTTACACCTAGCCTTTGTCCTCCCTATGCATACCAAATGCCTCTTTAGAGTAAAATTGGTAAAATAAAAAATTTTGCAACTTAATTGAGAATGGGATAATAAGTCGGGAGCTAAACCGAGTTTCAAAACATCATCTATCGGATTTTTGTTGGCTGAACCTTTCTTTACTCTTTGTAAATGATAGCATTGATTATAAAAAGAAAAAAGACAGTTGTTAGATACCGTGAGCAACTTGAATTCTAATCTCGAACTGATTTGCTGTGGGTCTGACGTTTATCATGACATGTCAGAACAAGCAGTCGATTCCAATTCCTTGAGACAAGAGGGAAAAAAATAGCATCATTGTAAAAAAAAAAAAAAAAAAAAAAATTTCAAAGTTTTGGCGAGGACAATTTTTATTTATTTTTTCATTAAAATAATATTTTTAAATTAGCATACATATAAATTAAAATTTAATTTTATTTGTAATCTATTTTTTAAAAATACATTCTCATGTTTACTTAGTGTATTCGGTGAAATAACAACTTGAATTATATATTTTGATCAAAAATTAAATTACTAAAGTTATACAATTCGTATATTGACAAAAATTATTTTTTTATCATTTCTATTCAAATCTAAACGAAGATAATAATATCAAAGGATAAGCTAATTTGTTGCTTGAGCCAATGAGTGATCACTCAAGAGTTTGCGGAGGAGAACTTACGTGGGATTGAGTGATGATGAGTCACCTCGTGATATTGTACTTGGTCGAATTGATTAATCTTAAAAAATATTTTTTTTCACTCTTAACATAACGTCGACACGAGTTATGATAAGATTAACAATTACAGCTTTTATGAAAAAAAAAACAATAAAAAAAATTAATAAGTTCGACATATGTCATGAAGCAATACCCTAGCGGATTCACATAAATAATCACACAACCAGATATCAACGTTAGACTTGTATTCCCTTTTTATTGGAGTAAATGATCAATCCTTCTAGTTTTAAAAAATTAATTAAATAGTATCTCTTGTTTTAAAAATTATTTATTTATTCTCAATATTTTAAGTTTTATTGTAACTTAATTATTTTGGCTATTCTTTATTTTTAGAAATGCAAAATGTTAAAAATAATTATAGATAGATTAATGAGAAAATATGATATTGAATTAAGTATGCTTAACAGTGGCCAAAATTTTAAATAAGAAAATCTTATTAATTTGTATCTCTAAAATAGAGGGACTAGATTATAATTTACTCCTTTTTATTCTCACCGCTAATTTTATTGTTTTTGATCTTGGACTTTGTCAGCTTTGGACATCCTTAGTCTGCGGGGAAGGCCCACGGCTCTCCATAATGGGCTGATAAGCCAGTGCACACGCACAAGTCCAATATTTTTTAATGTGCCAACGAAGGTTTTGACTGGATCGGCCGATGTATGTTTACTTGGAAAGAAGTGGCCTTTGAGTCGTTGACGAAGGGGTAGACTTAGACCTTTGACCGCATTGAAGGGATAGAGTTAGTCTCGTGAAAACTGACTTGCTGCTAACATCCTGACCGTAAAACCAAAACATAATTTCAATCCATCCAGATCTTCTAGGTGAAATTGGAAAGAAAAACCAGAAAGTATGATGATCTTTCGCATAACTGCAATAACTGAAGCAAAATGTGTTTACTCACGTTCAAATGTGATGACATTCTACAACATCACTTACTATTTGTTTTTTTAGCAACGGACTAGTTGTGTTCAATATATTTTAGAAAAAGTTAGGATTTTGAATACTATGTAATTCGAATTTTTTATATTAAAATCTTAAGGTTTTTTTCCATATCAAATTTAAAAATTTTATTCTTATTTTGTTATTATTTTATATCTTAATGTGCCACGTAAATATACGTGAAAAGCTTTTGGTCAATGACGGTTTATCGCATGTTATTGTGGACTCAAATTGGGTGATTGAATTAGTGACATAGCAAGCTATCATTGACTCGAGCTTGTGTGCGTGGCAAGTTGTCATTAATTAAAGTCTAAAACAACAATAATATAAAAGTAGAATTTTTAAATTAGATGAAAATTTTTTTAAGAAATCAATAAAAAAACTGAATTGTATATGATGTTATTATGTTGTACAACCCGAAAAAATTTATGGAAAGATATATTTGGTATGTTGGACAGGACTGAACTCATGCGAAGATGTGTCTGGTATGTTAGACATAACTCTATTGAACATGATAAAATAAATTGTATAGTACTTCGTATGCATATTGAATATGACAGTGCACATATTTGAACACCACAAAGACTAACATTTTTGTCATGTTCAAAGCAGTTTTCAAGAAAATATTGTTGTCCCATCATGTGAGCAGAATAAACTTGTTCAATACCATGAACAAAATCACTATTTCTCAAATTTTCATATTATCTATCGTTTACTTATTGCTAACTTATATTTCAATTTGGTTGAATAAAGTTTAATGAAGTTTATCTATATTTTATTAAAATGAATTATTACATTTAGGGGCATAATTTTAAAATATTTTATAATTCATAGACTAAATTGCATATATCAAAAAATTAGAAGACCAAAACTTTTTTATTAAGGACTAAAATGTCATGGAAATAAAATAAAAAGACCATTGTAAGGACTAAATTCTTATTATGCGTACCAAACACGAGACACGAATATGTGCTTATTTAGTCTAGTCCACTCCAATCTCTTCTATTGCATTAGTCCAGTCTCGCGTTTCGTATCTTGCGTGCCAAACCCACTCTTACCGCTGTGGGGGAAAAAAAATCATTTTTAAGTGCATTATTGATGCTCGGATTTCCCAATCCCCCTTTTTTGTTATTTCTAGTCTTGGTGGAATAGATAGAGAAACCTTGCTTTCCATGAATACACACCACATCCCCTGTATTTTAGCATACTGAATAATTCTATATTCTTTTCGTGTGAATTTGAGTGCGGAAGACCCAATACAAAATGCGAAAAGTCCTTTTTTCTGTAGGTGTCCACGATCAACAAATTAGCACTTTTTTAGACGATGGAACCAAGAGCAAACTACTATATTAGATTCTTTTTACCAGCTCGAATCCACTAGCGCTGGCTATAGAAGCAACTAGTACAATGAGTGCCCTTATCTAGAAACAGCCTTCTTAGCCATTGGTGCGTTGAGGCTGATTGGGATAGTCTATACAAGACAATTGCCTTCTCCTCGAAGAAAGCTCACATACAATCCGACTTTGCATGCCAAAATATACTTTACAATAAGCCATAAGATCGGACTCGAAGGGAGCTCCCCTCGAATTGTCACAACAAGATAAGACATTGAACAAATAAAAGTGCTTTCTTTTTTATTCTGTCTCTGTTCACTGGCGAACTCAGATCCCCGACCTTAGTTAGCTGCCTAAGAGCTTGGTTTGAGTTTCAGCATCAGACAACTACTAAAAAGAGAGAGGACAAAAGATAGTTTCCTCGACGAGGGTCCAGAAATGTGGTTGGAAGATGCTCGAGCTTGGTCAGAGTTAGTCAAGCAAAAATAAAAACATTTTATTGCAATACCATCAGCAGTTACAGGCACAGAGATACGGGTGCTCAACACTATATAGCACGGTGTTGATTCTTTCTTCTATACAGATAACATAAAGCAAGGTGCCTGAGGTCTTGCAAGAAATATCCTTCAAAACCTGAAATGGGGAAGATTGATGCTCTGACTACTCTTTGCACCAACCAATGGATCAATAATTCTTCTCCAACCATTGTAGTCCAAAGGAGAACCAGTATCAGGTAACAGAAATCCATTGACGAAAAAAGAGGGAGTGCCAAATACCCCTCTTGAAGTACTATACTGCATGACAGAAGAAAGTAGCATACAAAGAAATACAATCTATGAGCAGAGGTATATATCTTTTAAAAATAAACTGCAGAACACAACAAACATTGGTTCTGGCACACTAAAATATTCTCTTTTCTAAACTTAGAATCTATTTGAAATCAAAAGATGTCATCTTACCTTGAAGGACACCCTAGTTTTCAGATCAGTTTGTCTATCATTAAAACCAGATTCAAATGCAGAACAATAGGAATTCCCAACCGCTACAGTGGCAAACTTCACTATTTCCTTCACAATAGAAACTTTTGACAAATTGCTTGTTTTGGCATTATAGAACTTCTCCTGATTTTAAAACATCCAACAAGTTAGTCAACATAAAACTCAAATAGATTAAAAAAAAAAAAGAAAAAAAAATCCGCTAGTTAATCTGATTTAAAAAGAACTGCAATTTCAAAGAGTTGGAAAGGCAAAGCAAGGACAATCAAAAGAAGTGGTCACCATTAGTAGTGAAAATTCTAACCTGATGCTTGAAGAACTGCTCCAACAAAGGGAATGTAAACGAACTATTGAGCGTATTCGCGATATGCAAGGCGCGAGAAGCAACAAATGCATTGTCGTGGTACCTGAAGTCGCCAAGGAAAGACAATTAAATCAATTCTTGGGGAAAAATGATCAAACACATCCAAAAATTAACTGAGAGCATCACTCCCACAAGCAAATATTCGCTATCTACTCAATGGAGCCTCTGCAAAATTCAATGTTGAAAGATCCCTGATGAACAAAGTTTCTTAATTGCCCGATTGCAATTACATTAATCAGCACAATCAAGATTGTATTTAGCAGTTCCACCTGACTGAAACCCACATTTTTTTTCTGTGCCCATCTTCAATTATACATGCTCAATTCAATTATTTAGTTTACCGGTTTCAAGCAAGACAATGTTACTGTTAAAAAGCAGGGAGAAGATTACTGACGGTAAGGGGAGGAGGTGAACGACGAGCCAAACACGAGAACGGTAGTGTTTAAGTGCTTCTTTGAGAGGTGGCCAGGAGTCTCTGGAATCGGGGCAGACAGGGTCATAGAATGCTTCGATCAGGATGGAGTCCAAGTCACCTTGACGATTCTCGTACACGAACCCATCGTACCTAGCAGGTGGCAAATTCTGGGCTCGTACGGTCAATTTAGACAAGTTGACGGAAAAAAAATGAAGGAGAAGAACAGAATTAGAGTAAACAGATGTCGTCCCTGCATCATTTCTGGCCCGTCTCTGTTTCCTCTGAAGGGTTCGTTGGTTAAGCAATCCTTGGAGATAATGGAATAGGAAAGATGCACTCTCTCCATCGCCTTCGCATGCGTCATTGTTTTGTTTCCAGTCATAAACGACAGGCCGTCTAGTGGAAACCATAAGCACTTGCGAGCTGCTCAGTTCATAAGGCTCCGTTTGGGAAAATCTTAATTTGAAAACTAGATAAAAATAAAAGCCAAAGCTCTAAAATGAAACTTTTGATTTAAATGTTATATAACACAAAGTATCTTAAGAAAATAGACCAAGAACTTCTGGTTCATTTATTCTAGTAGTTTGGATATCTTACATTAATTTTTAGATAATGATATTAAATAAATTCGATTAAGTATTAATAAGTTTCCCAAATCATAATCTATATATACACACACACACAAAGAAAACAATTGCAATCTTTCTATTAAATTCAAATCTAATGTTACCATCTAATCAGATCTGAATCGTCTTGTTGTAAAACTGAAAATCTTATTTTGAAAATTAAATGAAAACTATAAAATAGAATCTTTTAAATTTAAATATTATCGATTTAGTTTCTCGTAGACAAACTTCGCACTGTCATAGCACAAAAAATATCTCAAGAAAATAGACCAAGAATATTTTTGGTTCGTTTTTTATATGGATAGAGTATCTTACATTATTTTTGGCATATTGATTCGATCAAATTAATATTAATAAATCATCTAAATCACAACCGATACTTATACAAAAAGAAAAAAATTGCAATCTTTTTTTATTAAATTCAAATCTAATGTTTAACAAACTCTTCACCGTCTAATCAAACCTGAAAGGTCAGGCTTGGTTCCCTCGGAAGAGAGAATGTGATCCCAATCTCATTTTTAAACAAAATTCATCTTCTTCAATTAATAAAAGAAAATGAAACTAGTTTATTTATGGGCTGATTTTCGAAGGACTAGGCTGTTTGTTGCAATTTGGAGGACCTTTGGGTTTGTTGTTATTTGGGCTCAGCATGGAATTGGAAATTCTTCCCAGACTTTTTTGTCGATCTCTTTCTAGGGTCAGTACTCTATGTGCTAGTCTAGGCCCATTACAAGTCGAAATTTCCTATATGTTAGGCTGAGCCCATTATAAATTGATGATTCCGGTTATTTCTTTTTTTAACATCATCGTCCAACATAACAAAAGTGAATTATTAATTAGTCCCTTTAGTTTTAAAAAATTAATTAATTAGTTTCTCTTGTTTTAAAAAACTAATTGTCTAATTTTTTTCATTCATGTTAGTATGAGGTGCTGACTTGTCTAAAGTTCACTATCACGTAGTATTTTTACTATTATGTCTTAACTCTTATTGGATAGTTGACAAAATTGAATCTCAGGTGAATTCAAATACTAAAACAAATTAAAAAAAAATCAAAATTTGAATAACGAATAATGAGAAATCAATGATTGGATACTAAAATAAGAAAAAAAAATTAAAGGTCTGACACCAAAAAAGTCTCTTTTTTTACTTAACATAATAATTTTATTTTCATATCTTTTAATAGTATTATGTTTGGATTAATTTAACTTAAGAAATAATTTAGTAATCGAATTAAGTATATTATGACACTCGCTTAATCCAAAAAATAATATAGTTAATCTTGATTCATGGGAAAAATAATCCAAAAACACTAGTGTATATACATATAAACAATTTTATTGTCGATCATTCTCCTCATATTTGGCAATGCAAACAGTATAAAAATATCAACCTGACTTAAAAGATTCGGCTTATAAGTAACGAGAGAAGTATACCATCCCATGGCCCAAAGTTGACTGAAGAGCAAAAGCTCACTCAGGAATCCAGAACTACTAGCTCTCCACGCAGCTAAGCCAGCAGGCTACTGATCCAAAGTTCTATCCATCGATTGTGATTCGTTGCATAATTCCCTAAAAGTGCTTTGTTGAATAAACAACCTCAATGATATCAAATATTTTATTAACATGCTCTCCGGATGAATCATCGCAAGGATAAATTTTTATAATATTCAGGTAGACAGAGAAAAGGAGAACAGAAAAATAAGAGAGAAAATTTAAAAAGAAATACAAATTTTTATAAGTTTGGATGTAACTTTTTATTTTATCTTTATAAATCCGCATAATACATCGTTTCCCGTTTGGAACAATGGATGCATCTGAATGAATAATCCAAGTAAACAACCCTCAATATATATCAAAAATTCACATGGTTTCCGAATGAATAATTCGAGGAAGAAATTTTATAACACTCGGATAGATTTGGGGGGGGGGGGGGGGGGGGGGGGTTGGTGGGGGAGGGGAAGAGAAACAGAAAAAAGAATTATAAAAAATATTTTTTTTTATGGGTTCGGAAGGTTTTATATATATATATATCTTTGTAAATTTGTGTAATTCACTATTTAACGGGAGCAATCGGATCTTGCATGTTAGGTATGAACCTAGCCTGGCAATTACTGTCACTTTCTATTATTATGGCTGTTAACTGCTGTCACGGGATCTTGGCATCTCCAAATCAAGACTGATTTTCATTCTAGTTATAGAATTCCACACCCTCTACAGTTAATACTTATTTATGGACAGTAATTAACTTTGCTTCAAAACGTTACTCGTTGTTCTTTGAACATCATTAGTTTATTTGATTTTTTAGTATACTATGATTTGTATCGTCCCATATTGGCTTCCTCGTTAATTAGCGCTGGAGCAATGCGTGCATCCTGTCTGGCATGTTTGGTAGGAGACTAGCGTGTGGTAATTACGTTCATGCGTTTTTATCATGGCATGTTTGCTTATTTGCAATTAAATTCTATGCCACGCATTCGTTGAAAAACGAAAAGAATCGAAAACCCCGTAGGCCGATACCACCTGAAATAAATACACGCACGCTAGCTGAGCATTCGACAAAATGTCAATTAGAGATGAAACCGTGTTAGATTTTGGGGACGTCCCCAAATGTGACAAATTCTCTTTTCAATTTTAAAGTTCCAAACTCTTAAATCTACCCTTTAAACTAGTAGAAAAACTAATTTGGCCCCCCACCCCTAAAAAAAAAATCATTAATAATTCTCTAAACATATTCAGTTATTTAATTTTTAAATATAATACAATATCATTTTATTAAAAGTGAGTATTCCGTTTTTTGGTTTCCATAATTAACAAAACTCAGAAAAAACAAAACCGAATTCTAACCAAATTCTTATTAGGTTTCGATTTTGGTTTTTTTAAAAAAACTATTTTTTGTCGATTTTTTAATTATTTAAAACAATATAAATAGCCTTAAGAAGTAAAGTAAAATATAAATTAGTCCCTCGTTTTAGAAAACTAATTAACTAATCTCTTTGGTTTCAAAACGCAGTCATTTAGTTGTTTTTGTTATTTTTTAATTTATTTTGATTTTTGTTTTAAGAAATGGAAAAAAAAGTAAAAATTATGAAAAGATTGATTAGAAGATGATACATTTAATAAAATAAAAAATATTAAATTAATCTCAATCAATACTAATTAAAATGATTAAATAATTAGGTTTTAAACCCAAATGAACTAATTAATTCGTATCTCAAAAGGAGAGAGGAACTAATTTATATTTTACTCTTAAAAGGAAGTGTCATGGACTATGAAATCATTTCCTTAGTGCATATGAAAGATAATAAATACTCTATTTATTAAAAAAGATTGTTGTTTTTGACTTTTTACATAGATTAAAATGGTTATTAATGATCTTGCCATATCAGAATCACACTTTCCTAAAAAAAAATTTCAGAATTGTATTTGGATAATATTTTACAAAATAAACTTTAATTAGATGTATCTAAAAAAAATACATCCAGACAATCTATTTGAGACAAAAGGAGTATTTATTCAAATAAGACTACAACACATAATCATATAATATAATAAAACATAAAAAATTTAAATACAAATTCATTGATGCATATTTAAATTATATAATGACAAGAAATCATTGATTGATTGCTCAAATATATATATATATTTTTTTTTAAAAAAAAATCAAATTGAAATGAATTCGGTTTGCTTTTTTTAACTATCAAACCAAATTAGTATTTCAGGTTCGGTTGATCCATTTTAACCCAATATTGCTAAGCCTACCTCCCATGATCCAATCCACTCTCAATCCATAGTTTTGAACGAACAATGAGATCATTGAACAAATAAAAGTGCTTTCTTTTTTATTCTGCCCCTGGTCGTTGACGAACTCAGATCCCCGACCTTACTTAGCTGCCTAAGAGCTTGGTTTGAGTTTCAGCATCAGACAACTACAAAAAACAGAGAGAACAAAAGATAGTCTCCTCGACGAGGGTCCAGAAATGTGGTTGGAAGATGCTCTAGCTTGGTAAGAGTTAGTCAAGCAAAAATAAAAACATTTTATTGCAGTTACAGGCACAGAGATACAGGTGCTCAACACTATATAGCACAGTGTGATTCTTTCTTCTATACAGACAACATAAAGCAAGGTGCCTGAGGTCTTGCAAGAAATATCCTTCAAAACAACGGAATGGGGAAGTTTGATGCTCTGACTACTCTTTGCACCAACCAATGGATCAATAATTCTTCGCCAACCATTATAGTCCAAAGAAGAACCAGCATCAGGCAACAGAAATCCATTGACGAAAAAAAAGGAGTGCCAAATACCCCTCTTGAAGTACTATACTGCATGACAGAAGAAAGTAGCATACAAAGAATTACAATCTATGAGCAGAGGTAATATCTTTTAAAAATAAACTGCAGAACACAACAAACATTGGTTCTGGCACACTAAAATATTCTCTTTTCTAAACTTAGAATCTCTTTGAAATCAAAAGATGTCATCTTACCTTGAAGGAGACCCTAGTTTTCAGATCAGTTTGTCTATCATTAAAACCAGATTCAAATGCAGAAGAATAGGAATTCCCAACCACTACAGTTGCAAACTTCACTACTTCCTTCAAAATAGCAACTTTCGACAAATTGCTTGTTTTGGAATTATAGAACTTCTCCTGATTTTAAAACATCCAACATGTCAGTCGGCATCAAACTCAAATAGCTAAAAAAAAATCCGCTGGTTAATCTGATTTAAAAAGAACTGCAATTTCAAAGAGTTGGAAAGGCAAAGCAAGGGCAATCAAAAGAAGTGGTCACCATTAGTAGTGAAAATTCTAACCTGATGCTTGAAGAACTGCTCCAACAAAGGGAATGTAAACGAACTATTGAGTGCATTCGCGATATGCAAAGCGCGAGAAGTAACAAATGCATTGTCGTGGTACCTGAAGTCGCCAAGGAAAGACAATTAAATCAATTCACGGGTAAAAATGATCAAACACATCCAAAAATTAACAGAGAGCATCACTCCCAAAAGCAAATATTCGCCATCTACTCAATGGAGCCTCGGCAAAATTCAATGTTGAAAGATCACTGATGAACAAAGTTTCTTAATTGCCCGATTGCAATTACATTAATCAGCACAATCAAGATTGTATTTAGCAGTTCCACCTGACTGAAACCCACATTTTTTTTCTGTACCCATCTTCAATTATACATGCTCAATTCAATTATTTAGTTTACCGGTTTCAAGCAAGACAATGTTGCTGTTAAAAAGCAGGGAGAAGATTACTGACGGTAAGGGGAGGAGGTGAACGATGAGCCAAACACAAGAACCGTAGTGTTTAAGTGCTTCTTTGAGAGGTGGCCAGGAGTCGCTGGAATCGGGGCAGACAGGGTCATAGAATGCTTCGATCAGGATGGAGTCCAAGTCACCTTGACGATTCTCGTACACGAACCCATCGTACCTAGCAGGTGGCAAATTCTGGGCTTTTACGGTCAAATTAGACAAGTTGACGACAAAAAAAATGAAGGAGAAGAACAGGATTTGAGTAAACAGATGTTGTCCCTGCATCATTTCTGGCCCGTTTCTGTTTCCTCTGAGGGTCGGTTGGTTAAGCAATTCTTGGAGATAATCGAATAGAAAAGATGTACTCTCTCCGTCGCCTTCGCATGCGTCATCGTTTTGTTTCCAGTCATAAACGACAGGTCGTGCAGTCATATAACGACAGGCCGTCTAGTGGAAACCATAAGCACTTGCGAACTGCTCAGTTCGTGAGGCTCCGTTTGGGAAAATCTTAATTTGAAAACTAAATAAAAATAAAAGCCAAAGCTGTAAAAGGAAACTTTTGAGATTTAAATGTTATATAACACAAAGTGGCTTAAGAAACTAGACAAGAACTTCTGGTTCATTTATTCTAATAGTTTGGATATCTTACATTAATTTTTGCATAATGATATTAAATAATAAGTCTTCCAAATCATAATCTTTATTCTTTTCTTTATGTAACTAAAAGGCATAGGCGTTCACTGTTCAAATTAACAGTGAATGAATAGCGAACTCTCCTTATTTTTTTTAATTTTCATTATTAGTTTTTTTATTTTTACAGTATTTTGTTTTATTTTTTTTAATTTTCACCCTTACTTTTTTTTTTAGGTTATTTTTTTTATTTTTAAATCATTTCATTTTGATCACTAAAATTTTAAAACAAAAATTTTAATCCTTAGCTGATGCACTATATATCTTTTCTTTTTTCTTTGCTTTTTTTCATCAATTTATGTTATTTTTTTATTTAGTTGAGTGTTATAATTTTTAAAAATCGATCGTTATTTTTTTACACCAGTCGATGATTATATAATACATATATAAATCAAATGTATATACTTTAAAAATCACCTCTCGCAATGCACTCGTTTTTTTTTTTTTAACCCTCACAATGTACTATTCACTCTTACTTTTTTTCTTTTTTTTTTTTTGTAATTTTCACTCTTAGTTTTTTTTTTCTTAGATTTTTTTTTTAATTTTCAAATTATTTTGTTTTGATTATTTTTTTGTAATTTTCACCTTTTTTTTTCTTACATTTTTTTCTATGATTTTCAAATTATTTCATTTTGATCACTAAAATTTTAAAATAAAAATTTTAATCCCTATCCGATGTACTCGCATGCCTTTTTTTTTTTCTTTACTTTTTTTTTCATAAATTTATGTTTTTTATTTTTTTAATAAGATGTTAAAATTCTTAAAAATCAATCATTGTTTTTTATATATAAACCGACGATTATATATATATATATATATATATATATATATATATATATATATATATATATATATATATATATATACACACACTTTCTTTTTTAAAAAAAGTCTTCTCATCAATAATAAATAAGAATAAAATTTTGTTTTTTCATAGGTTAATTTTTATGAACGCCTATACATTAATTATAACTTTATTTTTTTCGATATATTCTTATAAAACAATACATTTTTAATTTTTTTTTTATGGCAATACTCGTCTCCCCTCGCAATATATTATTCACTTTTTTTTTTACCCTCACAATGTACTATTCACTCTTAGGTTTTTTCTTTTTAAAAAAAAAATTTCACTCTTAGTATTTTTTTTGTACTTTTCCAATTATTTCGTTTTGATCCTTGAAATTTTAAAATAAAAATTTTAATCCATGGCCGATGCACTACTCGTCTTTTCTTCTTCTTCTTTTTTCTTTGGTTTTTTGTTTGATTTTTTCCATCAATTTATGTTCTTTTTTTATTTAATTGAGTGTTAAATTTTTTAAAAATTAATCGTTATTTATTTTTTTCACACAAACCGACGATTATATATTATGTATAGATCAAATATATATACGTTAAAAAAATAATCTTCTTATCAACATTAAATAAGAATAGATTTTTATTTTTTATTAGTTAATTTTCATGTAAGTCTATACATTAATTGTAACTTTATTTTTTGGATATATTCTTATAAAAATATTTATTTTTAAAGTATCTATTTTTAAATTCTTAATTAATATTTTAGGTTTAAATTATATATTACAAGTTTTTATTTAGGAATCCATAAATAAAGAAAAATAAATCATGTTTTTTTAAGCAAAAATTATATGAAAAGCAAAAAATAGTAATAATTAAATATAAAATTATAAAATTTTGAAATGATTTTGTTCTATCTACATGTTGCATTGCATGGATAATTTTAAAAATTAATCTTCTCAACAACATTAAATAAGAATTTTTTTTCATTTGTTAGTTTTTATAAAAATCTATTTATTAATTATAACTTTATTTTTTCAATACAATATTATGAAAAATATATTTTCAAATTTTTTTAATTCTTCATTAATATTAATGATTTATGTTTTTTAAGAAAACAATTATAGAAAGAATTAATTAAATATGAAATTATAATTAAAAAATTTTAAATTTTTAAAATAATTTTATACAACCAAACCCGCGAGCGTAGCGCGAGCAAACCGACTAGTAAACTAAACTAAAGAAAAATAGCTTTTCACTGTAGCAAACGAAGAGTGTTAATCACTATTCATTGCTATAGTGCTTTGGTTTTTTAGTTTTAATTTTCACTTTTTTTTTGCCAACGTTGACCTTCTTTTCCCTTTATTTTTTCGGTTCATTTGATCGATGAACGCTGGCCCCTTTTTTTCCTAAAAGTTGAATTTTTTTTTTAATTTTCTTTTCTTAATAATGTTAGGTGTTAAAATTTTAAGAGAACCAAAAATTAATTGAGCGTTAAAATTTTAAAGAAACCAATAATTTATTTTCTTTATTATTTATTTCTAAAATTTAAAAACACAAATAAGAAATAGTTAAATAAAAAAATTTTGATTAAAAAATTATAATTATTGTTTACCATAAAACAGATTATTAAACTGAAATAATTTATTTAAATAATTTTATATATTTTATCCAACCCGTAACGTAGCGCGTATCAAAAATCTAGTAGCAAACTAAAAATAAAAGTTTTAAAAAATATTGGTATGAGTTAACTAGACACAAATATAGCTTTTTTATTATCGAATTTAAATAAATGAACTTGGAAAATAAATAAAAAATCTTAAAAAATAAGCTGGTATGAGTTAATATATTCTATAGCTTTTCTTATTTTTTTTTCTACGAACTTAAATAAATGAATCTTGAATATATATATATATATATATATATATTACGAACTTAAATAAATGAACTTGGAAATTTTAATTTTTACAAATCGAGCTAATATATTATTTTTTTCATTAAATTCATTGTGAAATAATTTTATATTTTTTCAGCTAAAAAATGAATTAAAATTTTAATCAATCTCTGTATATGACAAATAATATTTTTCTTCCACGTGTATTCAAAAGAAATATCCCATTTTTTATGGTGATGACAGTTGAGGATCATACAAGGACAAAAGAAATAAACAGGCATAATCAACTTTACCTTTCGGTCTTTCCCCTGAACCTGAAGCCGGAGGAGGAGTAAGTGCGGCAGGCGGAGGGGGCGGAGGAGGCGGTGAAGCCTCCGCTGCTGCCGTTGCATTATACAATTCATAAAGCTCATACCGAAAATTACAACTTGCAAATATGACTCTTCCTCCTTGCCTTCTATCACAGCAATTCCTTAATATTGAAATAGCATCCTCAAGACACCGACTACAACCTGAACTAGGTAAATCTGGTGTACACTGCACAAGAGTGTACAGTTTTTGTTCCCCAGTATAGTTTGCCTGTTGAACAGCAAACTTCCTGGCACCTGAAGGAGCAGCTGCAGCCCGACTCGCTATATCATTTATGGTGGTTGCTACTAGCTGGTTAAAGCGCTCAGGTTGGACTGTAACATTGTTTGGACTCGACATGATTAAGGTAAGGTCTTGGTCTACAGTAGAAAAGATGTTTCTGTTTGAGTAACGCAATTCGCACTCATCAAACCATATCACGGCTACTTTCTCATTTGGGCACCTTCCGAGTACGTCTTTGGTAGCAAAGTTGACACAACTTCGGCAAACACTGTTCCTAACATCACCACGGCAAAGAAACATGCCGTAGACAGCATCAGGATCCTGTCCTGCAGAGACGTTGTAGAAACCATTGATGTTGTTGCGGGTTACGTTTGAGGAAAGTGAAGAGAGGAGAAGATTTAAATTGGCCTGATAGGTGCTGTTTCTTGTATATACTAAAAGAAAACAATTGCAATCTTTCTATTAAATTCAAATCTACTGTTTAACAAGCTCTCTACCATCTAATCAGATCTGAAACGTCTTATTGTAAAACCAAAAATCTTATATTGAAAATTAAATAAAAACAATAAAATAGAATTTTTTAAATTTAAATATCATCGGTTCAGTTTGTTCTAGACAAATTTTGCTTTGTCATAGCACAAAAAATATCTCAAGAAAATAGACCAAGTATATTTTTAGTTCGTTTTTTATATGGTTAGAGTATCTTACATTATTTTGGGCATCCTGACTCGATCAAAATAATATTGATAAATCATTTAAATCAAAACCGATACATATACAAAAAGAAAAAAATTGCAATCTTTTTTATTAAATTCAAATCTAATGTTTAACAAACTCTTCACCATCTAATCAAACCTGAAAGGTCAGGCATTGTTCCCTCGGAAAAGAGAATGGGATCCCAACCTCATTTTTAAACAAAATTCGTCTTCTTCGATTAATAAAAGAAAATGAAACTAGTTTATTTATGGGTTGATTTTCTAAGGACTAGGCTGTTTGTTGCAATTTGGAGGACCTTTGTGTTTGTTGTTATTGGGGCTGAATGTGGAATTGGAAATTCTTCCCAGACTTTTTTATCGTTCTCTTTCCAGGACCAGTACTCTAATTGCTAGTCTAGGCCCATTACAAGTTGAAATTTCCAATATGTTAGGCTGAGCCCATTATAAATAGATGATTCCGGTTTTTTTTTTTTTAAAAAAAAAACATCATCGTCAAACATAACAAAAGTGAATTATAAATTAGTACCTCTAATTATAACAAATAAATTTATTAGTTTCTCTTATTTTAAAAAAAAAAAAACTAATTGTCTAATATTTTTTATTCATGTTAGAATAAGATGTCGATGTGTCCGAAATTGATTATTACGTGATATTTTTTATTATCAAATAGCAGACTTTCATCGGACACGTTGACAAAATTGAATTTCAGGTGAATTCGAATATCAAAACAAATAAAAAATCAAAATTTGAATAGCAAACCGTGAGAAATCAAATTGTTGATACCAAAAAAGAAAAAAAGAAAAAGAAAGGTTGGCACTAAAAAAGTCTCTCACTTTACTTAACATAGTAATTTTATTTTATATCTTTTAAGAGTATTATGTTTGGATTAATTTAACTTAAAAAACAATTTAGTAGTAGAATTAAGTGCATTATAGCACTCGCTTAGTCAACGAATAGTAAACTTAGTCTTGATTCATCATAAAAATAACCATATATATATATAAGAATTTTATATTCATTCTCCTCTTATTTAGCAATGAAAACTAGGAATGATGATGGGGTGGGGCGAGAGCAGGGATGGCCATCCTCGCTCCTAAAAATTTTACCTCGTTTCTGTCCCTTGCCCCGCTCAGGGTAATATTTCTCATACCTTTAGGGCGAGGATCCCTATAAGGTATCGGTGTCTTATTTAATTTTTTGTTTCCTCCCATTTGGTCTCATTCTACAATTAAATTTTAAATTATAGTAAAAAAATATAATTCATAGAAAACATAAATTCTAAAAATCAGTTATCATATATTTTATATAAGATATAATTGTAATTTTAGAGATGGAGTGAGACAAATGTGATCAAGTGCATCGTTTCGTTTCTCAGTAAATTCGAAGAATCCTCACGTTAATTGAGGTGAGGCAAATTATCATCCCTGATGAAAACAGTATAAAAATACTCACCTTACTTCAAAGATTCGGGTTATAAGTAACAAGAGAAGTATACCATCCCATGACCCAAAGTTGACTGAAGAGCAAAAGCTCACTCAGGAATCCAGAACTACTAACCCTCCACGTAGCTAAGCCAGCAGGCCACCACTATTCACCGATCGAAAGTTCTATCCATCGATTGTGATTCCTTACCTAACTCCCCAAAAGTGCTTTTTTGAATAAACAACGTCAATTATATCAACTATTTTATTAACATGCTTTCCGAATGAATCATCGCAAGGATAAATTTTATAGTATTCAGATAGACAGAGAAAAGGAGAAAAAAAATAAGAGAAATTTTTTTAAAAGAATTACGATTTTTCATAAGTTCGGGTGTAATTTTTTATTTTATCTTTATAGATCCGCATAACACATCGTTTTCGATCTGGAACAAGGGATGCATCCGAATCAATAATTCAAGTAAACAACCTTAATGTATATCAAAAAAAATTTCACGTGGTTTCTAAGTGAATAATTCGAGCAAAAAATTTTATAATACTCGGATAGACTGGGAAAAAAAAGAAACAAAAAGCGAATTATTAAAAATATTTTTTTCTTATAATTTTTTTTATGGGTTGGGAAGTAATTTTTTATTATCATTATTATTATTATTATTATTTTTTTTTTTGTATCTTTGTAAATTTGTGTAATACACTATAGTGTGTCAACGGGAGCAATGCATGCATCGGAGCTTGCATGTTTGGTGTGAAACTAGCCTGGCAATTAGTGTCACTTTCTATTATTATGGATGTTAATTGCTGTCACGGGATCATGGCATCTCCAAATTAAGACTGATTTTCATTCTAGTTATAGAATTCCACACCCTCTACAGTTAAGACTTCTTTATGGACAGTAATCAACTTTGCTTCCAAACATTACTCGTTGTTCATTGATCATCATTAGTTTATTTGATTTTTTAACATACTATTATTTGTATCGTCTCATATTGGCGTCCTCGTTAATTAGCCCTGGAGCAACGCGTGCATCCTGTCTGGCATGTTTGGTAGGAGACTAGCGTGTGGTAATTACGTTCAAGTGTTTTTATCGTGGCATGTTTGCTTATTTGCAATTAAATTCTATGCCACGCATTTGTTTTTTTTTTTAAAAAAAAAAACAACCTATACCACCTAAAATAAATACACGCACGTTAGATAAGCATTCGACAAAATGTCAAATTAGAGATGAAACTGTGTTGGATTTTGGGGTCGTCCCCAGATGTGACAAATTCTCTTTTCAATTTTTAAATTTCAAACTCTTAAATCTACCCTTTGGACTAATAGAAAAACTAATTTTGCCCTCCCACCCTTAAAAAAAAAAAAAAAAAAAAAATCTTCGTCATTCTCTAGACACAGTCAGTTATTTAATTTTTAAATACAATGTAATATCATTTTATTCAAAATGAGTATTCAGTTCTTCAGTTTTGATAATTAACGAAACTCAGAAAAAGCAAAACCGAATTCTAACGAAATTTTTATTCGGTTTCGATTTTATTTTTTCTCAAAACTATTTTTTTTTCAATTTTTTAATTATTTAAAACAATGAAAATAGGCTCAAGGAGCAAAGTAAATTTATAAATTAGTCCCTTTAGTTTCAAAAGCTAGTCATTTTAGCTATTTTTTAATTTATTTTGATTTTTTTAAGAAATAAAAAAAAGTAAAAATTATGAAAAGATTGATGAGAACGATACATTTTATAAAATAAAAAAATAAATTAATCTCATTCAACCTTGGTTAAAAATGATTAAATAATTAGGTTTTCAAACTAAACGAATTAATTAATTCTTTTCTTAAAAGAGAGGAACTAATTTATAATTTACTCTTAAAAAGGAAGTGTTATGGACTATGAAATCATTCCCTTAGCATCCACGAAAGATAATAAATACTCTATTTATTAAAAAAAATTGTTCTCTTTGACTTTTTATGTAGATTAAAACAGTTATTAAGTATGTTGCCATATTATGATGACACTTTCCTAATTTTTTTTTCAAAATTGTATATGGATAATATTTTACAAAAAAAAAAATTAATTAGAGCTATTTAAAAAAAAAATACAACGAGACAATCCATTTAAGATGAAGGGAGTACTTGTTTAACTAAGACCACAACACATAATCATATAATATAATAAAACACAAAAAATTTAAATACAAATTTATTAATGCATATTTAAATTATATAATGACAAGAAATCATTGATTGATTGCTCAAATATCTAGAGTGTATATGTATAAGATTTTTAAAAATCAAATTGAAATAGAATAATATTTGAAATGAATTCGATTTGCTTTTTTTAACTATCAAACCAAATTGGTATTTCGGTTTTGATTAATCGATTTTAACCCATAATTGCTAAGCCTACCTCCCATGAACCAATCCACTCTCAATCCATAGTTTTGAACGAACTGTGAGATCATGGACACAATCCATGTGCCAAATTTTTCAAAGGATCAAAGGGGCACTCAAGAATCCTGAACCGTCCAATTACCACAGAGCCAATAGGCCATCAATCAACCACAAGTGGTCTTTATGGAGCTAACTATAGACACTAAAAATACCGTCACCCTGTTGTGCCGTTTCAAGATTTGCTTGGCAAACACGAAACGCGTCGTCTCCAACACAGGAAAACCATAACACTTTTCCCTTTCTTTCCCGTTCCCAAGTATTAGCCGTTTCCCCTTCCCATTATTCTCTCCATAATTTCTCCTTCCAAAATTCCACGTCATCTTCTACAAACCTTCCTCGTAACCCCACATCTCACCACCTTCTCATATTTATATTCCAGTTTATTTCCTCTGCTTTTCTTGCATCCCCTATAATGCGCCATGGTGTGTACCACATACCCTTCACACCACCTCCTGTTCACTGTCCCGCTCCATCACCAACCCCCTTGAACTTCAACCCCACCACCACCAACGCGGCCGCCACCTCCGGCCACGACATGCTTATCTCTGTGTTTTTGGCACTTTTTCTGCCGTGTGCAGGCATGAGCGCTGTGTTTATTGTCTATATTTGTCTCCTATGGTATGCTGCTAATAATCAACCAGAGATTCCTTTGCCGGTAAAGACAGTGACAGAAAAGGGATTGTCTCCATCGGAGTTAGAGAAGTTGCCTAAGGTCACCGGGAAAGAGCTTGTTTTGGGGACGGAGTGTGCTGTTTGTCTTGATGACATTGAAAGCGAACAAGTGGCCAGGATGGTTCCTGGTTGCAATCATGGATTTCATTTGGAATGTGCTGATACTTGGCTATCTAAGCACTCCGCTTGTCCTGTCTGCAGGGCTAAGCTTGATGCTCTGTTCTTTAGTAGTAGTACTCCTGCTCAAGAGAACAATCCTTGTTAGAATATTAGAGATGAATCTGAAGTCCAATTTGTTTTGATAGTTTCTAAATCGGGATTGCAAATGATGCAGTGTGTTCTGGGTTGTTAATTGTCAGCGTTTTTCTAGGATACACAGAATTAATATTTTTTCTTTTAATTATAATATATGGCTCTTTTTATTTATGTTCATAATTAATTTTTGGTGAGTAATTGTTTCATATTCAAATCAGCTTAGGATTGGAATTACTTGGAAAAAATTAAATTATGGATGCAAATTATTTTACCTGCTGTGTTTAGTCATAGAAATTTTAGGAAGACATTTCAATCATTGAATTATCTCACAAGTTTGGTTAGCACTATTAATTAGGTTAATAAATAGACATTTTATGTATTGTGGTCCAGTTGTTTCCAACTCCCGGAATGAAAATCTCCTGTTGGCGGAGGTGACATGGATTTAAGTTTTGACAGGAACAAGGTAATGCAACCAAAAAATTTTAGTCTCTTTGTCTTATACCAATAGATGAGAGTTCTTTGAGTGGTTTTTTTTTTGGCAAGATCGATCAACAAGAGGGATACAAACTACAGAGTTCGCTTTCTCCTGTTTTCTTCTGTGGAGCTACGTCATGTGGTTGTAAAAAGCAAAACTGCCAAAAGAATCCTTGTACAGTTTTCGAAATTACATTTTGGACCCAAATGCCAGTGATTTATCGTATGCATGGAGGTTACTGGTGGCAGACAAGCGGTGCCTTGGTTGTCGAAAAGATTTCTTCTGAAACTACCAGTTTCGAGGTGTGTGTGTGATCTTTATGCATGGGAATCTGCAATATTCGCCATTCAATGGTTGCAGATGCCACCTGAATCAAGGCCATCATGTCCTGATTTTACCGATATCTGGCCAGGGCCACCTGCCCATAAAGGACAATTGAACCCACGCTACCAGTGCTCTTTAAATCTGTTAATGTGCAACGATACTGCAACGAATTCCATGTGAAAAGCCTTCGACAGATGTCAAAAGCGTTTCGTCCACCGTAAAAATATATGGATTCTTAATTTCGTTTTAGCGTAGTGCTCCTCTTTTGGAAAAGCAGGTGAGCTTTCGCCATTCGAAGTAACTCATTTAGTCTTTTCTTGTTGACAAAAATGAAGTTGTAAAATATCCTGGATTGCTAATCAACAAAAGAAAAGTCCTTAACATTTTTCTTTATTATTTGATTTTTCAATTTTTTTTAGGTTTGTAATTAACTTATTTTGTGTCATTGGTCAATTCTATATTATATTGAAATTACATAAAAAAACACATGAAATTATAAAATAAAAACACATGTTTTGTGTTTAAAATTTAGAAGACATGTATCATTATTTTAATGGTTTCACTTATGTTTCATGTTGCTTAAAATTTATCAATAATATAAAAAAAAAAACTTAATCATAAACAAAAATAAAAGTTGGAGATCTAAATCAAAAAAAACAAATTATAACCAATTATTTAAAAATATTTTTTTCTTGACTAATTATTTAGAATATTTTATAACTAATTAATTAAAAAAAGAATTATTAGCTCGTTATCTAACAGTATATGAGCAAAGAAATGTTAAGGACTAGCTAGCCTGATCTGATTAAGTTCAAAAGAATTCACATTAGCAAGTATCCCATTACTTGTAAATACACGTATTAAAAAGAAGATTCTAAAGGGGATTTCTTTCCCAATCAAGAGAGAAAAAATTCAATTTTCTTTGGGCACACGCTTTGATTTAGAATCTTAACATTTTTCCTAACACTTTCTATGCAATTTTTCTGAAGAAAGTGCCAAAAGCATCTAATTGCTTCTTTGTATTGAGAACACACGAATTAAAAGTGGCCCTTTTTTTCAAAATTTTGCATTTAGCATTGCACGGACAACTCATTCTTAATGGAGAACTTGATGTAATGCTGCTACCCAACTTTCCTTTAAAAGGCTGTGTACGCTTGGAAAAGATCTACCCAGCTGTGTCAATTGGATCTGCGTTCAGCTTGAGGCAATTGATCTGTCAAAACCAATTTCTTTAATTGGGATTTTTTTGCATATGCTGGTCCATCAAATTATAGCCATTAAAAGCCATTTCTTTGGCACTTTGCTGAAATTCATGTAACCTACGAGATTCTACAGTTTGCAATTTCCGAACTTGGACAAAGTATAAATAGACGGTGAATGCCCCGTGGCGGCCTGTGACTCTTGCTGCTCCTTCGAGAGTATCAAATCAATTGCCAAACACGGAATAGAGCTAGGCACGGTCAGGATCCACCGATCACATGATGTTAGATCCAGAGAGATCTTAATAGGGTGGGTGAACTACCAAATCATAGCTGACTTAAATTTTCGATTTTCAAACTACTCGTGACTTGAAAAGGGTCTGTTTCGAGTTTCAAATCAATGCGACAGTGGAAATTGTATTTTGTGTATACTTCCAAGAAGTCAAGTAATTGGCATGCGGGGTCAGCAATCAGCAAATGTCCGACAATATTACCTTCCATAAAGTTACAAGATAATTTACTATTTTAAAAAATATCAATTATAATTAGATTTATGAGACCACAAAGCAACGTGGTGTAACGAAAGAAAAAGTTATCTTGATTTATCAAAACTAATTTTCAATTTGTATAATCTACGAAAAATAATTAATGTTAAATTTTTATTATCCACGAATAATTTAGCATAATTTTTTTTTAGTGATATAAGATTTCAGTTAATTTATCTTAAAAAGACAATCTCGTAGTTGATCATAGGCTAGGAGTATTTTAGCATTGACTTAGTTTGGAGAGTAGTAGAATTAGTTTCAATTCATATAAAAACTTATTAAAAAAATACTCCACTATATTATGTACATGTGTGTGTCTATATATAAGATTTAAGAGTTAAATCTTATCATTAAAGTATTGTTTGGTTATCGAAAATGTATTAATAAGAACGAAAATAAAAATTTTATTTCTATTTTGTAAGTGTTTGGTTGAAAAAATAAAGTAAAATTAAGAATGAAAATTAAATATAGTTTTATTCCTTAGTGAAAAGTATGAATAAAAACAAAAAATGAGAATTCTTTTTTAAATAATGATAGGTTATTTTTATTCATAGTGTATCAATTATTTATATTGCTGCCATGACATCGGCAATACTACCACCGTCATAACAATTGTGACTAGCATCACAACCTAAGTTGCCATAAGTGATAAAAATATTATTATTATTATTTCGTCTACGATCACCTCCATCCGTCACGGTGATAAAAAAAAAAATTATTATTATTATCATTATTACGTCACAACTCCTCATCAACCACTACCACTACTATCAACGATGGTAATAAAATTTATTATTATTATTATTATTATTTCGTCATCGTTTTTTTCAACCATCATTTATTATACCACCACTATTATCGCTACTGACGCCCTAAGCCCAAGTGATAAAAAAATATTATTATTATTATTTCGTCATCATTCTTTATTTATTATCACAACTATTTTTATTCACCATAAACACCACTCTTATTCTATTACTACATTTTATGATAATGGTATCAATTTTTTTTTTTTAATAGAGGCGGTACCTTGATAAGTTTATTAATAGGATACAAGGGGGAAAATCCGGCTTAACCCATAAATTTGAGAGGATAAGAAGGTCTAACCCTTGAGAGATAATAGGACTTGATTGTTATTATCTAGACCCAAGCTGTCATCTGACATGGCATTCCTATAACCTCTTTTTTATTTTTTTCTTACTCCAGCATCATCACCGCAATCATTTTTATTATTTTTATCATCATTATAGTCGATAATATTATTTTTTCAATCATTATTCTCATTCGTATTAAAATCTAAATATCATCAAATTTAAATTTTATTTTGATTTTTTATTATTATTTTAAATACAGAATAAAAATATAAATGTCATTCTAATTCTTTATTTGTTATGGATTTCAGTATATTTATTTCGGATCTTTTATTTTTTAACCAAAGGACACTTGAAAAAAGCAAGAAAATAAAAATGATAAAGCTGACAGGGGGCCCAGTCCAGCTTGATATGGAAGCGGGAGAAGAAATAATCCAACCTAGAAAGACAAAAAATCTTTCGCGTTTACAATAGTGGAAATTGTATTTTGTGTATACTTCCAAGAAGTCAAGTAATTGGCATGCGGGGTCAGCAATCAGCAAATGTCCAACAATATTACCTTACATAAAGTTACAATATAATTTACTATTTTAAAAAATATCAATTATAATTAGATTTATGAGACCACAAAGCAACGTGGTGTAACGAAAGAAAAAGTTATCTTGGATTTATCAAAAATAATTTTCAATTTGTATAATCCACGAATAATAATTAATGTTGAATTTTTATTATCCATGAATAATTTAGCATAATATTTTTTTTAATGATACAAGATTTGAGCTAATTTATCTTAAAAGAGAAACTCGTAATTGATCATAGGCTAGGAGTATTTTAGCATTGACTTAGTCCAGAGAGTAGTAGAATTAGTTTCGATTCATATAAAAACTTATTAAAAAAAATACTCCACTGTATTATGTACATGTGTGTGTCTATATATAAGATTCAAGAATTAAATCTTATCGCTAAAGTATTGTTTGGTTGCTGGAAATATATTAGTAAGAAAGAAAATAAAAATTTAGTTTCCATCTTGTAATTATTTGGTTGAAAAGATAAAGTAAAAATAAGAATGAAAATTAAACATGGTTTTATTCCTATGTGAAAAGTGGGAATAAAAACAAAAAATGAGAATTTTCTTTTAAATAACGATAGGTTATTTTTATTCATAGTGTATCAATTATTTCTACTACTACCATGACATCGGCAATACTACCACCGCCATAACAACTGTTACTAGCATCACAACCTAAGTTGGCGAAGTGATAAAAAAATTATTATTATTATTTCATCTATCATTACCTCCATTTTGCGATAGTGATAAAAAAATAATAAAATTATTATTATCATTATTCTGTCACAACTCTACCTCAACCACTACCACCACTATTGACTATGGTAATAAAAAAAATTATTATTATTATTATTTCGTCACTATTTTTTTCAACCATCATTTATTATACCACCACTGCTATAACTACTAACGCCCTAAACCCAAGTGATAAAAAAATATTATTATTATTATTTTGTCATGATTCTTTATCTATCGTCACGATTATTTTTATTCACCACAACCATCACTCTTATTCTACTACTACACTATACCATGATGATATCAATTTTATTTTTATTTTTTTGAAACAGGGGCGGTACCATGATAAGTTTTATTAATATGATACAAGGGGAGAACAATCTGACCTAGCTTATAAATTTGGAAGGATAAGGAGGTCGAACCCGTGAGAGATTGGACTTTATTGCTATATCAATATAACCAAATTACACACAAAAGATAAATTTTTGAAAGCTAGCCTAGTTATCTGATTGTCAAATGTGATTATTACTGTCGATAATTATCTAGACCTAATATGTTATCTGATATGGCATTCCTATCACCTCTTGTTCATTTTCTTCTTATTCCAGCACCACCACCATAATCATTTTTATTATTTTTACTAGTATTATAGTCGATGATATTATTTTTTCAATCATTATTCTCATTCGTATTAAAATCTAGATATCACCAAATTTAAATTTTATTTTGATTTTTTAATTATTTCAAACACATAATAAGAATATAAATGTCATTATAATTCTTTATTTTTTTTAATGGATTTCAGCATATTTATTTCGGATCTTTTATTCTTTTAACGAAAGGACACTTGAAAGAGACAAGAAAATAAAAATGATAGATTTGATATGGGGGCCAGTCCAGCTTAATGTAGAAGCAGGAGAAGAAATAATCCAACCTAACAAGACATAAAATCTTTCGCGGTTACGAGCCCAAGTTCATCGATGGTCTTAGTAAGTTATAACAACCCTTACGTGCCGAAGGGTTCGTGGGCCGTGGCATGAAAAATCTAGATTCTGCAACATTCCAATTCAGTCCTTATAGTTTCAATCTCACCCACTATCAAAACGCTAAACGCATGCAAGAATATTCTGAACTTTCGATTAATTGAGATAGAATCCTAATCTTTTTTAAATTTCAATTTAACTACCATAAACTTAAAATTTACCTAACATTAACTTTTTTTTTTAATAAATAATAGGTCAGTTTGGGCAAGTTTTTTCGAGTGTTGACTGCACTTAAGATCATTTAACACTCTTAAAAAATGCACTTGTCCATTAATCTAAATTTAAAACATAATATATATTTAGAAATATCGGTTAATAAGATACGTATCACTTTTTAAGACTATTATGTAACTTTCACGTGCAATCAACAGTGAAAAGTTGGTCAAATAGATTTATTATTTGACAAAAATAAATTATTATAATTAAATTGTTTTAAAAGTTAGGAGTTTATTGTAGTTTGGTTAAAAATTCATGATACTTTATAATTATTTAGTCATATCTTAAAAAATACACTTCCCCATTAACTTAAATTTAAAATATAATATATATCTGGAAATGTCGATTAATAAGATACGTATCACTTTTTAAAATTATCATGTAACTTTCACGTGCAATAAATGTTGAAAAGATGGTCAAATAAATCTATTATTTGACAAAAATAAATTATGATAGTTAAATTGTTTTAAAAATTAGGAGTTTACTGCAGTTTGGTTAAAAATTCGTCATACTTTATAATCATTTAGCCATATCGTAGCCAAAAGTTTGCAAAAAGTTGTGATTTGATATATTTTTTTAATATATAAATAGCTAAGGACAACTAATAATGGCATTTCATTTTTTGAATTTTTTTGAAACTTTTTTAATTTTTTTTTATGATATTTGTAACGGGAAGGAAAAGGTAAAAGGAAAGCAAGAAAAATGACCCCAAAAAAACAAAAAAGCTCATCATACTTTATAATTATTTAGCCATGCCATAACCAAAGTTTGCAAAAAGTTGTGATTTGACTTTTTTTATTTTTTTACAAATAGTTAAGGAGAACTAATAATGGAAGGTCATTTTTTGCAAATTTTTGATTTTTTTCTCCTTTTTTACTATATTTGTAACGTGTGTGGGAGTTTGGAAGGAAAAGGTAAAAGACAAGGGAGAAGAATGACCCAAAAAAATAAAAAAATTACTAAAAAGAATATTAAACGAGGCAAGTGCTTCCCCCGGGGCTAACCCGTACGGTGGCGATCGGAACTTAGTTTACCCATAACCATATAGGCAACAATTAAAGCAAGCTCAATTTGTTCGCTGACCCGATCAAATAAGTGAAAAAAAGGCTCGAAATAAAGGCTTTGAGCTGAAGGTGGGAAATCTGTCTAAACCTACATCAATAACCACGAAACTTTTGATTTTCCTCTCCTTTCTAAATTTCTCTTCAGCTATGACAAAGCTGACCATTTGCTAGTGAGAAATTTTATAATATTTAAAAAATAATTATTATAAATATATAATAATTATTTCATAAATTTACTTTTAAGAAAAAAATAATATTTGGATTTACAAATAACGATAAAAAAATTTCTACCTTTCTTCATTTTTTTTATTTTTTATTTTTCTATCTCTCTTTAAGAATAACTTCTACTTATTACTTATTTAGAATTATAAAATTTGTCGTTGTTACAGACGGAAAAAAATACTCCCATCGAAGACGTGCTACAACGCCACGTGGTGGAATCGAAGGTTAACACGCATGTACTTATAGCTGTCCTGCAAGGTCACGAACTCCCATCAAAAGACCTTCTATTCCGGCTTTTTAGAAGCTGCAACACGGCATATTGCTAGACACGTGTGTTTTGGTCCTAGAGCTGTGGGCTACGGTGGTGGGTCCCAATTCTAGATTCGAATAATTGAGGTCATTGAAAGTAAGCCAACAACTTTCCTACGGCAGCATGTGACACTTGTCCCACCCTTTTACACGTGGCTCTAATATGTACGGTGTCTTTTGTTTTACTTGTGTCCTGCGTCTCTTGAGATACAAGGAAACTAGATTTTCTCGCGTTTAGATTTCAAATAAACGTCATGATTGAGCATCGTAAGTTATAATTTTCCTTCGCTTCAAGTAAATAAGTAAATTTATCCTTAGTGCTCTGATTTTTTTTTATTTTAAATTATATTTATTATATTTTTAAATATTATTTTAATTCTCAATCTATTTTTTTAAATTAATTTTCTAACTATAAATATAAAATATTATTTTATCAATATACACTTAAGCTGACATAAAAAATATTTAAAATTACATGATTTATCAATCTTATTTTTTGAAGTCTTTATTTATTTATTATTATTTTGTATTTTATTCTCGATAATTTGATTACAAATTTGTTTATGGTACAAAAATTGATCTAAAAAGTTAAATATTATTTTAAAAAATAATAATGGGAATTAAAAACAGATTAAAAAATTTATTTATTATATAAAAACAGATTGTGATATTTATTTATTATTTTTTTTTTGGTTTTTTTTTTTTTTTTTTTGTAAGTTTGGAAAAGTCGGATAATCCGGCTATCGCCTACGAAAAATGGGTCGCGAGGAAAATGGGCGACAAGAAAATCAATATTGTTCAGCCCCGTGGCTTTCTTATCTATGATGTGGGATCTTATGGAATTTTTTTTTGTTAAAGTACTGATATATTAGTTGGTATGACATAATAAAGTTTCCCAACCACATCAGCTATGATTTTTCGTACAGAAATTGTTTCATTTATTCGATGAATCTGTCGTGTCATTATATGAATTGTGTTGCGAAGAGTTTTTCTTCCTGTAAATGAATTTCATAAAAGTCAATCATTAAAATAAATTATCTCAAATTACATTCGGACACTTGTTAATTGGACTTGTAAGCAACTCTTCGGCTGAAGTACTTGTCAATGACATATATATATATATATATTGATGCTGAGATTTTCTTTAGTGAATTTGGTTATGATTTTTTATTTTGTTTTTATATTTGTCTCTTCCTTAAAATTAATTCATAAAAAATATTTTAAATTATTAATTGAATATTTTAAAAATTTTCCGTTAATTTAACTAACATTAACACATTTAATTTAATACTTTCAATTAATTTCACCTTTCAATTTAATGTTGGAAACCAAATTGAAAAGGTATAAAGGTATAAAACGTGCTTTATGAAGCCTGGATTTGGTTTTTTCAACGGATACCAAATTGCATTAATTTTTTTATTTATATGCACACACACGACAATTCCAGTTTGGAGCCTTTGATTTCTCATGATGTGCTGGCAAGACGAGGGAGTTGCCTTGTGTAATAATTGAAGAGGAGAAAGTTAACTCGATGGACAGGTGTTTTTTTAATTTTCCTAGGTATATCTGTAGGGGCGCATCAACGGTGCTAGAGGCAATCAAGAAGCGACGACAATAAGATCTTCCTAACGCCAACATATCACAGATTGCCAGATGTCCTGGCTATATATACCGGCGGGCCCGTTAGTTAATGACAACTTAGTTCGATGGCGTCCATAGTGGGAATTGAACATGATGGTCCCAGAATGTAACCTAGGGGTACTTTTCTCTATCCAACCCAAAGAGATTGAAGGAGAAAAAGGGCCTTTCACTGGTTAGGTAAAATTGTTGTATTTACGATGTTTCCTCAGATGGCAAGTTACTCTATATATTATACCCTCTCTTTCCAAAATTTATTCAATCTTTTTATTCATATATATTTTTCAAAATATTTTTTTATCAAAATTTTATATATTTTATTAAATAGTTCTTATTTTATAATGCATAATTAAATTGAATATATTTTTTCCTTAAACAAAAACGAGTATTTAAAAAATATTGTTAAAAAAAGCTGAATCAATAAATTTCTTAAAAAACTAAAAAAAAAAACTATCGTTTTTTAATTTGTATAAAAAGTAAAAAATAAAAAATCTCTTAAAAAGGTTATCTTTTTCAAGTTTTCAGAATTATGAAAATAATATTCCTTGGAAACGCATTAATCCACGCTAAACTAAATTTTCACAAATGTTCCATTTGTCCTATAATGATATCCTTATCGATTTTTGGAAATATCAGTTTTATCTTCGATTATTAAATAACTAACAAAAGACGAATTATTTCATATTCTTATTTTATTTTTTACTTTTCTAATATATTTACCACTCAAATCCCTTTATATGTTTATGGAGTAATATCTTACAAAAAAAAAAAAAACTTAAAAAAATAAATTTGTTTTCTTATTCATCCTCTCCAATTTCTAAATTTCTGATTCCCCCAGTCCATTGAAGGTTTTCGAAAAACGAACAAATTCCTTTTCTTAGCTAAACTACTTGTCATGGATAGATCTTATTATATGAAAGTTACGCCGCAGATATCTTAATTTGATTTAAGGAAAACAAACAAACCAGACCTCCCTCGTCAACGCCGTTAGATAATTTTTTAGAGATGTGTGCCTCATACGTAAAGCCCCTCATATATTATGGGAGATTCCTTTTAAAAAACTAGAAAAATCGAGCAATTGACAGGTGTGCTTCCTTTCGTTTGCCTTTCCTAACATCACCATTCAAAATCTTTTAAGACAAGAGGGACCCAGCGAAAGTACATGGCAAAATTATAGTACACTTATTCACACCAATACATTGCTTCAGTACAGGTGTCAAATGATCTACAGCTGATCTCTTTTGTAGAGTTAATTACAAATAAGTCCCTTTACTTTTAACAAATAAATTAATTAGTCTTAGTTTTTAAAAACTAATTATTTAGTCTTCTAACCATTGTTAAGTAATTTAATAATATTTTATTCCAAACAATATACTTCTTTTCTCACCCTTTTTTCAATAACAACTATTTTTTCTTTTTCTTTTAAAAATATATTGAAAAATAATATAGAATGAATGAAAAGGACTAAAAATTTGCTTTTGAAACAAAAGATACTAATTGGTTATTTTTAAAATAAAGGGACTAATTTATAATTTACTCAACATTTGATACGATATCTAGATAGGGTTAGTGGTGATAGTTAGGGAGGCACTATTAGGTTATTGTATAAAGAGCACAGCTCGTAGTTTCCTACTGTAGAGAGGCGAATGCTACGTGTGGCCGTGTGGGTGTGGTGGTGTACTATTAGAGGTGCAATGGAATGATGTGGAAAGAATATGGTTCTTAGGAATATAAGCATTAGAGAAGGACAGTAGAGGTTTGTATTTCTTCTCAAGAGAGACTGTGAGAGAGAGAGAGAGAGAGAGAGAGAGAGATAGGGACACAGTGGGTGTGGAAAGAGGAGAGATAGAGGTCATGAAGCAGATGAACTTGGAGGAAAATACCTGGAATCTTCAAGCTACTCAAGCTGAAGCAAACGGTACCTCTCAAAAAACCTCAAGCTCTGGATTTTCCTCACTCTTGGCCTCCAACGATCGTGATTATCTTCTCTCACAAGATGGAACTCAGGTTCGTTCTCTGATGTTTCTCTCTTTCTCGACATCTATGGTTAAAAAACTGAAGCTTTTTTAATTAAATTTATAAATATTTATGTAAAAATACTGGGTTCATACTTCACATGCTTATGGTTTTCCAAGCAAGTGTTTTGTCAACTTTTTTTATTTTTTTTGCGGATTATATGTTTTTGAACATTTTTCTGTTGTTCTCATGACGATCTTTAAGTCTTAAAACTTTAGCATAGAAAAACTCTGGGAAGGGAAACTGAAGTACTTGGATTATCTTAATTAGGACATATCTAGATCGAGTTTAACTTTTTCATTTTGGGCTTTAAGAATAATATTTTGTCAATTAAAAAAAAAAAAATCCCCTTTGAGGACCTAACATACTGATAGGAAGGAAGAAGGAACGTTCTAGAACTATTATGCTGATTGGTTTTCGATTAACAATTCAAACAATAATTTTCCTTATCTTTCCGTTTGAAAACCCAAGAGAATTATTATTTTATGTTTTTTCTAATGAAATTAAAAAATTCTTTGATCAGAAAGAAACAAATCACGAGTCTACCTCTACTACAAAAATGAAAATGGAAGAAACAAAATCCGATGATAAGCAGTACTGCATCTTATTCTTGAAAAAAGATTTTTTTTTTTTAATTTTTTTATATCCTTGATCATTATTACTTATATTAACGAAGGATATAACCTCTACTGCAAAAATGAAAATGGAAGAAACCAAATACAATAATGAGCAGTACTGCATCTTATACTTGAAAAAAGATTTTTTTTTTTTTTTTTTGTTCTTATAGTAACGAAGGATATTTGTATATCCTCTCAAATCCTTCTGTCCTAGAGAAAAAAAATCAAACTAATTCCTCTATTGTGGATTGAATTTTTCTTTTTCATGGCCCATGAAGTGATTTAAGATTAGGCTATGTAACTTTCTCAAATCAATTGAACTATACTTAAGAGCACGTAACTGAACGTAGGGTTTCAAATAGTAATAGTTTGGCAAAATAGTGATATCATCTGAGTTTTTTTTTAAAAAATATTTTATCTCATTGAATCTTTTTTTTTTTATTTAATCTCCTGTATATTAATTTTTAACTCCTGTACCAACTTGTCACCAAACTAAGTTGACGGCAACGGACACATGTACGTATATACTAGATAATGTTACATGTATTATGAATTAATACGGTACTCTATTTTTCTGTTCATGGTTTGTCTTCCGTATATAAGCCCTATTAGATTGAAAATTTGCGTGAAACTTATTGTAATTATGTATTTTTTGTATTTTTGTATTTTTTTTTTTTTTTTTTTGCTTTGGACTTCTAAGCCTATCTATGATAAAAGATAAAGATGTATTAATCATATACCAAGAAGAATTGCTCGCATTTGTTTTTCGTTTGCTGCATAAATTGGATTGCTTTGGTCCATAAAAAGTTAGAATACATAACCAAACAAAGAAAGAGGTAAGAGTAGAGAAAAATGCGTTGGACACGAGAAGGATAGATAAGCATAATTAACATAATTAGAAGTAATTGTCTATTGGTCTTCTAATAAGAGAATGTAGACTACCATTTATATCATTTTTTATTTTTTCTCTAAAAACTCATTAAAAGTGAATTTTTTTTTTTTTTAATCTTGAGTTCTGCTAGTTTTGAAGTACGGATAATCTTTTAAAAATTTTTTTTTTAATTAAAAATACTGTTGGATACACAATCGTTAGGTTATTTCTGATTATTTACGGTGTAACATTTTTAACGAAGGAGAATCTCACTGAAATTAGATTAGATTAAACACTAAACCTTGCAATTCATTGGATTAATTATCGGTGTATTATCGTAAGTGTAATTAAAATTCTTGACTCTCTAGTATTCTTAACTTGTCGGTAATCCAACAGCGCCTTACGGACGTGGCAGTAGATATTATTCTTCTTGCTGTTGTTGCTGTAGCCTTTGTGGGGTGGAGGAAGTGGGTGTCGTTTTCTGGGACTTGGCTGTGTTGTTCACAAGCCAAATTTGTAGTCCTAATCAATGTGGGCTTCCACACTTCGGTTGTGTCCGTAAACAACCAAGCTGACAGGACATGTGTCACAACCTAATGATCACTTATTTCTTGCATTAAAGCTATACGTACAGCACGTGGCCCTTTCTCGACAGCTGTACACACAAAACCTGGCAACACATTGTTTTCATTGGTTTTTTTTTTTTTTTTTGGGTTGCTCCTTTTGGAGAATGGATTCTTTTTTATCATTGGTGCTTCTTTTGGATAAGTTTCCTAGTTGGTGCTTTTTTTTACTTCCCAATCGTTATCCAATTCTTTTTTTGACACATTTTATTATCTTTTAGATAATTAATATTTTCGTGTTATATTGCTACTAATTTGGAAAAAAAAATGGATGCATCTCATGATTTTCTTGGCCCAACGTCTATTCCAAGTGTTTTGATGGTCATTATCCCACGAATGGCTTCTTGTAGGTGAAAATTTCTGATCTTGAAGGCAAAGTTTTGGGCCTTTACTTCTCTGCAAACTGGTACGCGCCATGTCGAAGCTTTACCACCCAGGTTTTAATCGGTGCATATCAGGAATTAAAGAGCAATGGATCTAATTTCGAAATTGTCTTTGTGTCATCTGATGAGAACCTGGATGCCTTCAACAATTATCGCGCCAACATGCCATGGCTTTCCATTCCATTTTCAGATTTGGAGACCAAAAAAGCCTTAACTAGTAAATTCGACATTGAAGCAATTCCTTGTCTAGTCATTTTGCAACCCAAGGATAACAAAGATGAGCCAGCTTTACATGACGGGGTCGAGATGCTTTACCGTTTTGGCATCCAAGCTTTCCCATTTACCAAAGAGAGGCTGGAGGAATTAAAATTGGAAGAGAAGGAGAAGCATGAGAGGCAGACCCTAACCAATTTGCTGACGAACCATGATAGAGACCATCTTTTGGGTCACCCGGCACCTAAACAGGTCAGTGCCCACCTTGCCCACCTGAAATTGAACTTGATCTCACTTGAGGCAGTTTTGAATTTTTTTTTTTAATGCCAAAATTACCAAAATGTTTTTCAATGTTTTTGCGATGAATGGTCATCCATCTTACCCTACGGGGATATAATTTTGATTTGATTGGACCACTCAATTTTAGAAATTATTGGTCCCTTGCCAAATTTTTTTGGTAGGCCATAAAATTTGCGGCGGGTCCAATGAGTCATCACTTACCTCAATTCTGTTGGTCCTGATATTTACAGGAAAATGGCTAAACAAAGTCATCTAACCATAGGTGATATCTTGACACGTATATGTATCGATTCCCCAGATCCCACTGCTAACCAACTTCTTTCTTTTGTTATTGTGGACACCTAGGGTGCCCTCGAAAATCAAATGCAATGATTATATGATTTTATTCCGTTTTATATTTTTTGATTTCGTCTATAAATAAATTTTTTTATAATATTTAAGGAGAAAGTATTACTTCATGGGTCTAATTTTAACGTATGTATATAGATTCATCAAAATTGTCATGTCCCAATTTTTTTTTAATCTTTTTTTTCTCTATTTTTCTACTGAGTAATTTTAGTTAATTACTTTATGAGTATTGTAAAATTTTTCGTCTATCAACGACCTAGATAATTGATGCCCAAGTACATGTAATTATTTCTCGGATCCATCGATCAATGACATGACAGCTCTTCATATGATGTGGAAGATAAGGAGATACCAAGAACCTACACATCTTCTGTAACTGATTAGTTAGTCCACATATTGTTAAGGTCAAAAGGTCCGTTTCTCTAATTGTGCGTGGGTCTCCTTGCCCTATAATGTTGTGGGGGCCGTTATTTTGAGGCACTGGCCGGTGTGTTTGAATTTGCATTGCATGTGTTTATACCACAAAACTGGGAATGGCGGGATCCACTTAAATAAAGATAAGGATTGGGAATAGGAACATTAGTTTGATGATTCAAAATTTTGACAAACTAGTTTCATGGTGGAAACATTTGTGCTGTGTCTAACATAGTTGTCGGTTCCTGCAGGTGCCTGTTGCCTCTTTAGTAGGCAAAACAGTGGGACTGTATTTCTCATCCCAATGGTGTCTTCCGGGTGGGAAGTTTACTCCCAAGTTAATTTCCATCTACCAAAAGATTAAGCAGATGCTGGAACACAAAGGAAATGATGAAGACGACTTTGAAATTGTGTTTGTGTCAAGTGATCGTGATCAAGCAGAATTCGACTCCTACTTCGGTAGCATGCCATGGTTAGCGTTGCCTTTCGGAGATCCTACTAACAAAAACCTTGCTAAGCACTTCGATGTGAAAGGTATACCTAGCTTGGTAATTTTAGGTCCTGATGGTAAAACTGTTACTAAACACGGGAGAAACCTAATTAACTTGTACCAAGAAAATGCGTACCCTTTCACTGAGGCCCAAATTGATTTCCTAGAGAAACAAATGGATGAGGAGGCTAAAAGCCTACCAAGATCAAAAAACCATGCAGGGCATCGACATGAACTCACTTTGGTTTCAGAAGGAACTGGAGGAGGCCCATTTATATGCTGTGATTGTGATGAACAAGGTTCAGGATGGGCTTACCAGTGCCTTGAATGTGGATATGAGGTGCACCCCAAGTGTGTTATAGCTGTGGACCCTGGCTCCATGGTTGAGAGCTAGTAAAACCAGCGTGTTGATATTGCTAATAATTAAGCTCGGGTGTTCATTTGTGCATGCTGTCAAGTTGGATTCTTAGATTTCGCACGTAAGTTTCTTACTACTATATATATATAGCTCGGTTCACTCATTGGAAAAGCCTTCTGTAACATGGGCTTTAACTTTGAAATTTTCTCTTAGCTTAAGGCTAAGAAAATGTCCTTCAGTGCTACCCCATAGCATTGCTGTTCCTTATTAGATGATAATGTTGGTCCACGCAAGTAGCAATGCTACAGTTCTTAGCAATTAGTCATGATATTTTCGTCTTTGGAATTTATTATGTTTTTTATTTTCTTTGTGATAGATGCAGACTGCTGCGGACTCTCAAAATCCGACGTCAAAAATCGATGTCGATTCTTTGTCTATAAAAAAAAAGTTTAGGATGCTTTATTATTTGTAAATGCGCGCACGCACACAAAAGCAATCAGCCATTATATGTGTAGTGGTCAATTAAATTGGATCTACCAGCCCAGTTTTGAGGCTGCTGGTCTAAGCACTGAACTTGATGGTGAAATCTCTATATCTAGCAAGCAAGCTTTCAAATTAATCTCGTAAGTCATGTACCGCTCACATGAATTGGCTATGTGGATTAACGTGCTCAAAGGTGGAATTTACTTGATTGTTTAGGTGTTTTTTGGGCTGCTGGGCTATTGGGTCAGTTCTTCGAACCCACTTCTTTGCTTTGGACCGACCTCTGAAATAAGTTCGGATCTACCTCTAAGTGATGTACAACCGGACTCGAACTCTAAAGTGTAGACAATGCCAGGAAAACGTCGAAAAGAAAAATAGAGGGATTATTCAGCTGTAGAAAATATTTCATTTTTCATTCTCTCGGGAGAAAGGGGGAGAGGAGCATGTATTTATTTGGTGTTTTTGAAAAAAATTTCAGCTCTTGTAAATTGAAACATATTTGAATGAAAATTATTTTCTAAATACGTTTTAAGTATTTAAATATATGTAGTTACTTATTTAGTTTTTTTTTCTTGATATTATGTTCTTATAATTTTGGATGAAAAATAATAAATCACACTAATTAATTTTATAAATTTTTAATGCAATTTTCTTGCATAGCACAAACATTTGATATTATTCGTAATTTTCAACCTTTTATCAATCAATTTAATGCATTCTACTAATACTTGTTTAAAACACCAAAATGTTATTTTCTCATATATATGTGCGCGCGCGAAAAAATGGTTCAGTTTGTCAGCATATAATAAAGTAAATGTCCATTATGTTATTAAATCCCAAAATAAGTAAATTCAACGTTTTATCAATCAATTTAATACATTCTACTAATATCGTTTAAAACACTAAAATGTTATTTTCTTATACATGTGTGTATGTGCACGTGCGAGCAAAAAAATAGTTGGGTTTGTCAGCATATAATAAATTAAATATCTATTATGTTTTTAAATCCTAAAATAAGTAAATTATATGTCCGTATTTAAGTGAATTTTCAATTCATCTTTGTGACCATATTTGATAGTGGCCTAAAAAAAAAAAAAAAAGAAAAGGGTGGAAAGATTGACATTGAGGTCTAAGACTGTAGATTGGTGAGTAGGACTTGATTTTAGGTAAAATATGGAGGTTTTGATTTGAAAAAAAAGAAAGTTATGGGAGTAGCCGAACAGGATTGGTTGTTTTGGGTAATTTAACTAGATTTTTAGAGGAGAAAAAAGGGTAATTTAACTAGATTGTGTGCTTGTCTTTGGCTGGAAGAGAGGATGATGATGGATTAGTAACTTGGAGCTGTCTATTCATTTAAGGAGTATTTTTGAAATAAAACTCATCATGTGCAAAAGACGTTATATATATATATATATATATATATATATATATATATATTTGTGATGGTTTGCTGGAAATTATCATCATATTGAGTGATAAAAAATTCACATAAAATACAATCAAATAATTCATGGTATATGTAAAATGATGACCACTAGATTCAGCGTTTTAGAGCTGGGGTCTGTGGACCGTACGTGGCTTCGTGGCTGAGAGCTGATCAAACCAGTGTGCTGATATTGCTGTTGAGGCCTGAGGGAAATGAGGGGCAGAACCTATGGATATAAAACTTAATGATTTGTCATACAAATTTTGGGTTCGGAAATATAAATACCTTATAGTAGTAAATTTAAGTATAAATTAAATTTGGGATAAAGAGACAAATACAAAAACTGTTGTTGAATGTTCTTACAATTAGAAATAATAATGAATCAGATATATGATTTATTAATTTATTTTTTTATTCTATCTATTTAAAACAATATTTTGTCCATATTCGTTAAAAAAAAAATTTAAAACTCATTTTTCGTCCACGTTATCGGTTCATTTAATGTCCATTCAATAAACATTATAAAAAATTTTCAAAATATTTCATTTCAGTCCTTGTATTTTTTATCAAAAAATAATTTGATCCTTGAATTTTTTTATTTACAATTTGATCTCTTATCTATAAGTTTTTGGTGTTTGAAGTTTTCATAATATTTTAGACTTTACTTTATAGATTTGTGCAATTCATGCATGTCAATTTTTTTATATAAAAAATAGATATTAATAAGGTATATATGAGTATTCATATCTAAAACTATCTTATCAAATGTGTTTTTTTTTTTTAATTTTTATCTACCTTAATATCCATTAAACAATTTTAAAGAATATTTATGAGATCGAATACAATAAATACTCATCTCATACTCGATTCTTTGCCATTTCTAATTGCCAATTTACCATCCACACTCCCTACTTCTGGTGCTTCTGACACAAATCACAAAAGTAAAGAATGAATTGCCCACCCAATTGGCAGGAGATCTATTTACAAATAAATTTGGAGCATCTATAAACAATCCCGCGTTGATTTGAGAGCGGGGAAACATGGAGTAAACAATTCCGTTTTCAATTTAATTACAATTAGCATTTTCCAGTATAAAAGGTCTTTTCCTGCACAATGGGCAAGAGCTGTGTCCGATAAACCACTGACCAATACAACGGGGATGAAATGTGTGGCGGCACCGCGGCAAGCTACAAACCATGTCCCCCAGTTGGAAGTCCTGTTAATCATAATCAAGAATCAGAATGAGTGCTAAAACACAACTATTAATCAAATTGGGGATATTTTTTTTTAACCGGAAATCCTCAAACCTGAAGGCAGATTGAGCAGGAGGGCCCGTTCCATAAGGCATCCTTGATGTTTTTGCCTGTAAGTTTCTTATTTGGAATTTTCTGCATTGATAATCCGTTGCTGTAAATTGTGGTTGAACTGAGCCTTTCTAGTCTTTCATACAGGATGTTTGAACCTGTTTCGATCTAAATTTAGGAAACAATGTCAGGGCATTAATTCAAAACTTTTCGATCTCTGAAGTCATTAGTGAAGTTAGGAGCGATCAGGAAACTTACGAAATGAATGAAGCACCCAGTTGCCCAATCATCAGAATCCCAGAGAACAAATGATTTTCTAAGAATTTCAACGGAAAGAACGCACCCCATGACGGCTCCAACTGTGATTCCATGAAGTAAGCTACTCTTGGATTTTAGGCCAACCACCGCTCCAGAATAAGCTCCCAATGTTGTGCCGACTATAAGTAGAGAAAGAACTCTTTGCATGACGATCAAAAAAAAAAAAAAAAAAGCATAGGAAATGATAAATGTACAACGGAAAGTTAATTTTAACTTTGTGGTTTTGATATATAAAGAGAAAATTTTATTTTATTTTTTAAAAAAGAAAGAAAGAAGGATTTCAGTATATTCAATAGGAATATGGTCACTAATAAATTATTTCTTGAGAACTTGTTACATAATTAATTAGTTCTTCACACCTAATTAACAAGATTGAACGGGAAAAAGGTGCATGGTGAGGACGCTTTTTTTTTTTTAATAAATTATTGGAGAAGGTTAATAAAGGAAAATTAAGGGAAAATAATGGTCCTGTTGAAGATTATTTTTTTAATTATATGTTAGTGTTAAGAAATAGAGGGATGACAGTGCCAACTTAATCAATAAGAGGAGTGTCAAGCTTAACTACAGGCGGATTTGTGCTTTATTCTTAGTATTTACAAGTTGCCGTTTCCACACGGAAAAATAAGTCGCTTGCTTCACGTTTTTAATTTCAGACCTGATTAATATTGCAAACCCAAAAAAAATGGTAACCTCTAAAAAAAAAAAATCATTAAAAGGATTAATTTTTTTTTGTTTGTATTTTATTTGAAAATCAGTTTATGAATTTTAGATTTGTGTTTTAACCTTTATGATTTTTTTTTTTAAAAAAAGTCTGTTCTATAATTTTCAGGTATCATCTCTCCTTCTAAAAAATTCAATTTTTGATATTTTGACATGAAATTTTACATACATGTTGGAAAAAATCTACTTTTTAGAAAAATTTCAGAATTTTTTAGGATAAAAAATTATATTTTTTTAACATAAGAAATCGAGAAAATAGAAAATAACCGGAAATGATTTTTATCATGGAGTTATTCATATAATTGTTATGTTTGTTTTGAGATAAATGACAGAAAACAAAATGATAGATTATATATAAAAAAAAAAAATCAAAGAGGTCACAACAAAAATTAAAAATTTTTAAAATGATTTTTAAATAAATAAAAGTTCAAGAATGGTTCGATATTTTTAACCAAATTAAATTAAATTAATTTGAGAACAAAATAACTAACCTCTAAAAAAATGGTAATTTTTTTTCCTTTTTAGTTGTATAACAGTGAACATATAAGTTCAAACTTTAGTTATAATAAAGTTTATTTAAATTAGACAAAGCAAAAATTCAAATCATAGATTTTTCAAAATGCACTGACGGAATATATACTTTCCATGGCAAGCCAGAGAGACTCAATAAATTACCCTGAAACACTCTTCTCCAAATATTATGTATATTCCGTTCCGGTAATTAATTATCCATTAAACCCAACATTTGAGGGGGAAAGAAAGAAAAGAAAGAAAGAGCAAAACAGAAAGAGGCCCAGGAAAGCTTGCACTAACCTACTGCAAACACGAACGTCAAGATTGCACAAGATAGCTTGCAGGCAATTGCAGAAACCCAGAATGCTAAAGAAGAAGCAGAACAGGAGGATGGGAACTTGTTTTCGATCTTCATGAGCTGATGTCTAGCTATCAAAGTAACAAGGCCGCCAAATGGGTTTCTGGGTGGAAAACAACTCTATTGGAGTTGCAAGGGAGAAATGGCCTGCAGAGGCAACTTCGTGGAGAATTAACTTGAAATAGGCGGCCTATAAGACTAAATTAGCCGCCACAAGCTAAAAACATAAGAATTCAAAGAATAAGGTTCGCATTGACGTGTTTCTGTCGTGCACTCTGGTCTGGGTCATTCCAATATTGAAGAGTTCTAACCTTCCGGGTCAAAGTCTTCTTCTACCAATTACTTACAAACTTTGTTAAACTGACAAAATTACGTTAATTCTACTCGCACTTCTTACTTTTTTCGTGTGACACTATAGGTAAATTGTTAGTGAATTCAAAAAGTCTGTTCCTTAGATCTAATTTACATCCTAACTGATAACGTCATGGGTTTAATTTTAATTAATATAAAAAACTGTATCGAAAATATCACACTATATCTAAATATATATAAAAAAAATTGTAATCGTTGCAACTTTACCAACAAAAGCCTATAGCTTGACGTCCATGTATTGCTCAGAAGGCTTTTCATGTTCCTTTTCTTACTGTTTTCTTTTTTAGTTGTTGAGCACCGAGGAGTAAATTATAAATTAGTCTCTTTATTTTGAGAAATGAATTAATTAGTCCTTCTTATTTTAAAAATTAAGTATTTAATCTTTATATTTTTAAATCTAATTATAACTTTATTATTTTTATTTTTTATTTAAAAAATATAGAAAAATTGATGAGAAGAAAAAAGATGTTTTTTTTTTTAAATAATGTTAAATTAACTATGTCTATATTGGTGAAAGAACTAAATAATTAATTTCTTAAACAAGAAGGACTAATTAATTTGTAAAAATTAGTTTCTCAAAACTAAAGAGATTAATTTATAATTTACTCTATTTTAGAGCTGGAAAAAATTAGTGTTGTTTAATTAGGAAAAGAATTGGAATGTGAGGTGTTTGAGTTAAGAGAGCATGTATGCAACTTCAGTTTTTCTGTACTGGCTTAAAAAGGAAAAGAAAAACTTCGAAATGCTTTCTGATGAGTTTGCTCCAAATTCGGATGCCAATGGCTTGCTTAAAAATTGATTATGCAAACACATAAATGGGCATACATGGTACTGCACACAGTTGCTTTTAATCACTTGATAAGTAAAAAGAATTAGGTCAGACCCGTCAAACCCGACTGATTCACGTGCATTTTGACGATTCTAAGTTGCCCAAGCCTGGTTTCTTCGGAATTGACTAGGCCATAACCGAAAGAAATGACATTTTTATAAAATCAGATATTTATATGTTCTGTTTTTTTCTTTTTAAAAAATGTTAGTGGGTATTAATAGAATATAAAATTAAAACTCATACATCAAAGAAGTGTTAACCAATATATATTTTTTCATCGCTATTTTCTTCAATATTCATTAAATATTTATTAAATTATATAAAATAAATATCTATTTTATATCCGACTTATTATCCTTTTAAATCCTTCCAGCTTTGTCTTAAGCAAAAAGAATTATTTCTTGGATTCAATGAAGGTATAGAAACTTTTGAATTCCACCCAGTCCTTTCTAAATTTTGAATAAAACAAAAAAACCTCTAATTTAGAAACTAAGTCCTAATAGAGTTATTTCCTAAAAACAATCTTTAATTTTTGTAGCAATACATGTTTAAACTGCACTATATATTTAAGTAAGTTTGAAATTCATTTGATGATCGACGGTCTAGCTGTTTTGTTAATACCCAATCCTATATGAACAAGTAGTAATTATATAGATATATCCCGAAATAATTCCAAACCAACAAATTTTTATTAACGCCTATAGAATTTGGGGATGCTCTATTGGATCTTTAATTAGTCTATTCACACAATATTTTATTTATTTATAATAATAAGATATTTTTAAATCAGTTTTTGCATTAATAAAATTTAAATCTATTATTTTTTTACAATAATTTAAGAAGAAAATAGCAGAACAGTCCTTAATTAATCTTATATCCCTTCAAAAATTTGTATATTTACAAAAAAAGCCAGTACTCACATTGCTTGTGCGTACCAAAACCGGCATCATCCTCTGCCTCAATCCAGGCCCCAAACGGAGGTGGGCTTATATTTTTGTATATAATTTTCAAATATTTGAATATTAAAACTAAATAGAACATGCATTAATTTAAGCATCCCCTTTGACACTTTTTGTTCAAAATCTAAAATTTCGAGTACAATCTTACAGATTCACATAATATTGTTCAATCCAAAAGCTTCTTTCCTTATTTTTAAAATTTTCATTTATTTAATTAAGATGAGCATGCCCATGTTTATATATTTTGAGTTAATAATTCAATATATTTTTATCTAATAAAGTGATTCTTTAATTTGTTCTTGTGTTTTTATTCAAGTCAATTTTATTCTCAAATCTACGTTATCTTTTCATTTGTTTTAATCAAAATTTTTAAGTCAAATTGTCAGAATATTATTCACGTGAGTTGTACATAATTATTTTTTATTTTTAAAATATCTTTACAAGTCAGTTTAATAAAAGTCTTTTATATATAAATTATGTAACTAATTCTGGTAATTTAACTTGAAAATTTTGTTAAAATGATAGATTAAATATTTAATGTATATTGATTAATGATAACATTGGTTCCATTTGAGATATAATAAAAAATTGAAAAATCACTATATTATAAAGACATATAACAGTTATTAACCCTATATTTGTTCAATTTCATCCTTTTCCTTTTTCTGTTTTTCATAAATCTTCATCAAATGAACATAAGGTCTATTACATCATTGCAAGGTTAAAAGAGATGTTGTGCAGGGATAAAAGATATAGAGGCCAAGAATAATTGTTAGAGGTTTGATGACTTCAGGACACTCTTATTCTAGCTTGTTATACATAATCACCAAATTATTTCGATCGAAATGTACATAAACTATATATCGTTCTACGAAACAGGTACATAACTGTGGTCCAACGCCACTTATTCAATAGTACAACGTAAATCAAACAAGTGATGATAAGAACCTGATAGTGCTTGAGGTCCTAGCTATTAAAATAGTCTTCGGATTCTTCTTTCGGTGACGTGCGTGAGGACCTAGCTATCATATCACCTTGTGGGTTGCATACTTGCATGGACAACACCAACCTGCATGTGCAACATTTACCAGCTCATTAATTATCGTTAATTTGATGAAATTAACAAGAACTAGATTGATTATCCATAGGCAAATTCATACCTCTTTCTCTTCTCCAACTATTTTGGTTGGATTGGATCGTCGAGGAAGGGGCCTTCGGCTCATGAGACGTGAAATTGAGTCAAGCTTTGGAGGAGATAAATGTTCATCAATGATAAATTTTAAAATACTCGATAAGTAACTAAAAATATTATTTCATAAATTTATTTCAAAAATAAAGATAGATTAAAAAAATTAAAAATACATTTGAATTTATTAAAATTAATAAGCTCAAATTTTATTTATTTTTAATTTTTTTCATGTCTATTTATTTTTAATTATGAAATAAGCATTGTTAATTGTTTTTCGAATAATATAAAATTTTTCAACAATTATGCATGTCTGTTAGAGATTAATATAAATTATATTTTGAAATCTAATCTATCAGTTTAAGTTTTTAGGTGAGATAGTCCTTTAATACATATGTTGTTATAAGATTAATTAGTAAGTAATAACGATAATTAAGGATTAGAAACATACGGAATAAATTATATGAGCAAAATACCTATTGATTTCAAGACTTACGTACCAAAGAAAAGAAGCATGTCATTGCTGTATTATCAGAATCCCACATGGCAAGTAATAAATTAAGGATTTCCTTGGATAAAATAACCCCACTAGCGGCTCCAGCTATGGCTCCATGGAGAATTCCCTTCTTCGTTGGCAAGCCAGCCAAAGCTCCTACCATGACTCCCAATATTGCACCCACTGAATCAAATGATACATAGATACCCGTTAGTACTTAGGTACTTGCCTGCCATTTTTACCCAAATTTTTTAGAGAGCAATATTATATCAACAAAATTGCAAATTGCTTGTTCTCATGGAAAGGCAATCGTTTGTAATTCATAGGAGATAAACCTTAGCTCTCATGACTTAACAATATGAAGTTTTATTAATTGATAAAGTTAGCTTCTTTTTTTTTTTAATTAAAAAAAGGAAGGGTCAATGGACTTTTAAGTTATACAACAAAGATAATGATGCTTGCTATATTACAACACTCGAGTCCCTAAGATTTCTCGAACCTTGCTCATTGAAAGAAAATATTGCCTATGCAACTGCTACACTACCAAGCTTACATTTAATTGAGTTTACAATAAGTTAACAAAATCAAGGAAAGAAAAAAAAACATTTAAGATGCATTATTAGTACATCTTTAATGATTAAAAAAAATTTGTTTATTACCTTTAAAATGTGATAAATGAATTATCATATTGATGATTAATAAGGATTCTCTAATGTTAGAAGTGCGTTTTTCCTCATCAAATAAATAGTCTAAGGACATTTGGGAATGAGATCCTTTTTATGTTCGCCCACGAATTCAATTATTACTGTAAAATTAGAATAATTACACTATAAGTACATTATGGTGCTTTAATTTTTAATTTTTTTAATCGAGTATATAAATTTTAATTTTTTTTTATCCAAGTACATTATTTTTTTCAAAACAGCAGTCAAGTATTTTTTATTCAATATCTATCTATTGTTATGTTATTTGTTTACATATCTTTTTTCTAGACTATTAAATTATGATCTTACTCTTTCATTATTAGAGATAATTTTTCATTCTAAATTATTTTGTTATTTTTTACATTTTAGCTAGATATAAAGACAATTTAGATATTTACTATGCAAAAAGAAGAGAATAGAAAAATAATTTGAAATAAAAAGTTATCTTAAAAAAAAAGAAAGGACAAAATCATAATGTAGTAGTCTGGGATGAAGGAATCATCAAATAATGAAAATAATCAACAGAAGTTAGATAAAAATATATGATTGTCAGTTTTTTTAAAAAAAATTAATATATTCAAATAAAAAATTAAAATTCATATTCTCAATTGGAAAAAAGAAAAATTTGTGTAACTGTAATACAATTATCCCAATTTTACAGAATTAATTGAATCCACGAGCCAACGTAAACAGGATCTCATTCCTAAATTAAGAATCTGATAACCAAATTACTCAAATGTTTCTTGCATAGCGACTGTCTTTCAAGCTTCAACGTTGGTGGACCTAACTAATCCTTCTACCGAAACTAATTAGAAGGATAAAAGCTGCAGGTAATTGTAGTTGACTTTTTTTTGTTTTATTATATATATATATATACACACACGAGGAATGATTGCCTCAGGATAACTATTGTAAATATATCGTGAGCCATTGACTGCATTTGATATTTTAATTTGGAATTTAAACTGAGAAGTTGTTTATATCCTCATTTAGTCCAATTTCACATGCCTTTATAATTAGCAGCAGTTTGCATACTTAATCCATTTGAGTGATAAAAACAAAGTGATTTTAAAAAAATTATGATAGTGTTTCTTGGTTTTATATTAAAAAAAAAAATCAAAATAAACAAATTTTCTATTTTGTTTTGAAAAATTTGAAAACTAAAAATGTGGCTAAATAAGCCAAACTTTACCTTAATTTTAGTTTATTTGATATCGGTTTCTGATCTTCAAATTTTTGCTTTGACATGATTTTTTTAAAAAAATTTAGTTCATATTATGAATTTCAGAATTCACCTATCCTTTTAAAAAATTAAATTTTAGTATTTTTAGCCCAGAATTTTTCATGATCGGTAAATATGTTTCTTTATATTTTGAACATTAAAAATATAAAAAATAAAAAAAAATAGAAAATAATCCGAAATAATTTAAAATTTTATTTTAGAGGCTCATGTAAATCTCATGGAATGATTTTTATTATGACAATATTTATGTCATTATTTTTTTTTGTTTTACAGAAAACTAAATGATGAATCAAATATAAAACAAAATAAAGTTTAAGAGATGTTAGACCAAAAATTAGAAATTTAAAAGATTGATTTATAAATAAATTAATACTCGGAAGAGGTTTGAACCATTTAATCCAGTAAATAAAACCAAAAATGACACAGAACTAATCATTACAGATTCACATGAACAAGCAATACCTGATGGTTAGATCCAAACAAGCCTATGTCTAGCTCAAGAAAAAAGCACATATCTGATATATGCACTAACCTTCAGCGAATAAAAACATCAGAATTGCATAGGTCATCTTGGCAGATATGGTAGAGAGTGTAGAGATGCATGGCTCCCTCGAACCTACAGAAGAAACGTTCGACATAAAAGAAGAACGAGGGGCTGGAGGAGGGCAAGCGAAAACCTTCATGTGTGAAACCAAAAAGTTCTTCAGTTGTCCACTGCAAGGGTTGATACTTGTAAAGGAATAAGTATGATATGGAGCTAATGAAGGAATGCCAAGGAAATGATGACTGATAGCGAAAAGAGCTGGTAGCGAGACTAGAGCCATCAACAGCTTGCATTTTCAATTGCCAGAGGATGACTACGCAATGGAAAAAATAAAAAATGACCGTAGACCAATTTTGTCTCTTTCTGCTTATCAAAGTTTCATTTTAATCCTCAAACTTTTAATAAATTGAAATATAAGGCAATAACCATAAATGGCTATTCTTTCCATTATGAGTGTGGAAAATCAATACTTGTGAGGTCCAACTGGCTGCTTCTGCGCTCCTTCTCCTTTCTTACAAAGAATGTACTTTATGACCATAAATTTTATAGCAATTAAAAAATAACTACTAATAATTATTGGTTATTAGTAAATTCATCAATCAAATACTTTTATCATGTTATGAAAAATAGAAATAATAGAAGAATTTAAAGGGAAGGATGACAAAAAAAAAATTCACTGTAAAGTGAATACAAATGATAAGAATTTCAAATTGTTCTATTAATCTTTATAAAGATTTGTATATCAACTAATGAATAATCAAGCCTATTTATAGACTTCAAAATTGAAATGAGAATTGGAAATGACTATGAATAATTAAAAGTACATCAATTGCATCACCCTTTCAATTTCTCATATTGAATGGTGAATTGAATCACATTAAGGATCATGAGTAATGGGGATATGAAAAATAAATGGATATTTATATGGACATTCATTATTTCATAACATATCATTCTTTTATAGATAATTATGCTACATTCTTCATCAATTATTAATAACTACTATATGAGTATATAATAAATATCAGTGAATGGTATATTGATAATTATTTTATAGAAGAGAGATATACATAAAGAAGAGAGAGAAACATGACATAAGTTTTTTTTAAAAAATATTTTTGAACCTAAATAAGGTATTTTTATCATTTTTAGTGAATCCAAATGTGATTATTTTTTATTTTTATGTTTATTTCTCTTTGAAAATTAAATTCATGAAATAGCTATTGATAATCTATCTTAGTATTCTAAATTTATTTCCTTAATCATATTATTAGTAATATTATTATTTCAAAGAGTTTTTTTTTCTAATTAGAGCACTTCTTGCTCTTTAATTATAAATTAAAAAACAAATATATAGATCGCAATACTAACACAATTCAAGTGGCTAGTGTGAGAAAATTAACAAGAATCGTAGGTATGATAATAAAATTTGCCTTTTATAATAAATTACTTTTAATAAATTAACTTAAATTCTTCGTAATCATCCTTTTTTAACTATATTATTTCTCAACATAAAATTAACACTATCTTAGGCATGATAACGATTAGAAAACAAAACGAAACCAAAAATAAAAAGCAAATTACCAGGTTATGCTACAGCTCAAAACAGAAATACTGATTTATGCCACAGTAGGGAATTAAACTAAAACTTATGAACTTGAGGGACTAAACTGATCAAACCTGTATGAACTTCATGATGTGAAAGTACGAACATCGTGATGTGAATGTCCCCTTTCCCATCTAGAAAGATCGCTCTCAATCTTTATTGGAAAGGCGAAGAGAATACGCCACGTGTCATCCTCTCAATATCATAAGTGGACCAAAACAAAATTAATGCATGTGCCACTCTATGTATTTATTTAACAAAGACTTTAAAAGGAGACTATGATTTGTAATTATTTAACTGTAAATCTCATAGGCAAACATGACATTTTCATAAAATTTCGTGCTTTTTACGACACGAGAGTAAGACCTTCTTATTCTCACAAAAAGTTAAAAAAAAGGAAAAAAAAAGAAAAAGGCCTTCTTTGCTTATCCCACACCAATTATGGCATGGGCGTATGCTTCGGTCTAGCAATCCGTGGGCCACCAACAATTCAAGACTCCAAACAGTGTAAATTCAAAGAACAAATTGTGTGCCACAACAAGCAAATCGTGTGACACATTTAGGCTGCTATGTGTGTTTAGAATTCTATGCTTTTTCAAAACAAACTATGCAATACTAAAAACTTTTCTTGATTGAAGGAAAAATTGGAGTTTTTGATAAAATCACTATAAATCAATGATCAAGGAATGAAGTAGACATGAGAATGAAAATGAAAATTTACGAGAATTTCATTCGATAAAATATGTGGGAATAAAAATAAGAAATGAAAATAAATTTTTTTCTTCAAAATAATAATATATTTTATTTATTTATTGTCTATTAACTATTTTTACCACCACTACCACAATCACCATAACCACCACCATCGTAACCGAGCACTACTACCGTCGCCGCCGCCACCACCACCACTAGAACCAATATTGTCATAACTACGACCAACATCATCACTTTTATTATTTTTACAACCATTATAGTTTGATGATATTATTTTTTTAATCATTATTTTTTTTTTATAAAAAAGCATATAAAAAAATTTAAATTACATTCCGATTCCTCGTCGATCTTTCAAACACGGTATGAAAATACAAATGCCATTTCGATTTCTTAATTTTCATTATAATTCCTACATTCTCATTCTCATCACTCTATTCTTAATTATCAAATAACACTTAACTACCTTTATTGCTCTTAACACATAAAACCCACATTTGTTTTTACGTAAAATTGATCCTTACTCGTCCTAAAATTACGTTATTGTGATTGAGTTTAGTAAGAAAAAGAAATAAGAAAATTTGTTGGTAATACGACACATCATCGTATGTACATGCTTCCTTCGTCTCAAAACAAGTGGTTATATTTTATACATTTTCAAATTAAATAAATATATATTTTTTATATCACGGATAGTGAAATATTTTATATTAGTTTTCGTATCGATTAAAATTAAATTTATTATTTTTTAAATTAGATCAACATTATATTACATCTAATTTTATATTAATTTAAAAATTAAAATTTTTAAACTCATTGGAAAATTATATTCAATGTCACATAAAAAAAGGTTTTAAAAAACGAGAATACTGCTGATAACTTAGTATGTTAAAATATTTATTTTTTTTATCATTCTACTTATGTGGTAATAAATATATTTCTTTGAACAAAAAATTATGATGCTCCATTATCCTATCAAATGATTAAATTCGTCCCTCCGGCCCTACCCACCGAGGAAAGTGAAATTGGGAATCTCCCGTGCTGAATGGTTACGTAATTCAGATGGCCCATTTCAGAATTTTCTGAGTTGGGCTTTATTGACATCTAAAAGATTCTTTAGCAAGCAATGGGCTCCATAGTACAATTCCATCTGGGCTTAATGAATCCATATTATTGACGTCGTAAAGCAAACAGGGGTGGTGGTGGATTGTTTCTTAATGACAACAACAATATGGATTAATTAAAAATTAGTCCTTTTAGTTTTGAAATATAAATTATTCATTGTATTTTTAAATTTTTTATAACTTAATCATTTTAGGTTTTTTTTTTTAATGGAAGGATTGACAATTTTTTAAACAAAATAATGTACCAGCAAAACTCTAGATTTGAAACACGAAGAAAGTCTCGTCATCTCTCTTTCGTTTTTCAATCAACAAGGTAAAGCAAATGCGTATTTCAGCTTGAAAGTTAAAGAGAGAGGAATGATACCCAAGACTACCCAAAGGGCAAAAGCAAAGCATCCAAAAAAAGCAACCAACAGAACCAGAACTACAAAAAGTTCCAAATATCTTACAGAACTGACATGTTCTTGTAATAAACCAAAACCTCACCATCCTCAAAAAATACCTGAAAACAATTTACCCTCTCTTGATCGGTTACTGCCCACCAACCCAATGGGACTCTGTTACTCTCGGTCTCGTTCTCATGATATCCCTATTTCCTCTTCTTCGGACGAGGACTACTACCAACCAGCACCACCTAAAAGACCAACCCAAGCACGTTATAATCCACCCCCGCCGCCGCCGCCGCCACCGCCAGCAGCAGTATCAGCAGCCACCTCAAAACCAGCTCTGACTTCGAAAACATTTGTGAAATCTCGAACTACCGTTACTTCATCCTCAAATATTGGTCCCATTCTTGGTAAACCATACATTGACATAACCACAATTTACGATCTTGATAAAGAATTGGGGAGGGGCCAGTTTGGTATAACTTATCTTTGTACAGAGAAAGCTACAGGAAGAAACTATGCGTGCAAGTCTATATCAAGCCGTAAACTTGTGAGTGCAAAGGATATTGAGGATGTTAGAAGGGAGATTCTTATACTAGAGCACTTAACAGGGCAACCCAATATTGTTGAATTCAGGGGTGCTTATGAGGATAAACAGAATCTTCATTTGGTCATGGAGTTATGCTATGGTGGGGAGCTTTTTGATCGGATTATAGCGAAAGGGACTTACTCGGAGAAGGAAGCTGCGACAATTATTCGGCAGATTGTGAATGTGGTTCATGTGTGTCATTTTATGGGAGTTTTTCATAGAGATTTGAAGCCTGAGAATTTCTTGTTTGCAAGCAAAGAGGAGAACGCTCCAATCAAAGCTACTGATTTTGGACTCTCTGTCTTCATTGAAGAAGGTTAGTGATTTTTTTTTTTTTTTTTTTTTTTTAATTTGTGATTTCCAGCTTGCCTTTTTCTTTTTCAAAGTTGATACGATTCTGCAAATTGTGTGGTTTGATTTTAACACAGATGTATTTTGCCAATTCGCAACAAAGTATTTATGCATGTTCTATACCCATCCGGAAGAATAAATTTAGGATCTTAATCTCCTAGTACCGTGTTTAGCAATTCGAAGAATATGACAGCTTTTTACAGTAACTTTCATTCATTGGTTTATACTTAGTATAGGCTTGATCCAACTTATCATGTTATAATTTTTGTATTTTTCAATAAAATTCAAAATTTGATGTGAAATGTGAATCAAATATTAAGATTAGTGGGTCAATTACTTCTTTCTTGATGCCATTATGGATGATAGGGCCAAGTCAATGAAGAAAGGGACTTTACAAGTCAACCGAGTCAACGTGTTTTCTTTTAGTAAAAGGAAAGATAGGAAAAAATAAGAAATAAAGAACACAGTGAGGGTTTATCACATGCTGACTTCACTAAGATTGGATCCGTTGTACCGTTAGACATCCTATAGACACGTTGTAGTGATCACACTCAGGCATCACTAAGTCCCACCAGAGAAGAGGCCCAGAGGCCGGAGCCTCAAACTTTTCATGGGAAACATGCTGCCAAGTTGTCCACAAATCAATTGATGGTACCGTCAAATAATAATGCAGCTGCTAGTTAAACACTGACATTTCAATTAAAGTATGTTTAGCTTTTCTAAAAGCTAGCTGGTTGGTGCCTTTTGATTGGATTTATGATAAGATAAGTTGCTTTATTTTGGATAACCAAAGATGTGCAATTTGGAGACATAACTTAAAATGATCTCATTTGTACCAATTTGCTCTGCTACCCTGCAAATATTGTTGTTTCTTGCAAGAAAATGATGAAACTGAAAACATGTAATATTCTGTTCTGCCACACATATTTCACATTTTATCACTCAACAAGTTTTATTTCCTTGAATATAACGTTGTCATAGTAAGAGATTATCGTCATCATTTTCTTCCATTACTGAACTTTTCTGAACTAATTCTCCAGGAAAAGTGTACAAGGACATTGTCGGAACTCCAGACTATTCTGCTCCGGAGCTGTTAAGACGGAGTTATGGAAAAGAGGTTGATGTATGGAGTGCTGGGATCATTTTGTACATTCTTCTAAGTGGGATATCTGCTTTCTGGGCTGGTATGTTCCTTTTTCCTCCAATAGTTGAGCTACAGAGCAGGAGCCCTATCCTTCACTCATTTTTAAACTAGGATTTTTATGCCTTGAGGTATTTTTGAAGTGTAATGTTTTTCTAACTGAAGTGTGGATGAACACATTTTGTAATAGAGACTGAGAAAGGCATATTTGACGCAATATTAGAAGGCAATCTTGACTTGCACAGCGACCCATGGCCTAATATTTCATCTTCTGCAAAAGACCTTATCAAGAAAATGATAAGAAACGACCCCAAGAGACGGATTACTGCTGCACAAGCACTTGGTAAGTATATAATTATCCATGATTTGATTGAGAAATCCTTAGTCTCATTTTAAATATTAGGTGCCTTTTTTGAGGCAGTTGACTCGGATCTCGAATATCCTTTCTTCACTTAATTAATCTTACAACTTATTGTGTTTGCTGGGCCGATTTTCTTTATTATCGAACTATAAATTTCATAAAATTATGTGTCTTACTGATATTGTTCACACAATGTACTTGAATCAGAACATCCATGGATGAAGGTGGATGGTGGAGCATCTGGCAAACCTGTTGACAGTGCCGTTCTGATTCGGATGAAGCAGTTCAGAGCAATGAACAAGTTAAAGAAGCTTGCACTAAAGGTATGCTTTAACACCTCCAGTTTCTGACTGACCGCAGCCACATAATTGTTCTCATTTTAAATCTCCCTTGTGTTTAAATCACTCGCTTTCAATGTTATAGCATGTGGAAGAATAATTTTCACCGTTAGAATGATGTCACTGTTTAGATTTGGAGTCATCTGCAAGAACGATTACTTTCGCTTGTTTTCTATTCCTTTCATATTCTCATTGCTGCTTTTCTGATCTGGAGTTAAATTGCGTGAAGGTTATTGCAGAGAACCTTTCAGAGGAAGAAATCAAGGGCTCAAAGCAGATGTTCAGCAACATGGACACCGACAGAAGTGGTACTATCACATAAGATGAACTAAAATCTGGACTGTGGAGGCTAGGATCTAAGCTTACTGAAGTAGAAATAAAGCAGCTGATGGATGCTGTAAGAAGAATCGATTAAACTATATATATATATATGCGCTGCTTTTATCATTGCATTTGCTAGTTTCTTTCGTTGAAAGCCCATCTATATCTTCAAGTAACAACCCTTGCAGCAAGATTCTTCCTCGGGTCTGCAAGAACAAGCATTGACCACAACAATTCCTTTTGTTAGGCTGATGTTGACTAGAATGGTACTCTCGACTATGTCGAATTCATTACGGCTACCATGCATCGGCATAGACTTGACAAGGAAGAAAACTTGTACAAGGCCTTCCAATACTTTGACAAGGCTAACCGCGGGTTAGTTGCCGCGACCCTACGTCTTTGGTTTTAAGTTTTTTTTCCTGTAATGGTGATCGGTAAGTTCTCCTGAGATAAATGATCTGGGGAATAAAAACTCCCTGTGAATTTCAGACAGTATGTCCTTACTCCTGAGCAAAAGTCAGTAACATTACTAACTTGACTAGTTCACTTTCATAGGTTTATCACTAGAGAGGAGCTAAGACAAGCCATGGCTCAATATGGGATGGGTGATGACGCTGCAATAGATGAAGTCATAGAAGATGTTGATACTGATAAAGTAATTATCCTTTCCTTTTTCCTTTTTTCCGCCCTTTTTGATCTCTCTATTATCATGTGGTGGTGCTTTCTTGCAACTGATTGGGACATGTTGTGCAGGATGGAAACATCCACTATGAGGACTTTGCAGCCATGATGAGAAAGGGAACCCACGATTATGAAGTGAATTTAAAATAGAAATACCGTTGTATATAATTAACATGCTTAAAAATAAGCCCATAAGTTTGCATGATCAATAATGATAGTAATAAAATCAATAAATTCCTCGTGCTGTAACTGTTGTAAATGATCGCATGATCACGGGACAGTCAGCACGCGAATTGTATACATATTTTTTAAGTTAATAATGATAGTAACAAAATCAATAAATTCCTCACGCAAATTTCTCCAAAGTCGGTGCAAACGGCGATAGTTGCTGCTGCTATCCAAAGTCGCTGTAAATTGATAAAATCCTTGTAAATTTGCAAAGTTTCCTGAAAACTTAAAGGGAATTAGCAACTAACATCGTGCATGGTAGTTTTCAATCCCTTTGGTTCATCACACAAGTGAGACAGATAATCCCATGCTAGGACTCCACCAACGAGCACAACAAAAGGGTAAAGCATTGCCAAAGCCAGTAACATGCTGCCTTCTATGGCTTGAACAACCTTGTAGACATTAGACACATTGAATGCCAGTGTGGGTATAACTGCAAAAACTGCCATTAAAACAGCACGACTCTGTAAGTTGGGATTTCACTTGCCAATGGCCCCAACTCAAGAATGGGAAAGACATTCCAAAGTGTTGAACCCAACGCTCGGCACCATCTAAGAACATTCTCAAATCGCCTTAGGTGTAACCCAAACTCCAATTGATTTTTAACTCTCCAAAATTGTCTAGGACTTCAATTAAAGAGACTCTGGAGCATCATGGTCCAGGGTATTGGCGAAATAATGCTCCATTGTAATTTTTGATATAAAGTGCTACTGCTACCATCTTTGAGTACTCTCTGATGTGAATATGAAACACAGGCATGAATTTCCAAATTTTCTCTGCTGCTCGTGCGCGGGCAAGGCGTTGGGTGGCCTGAGCTTGGGCTGGAGCTGCTGCGCACGGTAGCCTACTGGAGCTTGGAGGAAGTTGCGGGTGTGGAGTATAGGGAGCTTGGGGGTTGCTTGGGGCGAGAGAGAAGAGCAGCTTCTCTCGAGGGGTTTTTTTTTTTAATTATTTTTTTGTGCAGTAGTCGGCTGCTAAGTGGTTTTTAGGGTGGTGATGAACAGTAGATTTTGGTGAGGAAGAGGAGATGGAGGGGCTATGGTGGTTTTTGGGTGAGAGAGGGTAGGTAAGCTTGCAAGATGAAGGTTTTGGTTGCAGTAGAGTGGGGAGGGGCGGCTGGCTCTTTTTCAGGGATAATGAACAGTGGAAGGTACTAAAAAATGCATGGCAGTGGTTTTTATAGGTAGGGATTTTTTTTGCAAAAATCCAATTTGGTCATTGGCTCTGCATTTGAGTTTAATCTTGCTTTTTTATTTCGATAGTACCTTATATTTGAATTAATTGAGACTTTTTTTTTTTTTTAGTTTATCTTAATTGTGCTTTCTTTTTATTTTAATTAAGAGACGTAAGTTTTGATTTTTTAATCGAGTTCTCAATTATTCCTTTTTATTATCTTCAAACTTTCTATTTTTTCAATTAAACTCCCTCTCTTTTATTTTTTTAATTAATCTAAACTAATTATTTCAATTGATTTTTTTCTTTTTGCTTGTCATTTTGTTTTGCTTACCATTTCTCTCTCTCTCTCTCTTTCTCATTCCATTTTTCATTTTTTTCTTTTCATTTTTTTTTAGTATTTTACAATAAAAATAAAAATTGAAGTAAAACTAATGAGGGCAAAAATTTAGGTGATAATATCTATTATAAATATATAGTGAACCATTGGCCGCATTTGATATTTTAATTTGGAATTTAAATTAAGAAGTTGTTTATATCCTCATTTAGTCCAATTTTACTTACCTTTATAATTAGCAGCAGTTTGTGTACTTAATCCATTTGAGTGATAAAAAAAAATTATTTTAAAAAATTATGATATTGTTTCTTGGTTTTATATTAAAAAAACAAAAACAAACTAATTTTCTATTATATTTTGAAAAAATTTAAAACTAAAAATGTGGCTAAATAGACCAAGCTTTACCTTAATTTTAATTTATTCAAAATCATTGTCTGCTCTTCAAATTTTTTGTTTTACTTTCCTTGACTTTTAGAATTCACTCGCTCTTTTAAAAAATTTAATTTTTGATATTTTAAATTGAAGTTTTATACACATATTGAAAAAAAATCCAATCAATTTTTTAAAAAAGGCTCAGAATTTTTCAAGATTGGTAAATATGTTTGTTTAGATTTTGAATATTAAAAATAAAAAATAACATAGAACAATCTTAAATTATTTTTAAGAGCTTCATATAAATCTTATCGAATGATTTCTATTATAAAAAATTTATGTGACCTTTTTCTTTTATAGAAAACTAAAGAATGAATTAAATATAAAACAAAATAAAGTTTAAGGAATGTTAAACAAAAAAATTAGAAATTAAAAGATTGATTTTTAAATAAATTAAAATTCAGAAAAGGTTTTACCCATTTAATCCAGTAAATAAAACATAAAATGATACAGAACTAATCATTACTGATTCACGTGAACAAGTAATACCTGATGGTTAGATCCAAACAAGTCTATGTCTAGCTCAATAAGAAAAAAGCACATATATGATATATGCACTAATCTTCAGCAAATAAGAAACCAGAATTGCATAGGTCAACTTGGCAGATATGGTAGTGTGAGTGGAGATACATGGCTCCCTCGAACTTACAGAAGCAACGTTCGGCATGAACGAAGAACGAGGGGCTGGAGGAGAAGGAGGAGGGCAAGTGAAAACCTTCATGTGTGAAACCAAAAAGTTCTACAGTTTTTCGTTTAAAGGCTAAAGCAAACCGTCCGCTGCAAGGGTTGATACTCATAAGGAATAAAGGATGATGAGGAGCTAATGAAGAAATGCCTATGAAATGATGATTGATAGAGAAAAAGAGTTGGTAGTGAGATTAGAGCCATCAACATTCAACAGCTAAATGCCATAGGATGACATGAAGGAAAAAATAAAAAAAAGTCCGTAGACCCATTTTGTCTCTTTATGCTTCTCAAACTTTAAGCAATAACCATAAATGGCTATTCTTTCCTTTATGAGTGTGGAAAAATAATACTTGTGAGGTCCAACTGGATAACTACTGATAATTATTGAGTACCGATAATTTTATCAAGTTATTTTTACTATTTTTTACAGAAAATTATTAATACATTTTTCATTAATTACTAATAACTATTATATAAACATATAAAAAATATTAATAGAGGGTATATTGATAATTTTATTTTAAAAATGATGGGAATAATAATTTAGTTGGTAAATCTAAAAATGACCATGCTTATTTTATAGAAGAGAGAGAAACATGGGATAAATTTTTTTAAAAAATATTTTTGAACTTAAATAGAGATGTTTTTATCATTCTTAGTAAATCTGAATGTAATTTTTATTTTTTATCTTTGTGTTTGCTTTTCTCTGTAAATCATATTTATAAAATAATTATTGAAAATCTAACTTAATATTCTAATTTTTTTCTTTTGTCGTATTATTCCTAATATTATTGTTTCAAAGAGTTTTCTTTTGAGAGCTGTCACTTTTGCATTTTAATTATAAATTAGAAAACAAATATATTGAACGCGATACTAACACAATTGAAGCGGCTAGTATGACAAATTAACTAGAATCGTGAGTATGCTAGTGTAACAAATTTACCAGAATTATAGATATGATTATAAAATTTGTTTTTCACAATAAATTACTTTTAATAAATTAACTTAAATTCTTCGTAATCATCTTTTTTTTAATCATATTATTTCCCACTCTCTCTATCTATTATTTAACAAAGACTTTAGAAGAAGACTGTGATTTGTAATTATTTAACCGTAAATCTCATAGGTACATGACTGTGGTCAAACGCCACTTATTCAATAGTACAACGTAAATCAAACAAGCGATAATAAGAACCTGATAGTGCTTGTCTTTCCATCGAAACAAAATGGAAATCCGAAAGCTTGAAAATAACATAACAAGACATTCCAGAAAATGAAAGTTCTCCACTACATATTTGTGTGTTCCTAAATAATGGTCTTCGGATTCTTCTTTCGGTGACGTGCGTGAGGACCTAGCTATCATATCACCTTGTGGGTTGCATGGACAACACCAACCTGCATGTGCAACAATTACCAGCTCATTAATTATCGTTAATTTGATGAAATTAATAAGAACTAGATTGATTATCCACAGGCAAATTCATACCTCTTTCTCTTCTCCAACTATTTTGGTTGGATTGAATCGTTGAGGAAGGGGCCTTCGGCTCATGAGACGTGAAATTGAGTCAAGCTTTGGCGGAGATAAATGTTCATCAATGATAAATTTTAAAATATCAATAAATAACTAAAAATATTTCATAAATTTATTTCAAAAATAAAAATAGATTAAAAAAATTAAAAATACATTTGAATTTACTAAAATTAATAAGCTCAAATTTTATTTATTTTTAATTTTTTATGTCTATTTATGAAATAAGCACTTGTTAATTGTTTTTCGAGTAATATAAAATTTTTCAACAGGCATGCATGCTTATTAGAGATTAATATAAATTATATTTTGAAATCTAATTTATCAATTTAAGTTTTTAAGTGAGATAATTCTTTAATACATGCGTTATTATAAGATTAATTAATAAGTAATAACGATAATAAAGGATTACAAACAGACGGAATAAATTATATGAGCAAAGTACCTATTGATTTCAAGACTTACGTACCAAAGAAAAGAAGCATGTCATTGCTGTATTATCAGAATCCCACATGGCAAGTAATAAATTAAGGATTTCCTTGGATAAAATAACCCCACTAGCGGCTCCAGCTATGGCTCCATGGAGAATTCCCTTCTTCGTTCGCAAGCCAGCCAAAGCTCCTACCATGACTCCCAATATTGCACCCACTGAATCAAATGATACACAGATACCCGTTAGTACTTAGGTACTTGCCCGCCATTTTTACCCAAATTTTTTAGAGAGCAATATATTATATCAACAAAATTGCTAATTGCTTGTTCTCATGGAAAGGCAGTCATTTATAATTCATAGGAGATAAACCTTAGCTCTCATGACTTAACAATATGAAGTTTTATTAATTGATAAAGTTAGCTTTTTTTTTTTTTTTAATTAAAAAAAGGAAGGGTCAATGGACTTTTAAGTTATACAACAAAGATAATGATGCTTGCTATATTACAACACTCGAGTCCCTAAGATTTCTCTAACCTTGCTCATTGAAAGAAAACATTGCCTATGTAACTGCTACACTACAAAGCTTACATTTAATTGAGTTTACAAAATCAAGGAAAGAAAAAAAAAACATTTAAGATGCATTATTAGTACATCTCTAATGATTAAAAAAATTTTGTTTATTGCCTTTAAAATGTGTGAATTATCATATTGATGATTAATAAGGATTCTCTAATGTTAGAAGTGCGTTTTCCCTCATCAAATAAATAGTCTAAGGACATTTGGGAATGAGATCCTTTTTATGTTGGCCCACCAATTCAATTATTACTGTAAAATTAGAATAATTACACTATAAGTACATTTTAGTATATTAATTTTTAATTTTTTTAATCGAATATATAAATTTTAATTTCTTTTTATCAAAGTACATTAGTTTTTTTCAAAACAGCGATCAAGTATTTTTTATTCAATATCTATCTATTGTTATGTTATTTGTTGACATATCTTTTTTCTATACCGTTAAATTATGATCTTGCTCTTTCATTATTAGAGATAATTTTTCATTGTAAATTATTTTGTTATTTTCTACATTTTAGCTAGATATAAAGACAATTTGGATATTTACTATACAAAAAGAAGAGAATAGAAAAATAATTTGAAATAAAAAGTTATCTTAAAAAAAAAGAAAGGACAAAATCATAATGTAGTAGTCTGGGATGAAAGAATCATCAAATAATGAAAATAATCAACAGAAGTTAGATAAAAATATATGATTGTCAGTTTTTTTTAAAAAAATTAATATATTCAAATAAAAAATTAAAATTTATATTCTCAATTGGAAAAAAGAAAAATTTGTGTAACTGTAATACAATTATCCCAATTTCACAGAATTAATTGAATCCACGAGCCAACGTAAACAGGATCTCATTCCTAAATTAAGAATCTGATAACCAAATTACTCAAATGTTTCTTGCATAGCGACTGTCTTTCAAGCTTCAACGTTGGTGGACCTAACTAATCCTTCTACCGAAACTAATTAGAAGGATAAAAGCTGCAGGTAATTGTAGTTGACTTTTTTTGTTTTATTATATATATATATACACACACGAGGAATGATTGGCATGTGAGGAATGATTGCCTCAGGATAACTATTGTAAATATATCGTGAGCCATTGACTGCATTTGATATTTTAATTTGGAATTTAAACTGAGAAGTTGTTTATATCCTCATTTAGTCCAATTTCACATGCCTTTATAATTAGCAGCAGTTTGCATACTTAATCCATTTGAGTGATAAAAACAAAGTGATTTTTAAAAAATTATGATAGTGTTTCTTGGTTTTATATTTAAAAAAAAAATCAAAATAAACAAATTTTCTATTTTGTTTTGAAAAATTTGAAAACTAAAAATGTGGCTAAATAAGCCAAACTTTACCTTAATTTTAGTTTATTTGATATCGGTTTATGATCTTCAAATTTTTGCTTTGACTTGATTTTTTTAAAAAAATTTAGTTCATATTATGAATTTCAGAATTCACCTATCGTTTTAAAAAATTAAATTTTAGTATTTTTAGCCCAGAATTTTTCATGATCGGTAAATATGTTTCTTTATATTTTGAACATTAAAGATATAAAAAATAAAGAAAAAATAGAAAATAATCCGAAATAATTTAAAATTTTATTTTAGAGGCTCATGTAAATCTTATGGAATGATTTTTATTATGACAATATTTATGTCATTATTTTTTTTGTTTTACAGAAAACTAAATGATGAATCAAATATAAAACAAAATAAAGTTTAAGAGATGTTAGACCAAAAATTAGAAATTTAAAAGATTGATTTATAAATAAATTAATACTCGGAAGAGGTTTGAACCATTTAATCCAGTAAATAAAACCAAAAATGACACAGAACTAATCATTACAGATTCACATGAACAAGCAATACCTGATGGTTAGATCCAAACAAGCCTATGTCTAGCTCAAGAAAAAAGCACATATCTGATATATGCACTAACCTTCAGCAAATAAGAACATCAGAATTGCATAGGTCATCTTGGCAGATATGGTAGAGAGTGTAGAGATGCATGCCTCCCTCGAACTTACAGAAGAAACGTTCGACATAAAAGAAGAACGAGGGGCTGGAGGAGGGCAAGTGAAAACCTTCATGCGTGAAACCAAAAAGTTCTTCAGTTGTCCACTGCAAGGGTTGATACTTATAAAGGAATAAGTATGATATGGAGCTAATGAAGGAATGCCAAGGAAATGATGACTGATAGTGAAAAGAGCTGGCAGTTAGACTAGAGCCATCAACAGCTGCATTTTCAATTGCCAGAGGATGACTACGCAATGGAGAAATTAAAAAATGACCGTAGACCAATTTTGTCTCTTTCTGCTTCTCAAAGTTTCATTTTAATCCTCAAGCTTTTAATAAATTGAAATATAAGGCAATAACCATAAATGGCTATTCTTTCCACTATGAGCGTGGAAAATTAATACTTGTGAGGTCCAACTGGCTGCTTCTGCGCTCCTTCTCCTTTCTTACAAAGAATGTACTTTATGACCATAAATTTTATAGTAATTGAAAAATAACTACTAATTATTATTGGTTATTAGTAAATTCATCAATCAAATACTTTTATCATATTATGAAAAATAAAAATAATAGAAAAATTTAAAAGGAAGGATGACAAGAAAAAAAATTCACTATAAAGTGAATACAAGTGATAAAAACTTTAAATTGTTCTCTTAATCTTTCTAAAGATTTGTACATCAACTAATGAACAATCAATCCTATTTATAGGTTTCAAAATTGAAATGAGAATCGAAAAGGATTATGAATAATTAAAAGTACATCAATTACATCACCCTTTTAATTTCTCATATTGAATGATGAATTGAATCACATTAAGGATCATGAGTAGCGAGAGATATGAAAAGTAGATGAATATTCATATAGACATTCATTATTTCATAACATATCATTCTTTTACATTCTTCATCAATTATTAATAACTATTATATAAGTATATAATACATACCAATGTGATTATAAATCTATTGATAATTTTTTAAAAGCGACAAGAATAACAATTTGGTTGATGAATTTATGCATAATTATTTTATAGAAGAGAGAGAAACATGAGAGAAGTTTTTTTAAAATTTATTTTTGAACCTAAATAAGGTATTTTTATCATTTTGAGTGAATACAAATGTGATTATTTTTTTTTTTATGTTTATTTCTCTTTGCAAACTAAATTCATGAAATATCTATTGATAATCTATCTTAGTGTTTTAAATTTATTTCCTTAATCATATTATTAGTAATATTATTATTTCAAAGAGTTTCTTTTCTAATTAGAGCACTTCTTGCTCTTTGATTATAAATTAAAAAACAAATATATAGATCGCAATACTAATGCAATTCAAGTGGCTAGTGTGAGAAAATTAACAAGAATCGTAGGTATGATAATAAAATTTGTCTTTCATAATAAATTACTTTTAATAAATCAACTTAAATTCTTCGTAATCATCCTTTTTTAACTATATTATTTCCCAACATAAAATTAACACTATCTCAGGCATGATAACGATTAGAAAACAAAACGAAACCAAAAATAAAAAGCAAATTACCAGGTTATGCTACAGCTAAAAACAGAAATACTGATTTATGCAACAGTAGGGAATTAAACTAAAACTTATGAACTTGAGGGACTAAACTGATCAAACCTGTATGAACTGCATGATATGAAAGTATGAACATCGTGATGTGAATGTCCCCTTTCCCATTTAGAAAGATCGCTCTCAATCTTGCTTGGAAACGCGAAGAGAATACGCAACGTGTCATCCTCTCAATATCATAGACCAAAACAAAATTAATGCATGTGCCACTCTATGTATATTATTTAACAAAGACTTTAAAAGGAGACTTTGATTTGTAATTATTTAACTGTAAATCTCATAGGCAAACCTGACATTTTCATTACATTTTCGTGCTTTTTACGACACGAGAGTAAGACCTTCTTATTCTCACAAAAAGTTGAAAAAAGAAAAAAAAAGAAAAAGGCCTTCTTTGCTTGTCCCACACCAATTATAGCATGGCCGTGTGCTTCGGTCTAGCAATCCGTGGGCCACCAACAATTCAAGACTCCAAACAGTGTAAATTCAAAGAACAAATTGTGTGTCACAACAAGCAAATCGTGTGACACATTTAGGCCGCTATGTGTGTTTAGAATTCTATACTTTTTCAAAACAAACTATGCAATACTAAAAACTTTTCTTGGTTGAAAGAAAAATTGAAGTTTTTGAAAAAATCATTGTGAATAAATGATCAAGGATTGAACAAAAAGTAAAAATCAATCTTTAACCAAAGCTTTTATTGTCTTTATTATCTTTTTATTTACTCTAAAGTATTATTTGATAATCAGAAATACATTAATGAAAATGAAAATAAAAGTTTTATTCTTACATAATAGCTATTTGATTACAAGGAATGAAGTAGAAATGAGAATGAAGATTAAGAATGAGAATGAAAATTTACACACAACTTCATTCTCATATAAGATATGTGAATAAAAATAAGAAATGAGAATGAATTTTTTTCTTCAAAATAATAATATATTTTATTTATTTATTGTCTATTAACTATTTTTACCACAACCACCACCGTCGTTGCCGCCACCACCACCATAATCACTACTACTACCGCCACCACTACCACCACTACTACTAGAACCGCCATTGTCATAGCCATAATCATCACCATCACTTTTATTATTTTTACAACCATTATAGTTTGATAAAATTATTTTTTAATCATTATTTTTATTTGTATAAAAAAACGAGTATTAAAAAATTTAAATTGTATTTTGATTCCTCATTAGTCTTCTAAACACGGTATAGAAATACAAATGTCATTTCGATTTCTTAATTTTCATTCAAATTTTTGTATTTTCATTCTCATAACTCTATTCCTAATTACCAAACAACACTTAACTACCTTTATTACTCTTAACACGTAAAACCCACATTTACTTTTTTGTCGAATTGATCCTTACTTGCCTTAACTACATTATTGTGATTGATTTTAGTGAGAAAAAGAAATAAAGAAATTTGTTGGTGATATGACACATCATCGTATGTATATGCTTCCTTCGTCTCAAAACAAGTGGTTTTATTTTACACATTTTCAAAATAAATAAATATTTTTTTTATATTACGGATAGTGAGATATTTTATATTAGTTTTCGTATCAATTAAAATTAAATTTATTATTTTTTAAATTAGATCAGCACTATATTACATCTAATTTTAGATTAATTTAAAAATTAAAATTTTTAAACTCACATAAAATTTATATTCAATGTCACATAAAAAAAGGTTTTAAAAAATGAGAATACGGGTGATAACTTAGCATGTCAAAATATTTTTTTTTATCATTCTACTTATGTGGTAATAAATATATTTCTTTAAACAAAAAATTATGATGCTCCATTATCCTATCAAATGATTAAATTCGTCCCTCCGACTCTACCCACCGAGGAAAGTGAAATTGAGAATCTCCCTAGCTAAATGGTTACGTAATTCAGATGGCCCATTTCAGAATTTTCTGAGTTGGGCTTTATTGACATCTAAAAGATTCTTTAGCAAGCAATGGGCTCCATAGTCCAATTCCATTTGGGCTTAATGAATCCATATTATTGACGTCGTAAAGCAAACAGGGGTGGTGGTGGATTGTTTCTTAATGACAACAACAATATGGATTAATTAAAAATTAGTCCTTTTAGTTTTGAAATATAAATTATTCATTGTATTTTTAAATTTTTTATAACTTAAATCATTTTAGTTTTTTTTTTTTTTAAATGGAAGGATTGACAATTTTTTAAACAAAGTAATGTACCAGCAAAACTCTAGAAAGTCTCGTCATCTCTCTTTCGTTTTTCACTCAACAAGGCAAAGCAAATGCGTATTTCAGTTGAAAGTTAAAGAGAGAGGAATGATACCCAAGACTACCCAGAGGGCAAAAGCAAAGCATCCATAAAAAGCAACCAACAGAATTTCCTAACCAGAACTACAAAAAGTTCCAAATATCTTACAGAACTGACATGTTCTTGTAATAAACCAAAACCTCACCATCCTCAAAAAATACCTGAAAACAATTTACCCTCTCTTGATCGGTTACTGCCCACCAACCCAATGGGACTCTGTTACTCTCGGTCTCGTTCTCATGATATCCCTATTTCCTCTTCTTCGGACGAGGACTACTACCAACCAGCACCACCTAAAAGACCAACCCAAGCACGTTATAATCCACCCCCGCCGCCGCCGCCGCCGCCGCCGCCAGCAGCAGTATCAGCAGCCACCTCAAAACCAGCTCTGACTTCGAAAACATTTGTGAAATCTCAAACTACCGTTACTTCATCCTCAAATATTGGTCCCATTCTTGGTAAACCATACATTGACATAACCACAATTTACGATCTTGATAAAGAATTGGGTAGGGGCCAGTTTGGTATAACTTATCTTTGTACAGAGAAAGCAACAGGAAGAAAGTATGCGTGCAAGTCTATATCAAGGCGTAAAATTGTGAGTGAAGAGGATATTGAGGATGTTAGAAGGGAGATTCTGATACTACAGCACTTAACAGGGGAACCCAATATTGTTGAATTCAGGGGTGCTTATGAGGATAAACAGAATCTTCATTTGGTCATGGAGTTATGCTCTGGTGGGGAGCTTTTTGATCGGATTTTAGCGAAAGGGACTTACTCGGAGAAGGAAGCTGCGACAATTTTTCGGCAGATTGTGAATGTGGTTCATGTGTGTCATTTTATGGGAGTTATGCATAGAGATTTGAAGCCTGAGAATTTCTTGCTTGCAATTAAAGAGGAGAACGCTCCAATCAAAGCTACTGATTTTGGACTCTGTCTTCATTGAAGAAGGTTGGTAATTTTTTTTTTTGGGCTCACCTTTTTTTTTTTTTTTTTAATTTGTGATTTCCAGCTTGCCTTTTTCCTTTTCAAAGTTGATACGATTTTGCAAATTGTGTGGTTTGATTTCAACACAGATGGATTTTGCCAAATTCGAAACAAAATATTTTGCATGTTCTATACCCATCTGGAAGAATAAATTTAGGATCTTAATCTTCTAGCATCATGTTTAGCAATTAGAAGAATTTGACAGCTTTTTACAGTAACTTTCATTCATTGGTTTATACTTAGTAGTGCAATAAAATCAAGATATAGGCTTGGCTTGATCTAACTTATCATGTTATAATTTTTGTATTTTCAATAAAATCCAAAATTTGATGTGAAATGTGAATCAAATTTTAAGATTGGTGGGTCCATTACTTCTTTCTTGTTGCCATTATGGATTGATAAGGCCAAGTCAATGAAGAAAGCGGCATTACAAGTCAACCAAGTCAACGTCTTTTCAATTAGTAAAGGGGAAGATAGGAAAAAAGAAGAAAATAAAGAACCCAGGGATGGTTTATCACATGCTGACTTCACTAAGATTGGATCCGTCGTACTGTTAGACATCCTATAGACACGTTGTAGTGATCATACTCAGGCATCACTAAGTCCCACAAGAGAAGAGGCCCAGAGGCCGGAGCCTCAAACTTTTCATGGGAAACATGCTGCCAAGTTGTCCACAAATCAATTGATGGTACTGTCAAATAATAATGCAGCTGCTAGTTAAACACTGAGATGTCAATTAAAGTATGTTTAGCTTTTCTAAAAGCTAGCTGGTCGGTGCCTTTTGATTGGATTTATGATAAGATAAATTCCTTTATTTTGGATAACCAAAGATGTGCAATTTGGAGACATAAGTTAAAATGATCTCATTTGTACCAATTTGCTCTGCTACCCTGCAAATATTGTTGTTTCTTACAAGAAAATGATGAAACTGAAAACATGTAATATTCTGTTCTGCCACACATATTTCACATTTTATCACTCATCAAGTTTTATTTCCTTGAATATAATGTTGTCATAGTAAGAGATTATCGTCATCATTTTCTTCCATTACTGAACTTTTCTGAACTAATTCTCCAGGAAAAGTGTACAAGGACATTGTCGGAACTCCATACTATTTTGCTCCGGAGCTGTTAAGACGGAGTTATGGAAAAGAGGTTGATGTATGGAGTGCTGGGATCATTTTGTACATTCTTCTAAGTGGGATGCCTCCTTTCTGGGCTGGTATGTTCCTTTTTCGTCCAATAGTTGAGCTACAGAGCAGGAGCCCTATCCTTCACTCATTTTTAAACGAGGATTTTTATGCCTTGAGGTATTTTTGAAGTGTAATGTTTTTCTAACTGACGTGTGGATGAACACATTTTGTAATAGAGACTGAGAAAGGCGTATTTGACGCAATATTAGAAGGCAATCTTGACTTGCACAGCGACCCATGGCCTAATATTTCATCTTCTGCAAAAGACCTTATCAAGAAAATGATAAGAACGGACCCCAAGAGACGGATTACTGCTGCACAAGCACTTGGTAAGTATATAATTATCCATGATTTGATTGAGAAATCCTTAGTCTCATTTTAAATATTAGGTGCCTTTTTTGAGGCAGTTGACTCGGATCTCGAATATCCTTTCTTCACTTAATTAATCTTACAACTTATTGTGTTTGCTGGGCCGATTTTCTTTATTATCGAACTATAAATTTCATAAAATTATGTGTCTTACTGATATTGTTCACACAATGTACTTGAAACAGAACATCCATGGATGAAGGTGGATGGCGAAGCATCTGACAAACCTATTGACAGTGCCGTTCTGATTCGGATGAAGCAGTTCAGAGCGATGAACAAGTTAAAGAAGCTTGCACTAAAGGTATGCTTTAACACCTCCAGTTTCTGACTGACCGCAGCCACATAATTGTTCTCATTTTAAATCTCCCTTGTGTTTAAATCACTCACTTTCAATGTTATAGCATGTGGAAGAATAATTTTCACCGTTGGAATGATGTCACTGTTTAGATTTGGAGTCATCTGCAAGAACGATTACTTTCGCTCGTTTTCTATTCCTTTCGTATTCTCATTGCTGCTTTTCTGATCTGGAGTTAAATTGCGTGAAGGTTATTGCAGAGAACCTTTCAGAGGAAGAAATCAAGGGCTCAAAGCAGATGTTCAGCAACATGGACACCGACAGAAGTGGTACTATCACATACGATGAACTAAAATCTGGACTGTGGAGGCTAGGATCTAAGCTTACTGAAGTAGAAATAAAGCAGCTGATGGATGCTGTAAGAAGAATCGATCAAACTATATATATATATATATATATATATATATATATGCGCTGCTTTTATCATTGCATTTGCTAGTTTCTTTATTTGAAAGCCCATCTATTTCTTCAAGTAACAACCCTTGCAGCAAGATTCTTTCTCGAGTCTGCAAGAACAAGCATTGACCACAACAATTCCTTTTGTTAGGCTGATGTTGACAAGAGTGGTACTCTCGACTATGTCGAATTCATGACGGCTACCATGCATCGGCATAGACTTGACAAGGAAGAAAACTTGTACAAGGCCTTCCAATACTTTGACACGGCTAACCGCGGGTTAGTTGCCACGACCCTACGTCTTTGGTTTTAAGTTTTTTTCCTGTAATGGTGATCGGTAAGTTCTCCTGAGATAAATGATCTGGTGAATTAAAACTGAATTTCAGACAATATATTTCCTTACTCCTGAGCATAAGTCAGTAACATTACTAACTTGACTAGTTCACTTTCATAGGTTTATCACTAGAGAGGAGCTAAGACAAGCCATGGCTCAATATGGAATGGGTGATGACGCTACAATAGATGAAGTCATAGAAGATGTTGATACTGATAAAGTAATTATCCTTTCCTTTTTTCCCCCATTTTTGATCTCTCTATTATCATGTGGTGGTGCTTTCCTGCAACTGATTGGGACATGTTGTGCAGGATGGAAACATCCACTATGAGGACTTTGCAGCCATGATGAGAAAGGGAACCCACGATTATGAAGTGAATTTAAAATAGAAATACCGTTGTATATAATTAACATGCTTAAAAATAAACCCATAAGTTTGAATGATCAATAATGATAGTAATAAAATCAATAAATTCCTCGTGCTGTAACTGTTGTAAATGATCGCATGATCACGGGGACAGTCAGCACGCGAATTGTATACATATTTTTTAAGTTAATAATGATAGTAATAAAATCAATAAATTCCTCACGCAAATTTCTCCAAAGTCGGTGCAAACGGCGATAGTTGCTGCTGCTGTCCAAAGTCAATGTAAATTGATAAAATCCTTGTAAACTTGCAAAGTTTCCTGAAAACTTAAGGGAATTAGCAACTAACATCGTGCATGGTAGTTTTCAATCCCTTTGGTTCATCACACAAGTGAGACAGATAATCCCATGCTAGGACTCCACCAACGAGCACAACAAAAGGGTAAAGCATTGCCAAAGCCAGTAACATGGGGCCTTCTCTGGCTTGAACAACCTTGTAGACATTAGACACATTGAATGCCAGTGTGGGTATAACAGCAAAAACTGCCATTAAAAGAGCACGACTCTGTAAGTTGGGATTTCACTTGCCAATGGCCCCAAATCAAGAATGGGAAAGACATTCCAAAGTGTTGAACCCAACGCTCGGCACCAACTAAGAACATTCTCAAATCGCCTTAGGCGTAACCCAAACTACAATTGATTTTTAACTCTCCTAAATTGTCTAGGGCTTCAATTAAAGGGACTCTGGAGCATCATGGTCCAGGGTATTGGCGAAATAATGCTCCATTGTAATTTTTGATATAAAGTGCTACTGCTACCATCTTTGAGTACTCTCTGATGTGAATATGAAACACTAGCATGAATTTCCAAATTTTCTCTGCTGCCCGTGCGCGGGCAAGGCGTTGGGTGGCCTGAGCTTGGGCTGGAGCTGCTGCGCACGGTAGCCTACTGGAGCTTGGAGGAAGTTGCGGGTGTGGAGTATAGGGAGCTTGGGGGTTGCTTGGGGCGAGAGAGAAGAGCAGCTTCTCTCGAGGGGTTTTTTTTTTTTAATTATTTTTTTGTGCAGTAGTCGGCTGCTAAGTGGTTTTTAGGGTGGTGATGAACGGTATATTTTGGTGAGGAAGAGGAGATGGAGGGGCCATGGTGGTTTTTGGGTGAGAGAGGGTGGGTAAGCTTGCAAGATGAAGGTTTTAGTTGCAGTAGAGTGAGGAGGAGCGGCTGGCTCTTTTTCGGGGATAATGAACAGTGGAAGGTACTAAAAAACGCATGGTAGTGGCATTTTATAGTTAGGGATTTTTTTTTGCAAAAATCCAATTTGGTCATTGGCTCTCCATTTGAGTTTAATTTTGCTTTTTTATTTCGATAGTACCCTAAATTTGAATTAATTGAGACTTTGTTTTTATTTTATCTTAATTGTGCTTTTTTTATATATATTTTAATTAAATGATATAAGTTTTGGTTTTTTATTCGAGCTCTCAACTATTTTTTTTATTATCTTCAAACTTTCTATTTCTTCAATTAACATCCCTCTCTTTTATTTTTTTAATTAACCTAAACTAATTATTTCAATTGATTTTTTTCTTTTTGCTTGTCATTTTGTTTTGCTTGCCATTTCTCTCTCTCTCTCTCTTTCTCATTTCATTTTTCATTTTTTTCTTTTCATTTTCATTTTTTTTTAGTATTTTGCAATAAAAATAAAAATTGAAGTAAAACTAATGAGGGCAAAAATTTAGGTGATAATAACTATTATAAATATAGAGTGAACCATTGGCCGCATTTGATATTTTAATTTGGAATTTAAATTAAGAAGTTGTTTATATCCTCATTTAGTCCAATTTTACTTACCTTTATAATTAGCAGCAGTTTGCGTACTTAATCCGTTTGAGTGATAAAAAAAAAGTTATTTTCAAAAATTATGATAGTGTTTCTTGGTTTTATATTAAAAAAAAATCAAAATAAACTAATTTTCTAGAAATTTTTTAAAACTAAAAATGTGGCTAAATAGACTAAACTTTACCTTAATTTTAATTTATTCGAAATCATTCTCTGCTCTTCAAATTTTTTGTTTTACTTTCCTTGATTTTTTTTTGAGATTTAGTCTATGATATGATTTTTAGAATTCACTCGCTCTTTTAAAAAATTTAATTTTTGATATTTTAAATTGAAGTTTTATACACACATTGAAAAAAAATCCAATCAATTTTTTAAAAAAGGCTCAGAATTTTTCAAGATTGGTAAATATGTTAGTTTAGATTTTGAATATTAAAAATAAAAAAATAGAAAATAATTTAAAACAATCTTAAATTTTTTTAAGAGCTTCATATAAATCTTATCGAATGATTTCTATTATAAAAACATTTATGTGACCTTTTTTTTTATAGAAAACTAAAGAATGAATTAAAAATAAAACAAAATAAAGTTTAAGGAATGTTAAACAAAAAAATAGAAATTAAAAGATTGATTTTCAAATAAATTAAAATTCAGAAGAGGTTTTACCCATTTAATCCAGTAAATAAAACATAAAATGATACGGAACTAATCATTACCGATTCACATGAACAAGTAATACCTGATGGTTAGATCCAAACAAGTCTATGTCTAGCTCAACAAAAAAAGCACATACATGATATATGCACTAACCTTCAGCAAATAAGAAAACCAGAATTGCATAGGTCAACTTGGCAGATATGGTAGAGAGTGTAGAGATGCATGGCTCCCTCGAACTTACAGAAGAAACGTTCGGCATGAAAGAAGAACGAGGGGCTGGAGGAGGGCAAGTGAAAACCTTCACGTGTGAAACCAAAAAGTTCTACAGTTTTTCGTTTAAAGGCTAAAGCAAACCGTCCGCTGCAAGGGTTGATACTCATAAGGAATAAAGGATGACGAGGAGCTAATGAAGAAATGCCTATGAAATGATGCTTGATAGAGAAAAAGAGTTGGTAGTGAGATTAGAGCCATCAACATTCAACAGCTCAATGCCATAGGCATATAGGATGACATAAAGGAAAAAATAAAAAAAGTCCGTAGACCCATTTTGTCTCTTTATGCTTCTCAAACTTTAAGCAATAACCATAAATGGCTATTCTTTCCTTTATGAGTGTGGAAAAATAATACCTGTGAGGTCCAACTGGATAACTACTGATAATTATTGAGTACTGATAATTTTATCAATCAGATTGTTATTTTTACTATTTTTTACAGAAAATTATCAATACATTTTTTATTAATTACTAATAACTATTATATAAGTATATAAAAAATATTAATGGAGGGTATATTGATAATTTTATTTTAAAAATTATGGGAATAATAATTTAGTTGGTAAATTTAAAAATGCCCATGCTTATCTTATAGAAGAGAGAGAAATATGGGAGAAATTTTTTTAAAATATATTTTTGAACTTAAATAGAGGTATTTTTATCATTCTTAGTAAATCTGAATGTGATTTTTATTTTTTTATCTTTGTGTTTACTTCTTTCTGTAAATCATATCTATAAAATAACTATTGAAAATCTATCTTAGTATTCTAATTTTTTTTCTTTTGTCATATTATTCTTAATATTATTATTTCAAAGAGTTTTCTTCTTAGAGCTATCACTTCTTGCATTTTAATTATAAATTAGAAAACAAATATATAGAACCCGATAATAACACAATTGAAGTGGCTAGTGTGACAAATTAACTAGAATTGTGGGTATGCTAGTGTGACAAATTAACCAGAATCGTGGGTATGATTATAAAATTTGTTTTTCACAATAAATTACTTTTAATAAATTAACTTAAATTCTTCTTAATCCTCTTTTTTTTAATCATATTATTTCCCACTCCCTCTATGTATTATTTAACAAAGACTTTAAAAGAAGACTGTGATTTGTAATTATTTAACCGTAAATCTCATAGGGAAACGTGACATTTTCACTAAATTTCGAGGTTTTTTACGACACTGAGAGTAAGACCTTCTTATTCCCACAAAAAGGCCAAAAAAAAAAAAAAAAAAAGAGAGAGAGAGAAAAAAAGGCCTTCTTTGCTTAACAATCATGTGATGATGGAGCAGCGCACAAATAAAAATATTAAAGCCTGTGTGCCTCGAAGCCAATCGCGCAAAATTTTATAGTACTTATAAAGTAATTATTATAATAATTATTTTATGAGTTATATAGGTAAATAAAAAAAAATTATATTTGAATTTATAAAAAATGATAAGAAAATTTTTAAATTGACTTAATTTTTTTTAATTTTCTCTCTTTTATAATTTTTTTTTAATTTTCTCTATGTTATCTCTCTCTCATTTTTATGTCTATCTCTCTATTAAGTGAACATATGAAGTAATTATATCTCTTATTATATTCATGCTTGCTTCATCTCAAAACAAGTAGTTATATTATATATTTTTTTAACTTAAATAAAAATATATATTTATTTTATATTATAAATAGTGAAATATTTTTATATTAGATTTTGTATCAATTAAAATTAAGTTTATTATGTTTTTAAATTAGATAAGTATTGTAATAATTACGTCTAATTTTAGATTAATTTAAAAATTAAATTTTTTGAACTCACTAGAAATTTATAATCAATGTCACATTAAAAAAAAATTTTAAAAAATGAGAACACTACTTATAACTTAGTATGTCAAAACACCTTTTTTTATCATTCTACTTATGTGATAATAAATATATTCCTTTAAACAAAAAATTATGCTGCTCAATTATCCTATCAACTGATTAAATTCGTCCCTCCGACCCTACCCACCAAGGAAAGTGAAACTGAGAATCTCCCGTGTTGAATGGTTACACAATTCAGAGGGCCCATTTCAGAATTTTCTGAGTTGGGCTTTATTGAGATCTAAAATATTCTTTAGCAAAGCAATGGGCTCCATAATCCAATTTCATTTGGGCTTAATTAATCCATGTTGTTGATGTCGTAAAGCAAACAGGGGTGATGGTGGGTTGTTGCTTTACGCCCACAACAATATGGGTTAATTAAAAATTAATCCTTTTAGTTTTGAAAAATAAATTATTCATTATATTTTGAATTTTTTTATAACGTAATCATTTTATTTTTTTAAATAAAGATATGGAAGGATTGACAATTTTTTAAACAAAATAATATTAAATTAAATAAGATTAATACTTGTTATTGAACTAAATAATTACTTTTTGAAATAAAAAACTAATTACTTCGATTTTAAAAAGGAGAAGGACTAATTTATAATTTACCTGGGTTCTTTTTGCGAAATTTCCTTATTTCACACGCCAAGCAATAGAACCAAACAGAGACGACCACAAGAAAGGAAACGCGTCCGTTACTGTGCCAGCTAAACTCTAGCTTTGAAACACGAAGAAAGTCTCATCTCTCTTTCCTTTTTTAACTCAACAAGGCAAAGCAAATGCGTATTTCAGCACAAAGTTAGAGAGAGGGGAATGATACCCAAGACTATCCAGAGGGCAAAAGCAAAGCATCCAAAAAAAGTAAGCAACAGAATTTCCTAACCAGGACTACAAAAAGTTCCATATATCTTACAGAACTTACATGTTCTTGTAATAAACCAAAACCTCACCGTCCTCAAAAAAATACCTGAAAACAATTTACTCTCTCTTGATCAGTTACTGCCCACCAACCCAATGGGACACTGTTTCTCTCGGTCTCGTTCTCATGATATCCCTATCTCCTCCTCTTCGGACGAGTACTACTACCGACCAGCACCGCCTAAAAGACCAACCCAAGCACGTTATAATCCACCCCCGCCTCCGCCGCCACCGCCAGCAGCAGTATCAGCAGCCACCTCAAAACCAGCTCTGACTTCGAAAACATTTGAGAAATCTCGAACTACCGTTACTTCATCCTCAAATATTGGTCCCATTCTTGGTAAACCATACATTGACATAGCCACAATTTACGATCTTGATAAAGAATTGGGGAGGGGCCAGTTTGGTATAACTTATCTTTGTACAGAGAAAGCTACAGGAAGAAAGTATGCGTGCAAGTCTATATCAAGCCGTAAACTTGTGAGTGCAAAGGATATTGAGGATGTTAGAAGGGAGATTGCGATACTTCAGCACTTAACAGGGCAACCCAATATTGTTGAATTCAGGGGTGCTTATGAGGATAAACAGAATCTTCATTTGGTCATGGAGTTATGCTCTGGTGGGGAGCTTTTTGATCGGATTATAGCGAAAGGGACTTACTCGGAGAAGGAAGCTGCGACAATTATTCGGCAGATTGTGAATGTGGTTCATGTGTGTCATTTTATGGGAGTTATACATAGAGATTTGAAGCCTGAGAATTTCTTGTTTGCAAGTAAAGAGGAGAATGCTCCAATCAAAGCTACTGATTTTGGACTCTCTGTCTTCATTGAAGAAGGTTAGTGATTTTTATTTTTTTTAATTTGTGATTTCCAGCTTGCCTTTTTCTTTTTCAAAGTTGATACGATTCTGCAAATTGTGTGGTTTGATTTTAACACAGATGTATTTTGCGAATTCGCAACAAAGTATTTATGCATGTTCTATACCCATCCGGAAGAATAAATTTAGGATCTTAATCTCCTAGTACCGTGTTTAGCAATTCGAAGAATATGACAGCTTTTTACAGTAACTTTCATTCATTGGTTTATACTTAGTATAGGCTTGATCCAACTTATCATGTTATAATTTTTGTATTTTTCAATAAAATTCAAAATTTGATGTGAAATGTGAATCAAATATTAAGATTAGTGGGTCAATTACTTCTTTCTTGATGCCATTATGGATTGATGGGGCCAAGTCAATGAAGAAAGGGACTTTACAAGTCAACCAAGTCAACGTGTTTTCTTTTAGTAAAAGGAAAGATAGGAAAAAAGAAGAAATAAAGAACACAGTGAGGGTTTATCACATGCTGACTTCACTTCTGTTGTACTATTAGAGATCCCAGAGACACGTTGTAGTGGTCACACACAGGCATCACTAAGTCCCACCAGAGAAGAGGCCCAGAGGCCAGAGCCTCAAACTTTTCATGTGAAACATGCTGCCAAGTTGTCCACAAATATCTTGTGACGTATTTGGAAGGCTGTCGCTGAATTTTGAATGTATATTTTTCTTTCAAAAAGTTTTGGTAACAGTTTGACAAATCAATTGATGTTACTGTCAAATAATAATGCAGCCGCTAGTTAAACACTTACATATCAATTAAAGTATGTTTGGCTCTTCTAAAAGCTAGCTGGCCAGTGCCTTTTGATTGGATTTATGATAAGATAAGTTGCATTATTTAGGATAACCAAAGACGTGCAATTTGGAGACATAAGTTAAAATGATCTCATTTGTACCAATTTGCTCTGCTACCCTGCAAATGTTGTTGTTTCTTGCAAGAAAATGATGAAACTGAAAACATGTAATATTCTGTTCTGACATACAACTTTCATATTTTATCACTCAAGTTTTATTTCCATGAATTCAACGTTGTCATAGTAAGAGATTGTCGTCATCATTTTCTTCCATTACTGAACTTTTCAGAACTAATTCTCCAGGAAAAGTGTACAACGAGATTGTCGGAAGTGCATACTATGTTGCTCCAGAGGTGTTAAGTCGGAGTTATGGAAAAGAGATTGATGTATGGAGTGCTGGGATCATTTTGTACATTCTTCTAAGAGGGGTGCCTCCTTTCTGGGCTGGTATGTTCTTTTTTCCTCCAATAGTTGAGCTGCATAGCAGCAGCCCTATCCTTCACTCATTTTTAAACGACGATTTTTATGTCTTGAGGTATTTTTGAAGTGAAATGTTTTTCTAACTGACGTGTGGATGAACGCATTTTGTAATAGAGACTGAGAAAGGCATATTTGAAGCAATATTAGAGGGCAATCTTGACTTGGACAGCAACCCATGGCCTAATATTTCATCTTCTGCAAAAGATCTTATCAAGAAAATGATAACAAAGGACCCCAAGGGACGGATTACTGCTGCACAAGCACTTGGTAAGTATATAATTATCCATGATTTGATTGAGAAATCCTTACTTTCATTTTAAATATTAGGTGCCTTTTTTGAGGCAGTTGACTTGGATCTCGAATATCCTTTCTTCAGTTAATTGATCTTACAACTTATTGTGTTTGCTGGGCCGATTTTCTTTATTATCGAACTATAAATGTCATAAAATTATGGTCTTACTGATATTTTTCACACAATGTACTTGAGCCAGAACATCCATGGATGAAGGTGGATGGTGAAGCATCTGACAAACCTATTGACAGTGCCGTTCTGATTCGGATGAAGCAGTTCAGAGCGATGAACAAGTTAAAGAAGCTTGCACTAAAGGTATGCTTTAACACCTCCAGTTTCTGACTGACCGCAGCCACATAATTGTTCTCATTTTAAATCTCCCTTGTGTTTAAATCACTCACTTTCAATGTCATAGCATGTGGAAGAATAATTTTCACCGTTAGAATGATGTCACTGTTTAGATTTGGAGTCATCTGCAAGAACGATTACTTTCGCTTGTTTTCTATTCCTTTCATATTCTCATTGCTGCTTTTCTGATCTGGAGTTAAATTGCGTGAAGGTTATTGCAGAGAACCTTTCAGAGGAAGAAATCAAGGGCTTAAAGCAGATGTTCAACAACATGGACACCGACAGAAGTGGTACTATCACATACGATGAACTAAAATCTGGACTGTCGAGGCTAGGATCTAAGCTTACTGAAGTAGAAATAAAGCAGCTGATGGATGCTGTAAGAAGAATCGATTAAACTATATATATATCTATATCTATATCTATATATATATATATATGCGCTGCTTTTATCATTGCATTTGCTAGTTTCTTTATTTGAAAGCCCATCTATTTCTTCAAGTAACAACCCTTGCAGCAAGATTCTTTCTCGAGTCTGCAAGAACAAGCATTGACCACAACAATTCCTTTTGTTAGGCTGATGTTGACAAGAGTGGTACTATCGACTATGTCGAATTCATTACGGCTACCATGCATCGGCATAGACTTGACAAGGAAGAAAACTTGTACAAGGCCTTCCAGTACTTTGACAAGGATGATAGCGGGTTAGTTTCCGCGACCCTACTCTTCTGGTTTTAAATTTTTTCCTGTAATGGTGATCGGTAAGTTCTCCTGAGATAAATGATCTTGTGAATAAAATCACCCTATGAAGTTCGAGCAATGCTAGTTTTTTTACTCGCACTAAGCTGTGGATTGGACAAAATACATAAAAAATTATTTTATTTTGATGTCTCATGTTGTATTATGCATCTATAAAAATATATCAAATCAAAATTGAATAAAAATTCATTCAATTTTATCGTTTTTAATCAAAATTTTGCATTTGACTAATTAATCTTTATATTTTCATAAATTTTTTATTTAAAAAACATTATTTATTTATTTGCATCTATATTTTTAGTTAAAACTTTATTTTATAAATTGTTTTTTAATCTTTTTGCCTTAAAATGTTTAATTAAAAAAAAAAAAAGAACCAAAGTGATCAAAATGAAACAATACATAAACAATATTTCAAATAGTGTATCGAATAACGAATGGTTTTAGTTTAGGTTTTTTTTATGATTATAATGTCAGTAACATTACTAACTTGACTAGTTCACTTTTATAGGTTTATCACTAGAGAGGAGCTAAGACAAGCCATGGCTCAATATGGGATGGGCGATGACGCTACAATAGATGAAGTCATAGAAGATGTTGATACTGATAAAGTAATTATCCTTTCCTTTTTTCCTTCCCCACCCCTCTCTCTCGATCTCTCTATTATCATGTGGTGGTGCTTTCTTGCAACTGATTTGGTGATCGGGACATGTTTTGCAGGATGGAAACATCAACTATGAGGAGTTTGTAACCATGATGAGAAAGGGAACCCTCGATTATGAAGTGAATTTAAACTAGAAATACCGTTGTATGTAATTAACATGCGTAAAAATAAGCTCAGTACATAAGCAAATTTAGCCTAGTGATTGTGCACTCGGCTAACTTTTTTAATGAAGCAATATTCTTGATGACTCCTGTCTGTTTGATGATTACATAATAAAAAAGATTACTCTTATTATGTAGCTCAATAGATCCGTTGGGCTTTCGATAAATAAAAAATAATATCCTTTGCCAAAAATTTCCTATTGGGTTTTCAAATAAGTTTGCAGGTTTCTTTTTTTTTTTTAAGTTAATAATGATAGTAATAAAATCAATAAATTCCTCATGCTGTAACTGTTGTAAATGATCTCATGATCACGGGACGATCAGCATGCGAATTGTATACATGTTTTTTTTTAAAAAAAAAAAAACAGAGAATGCATACCTGAGCTTGGTTTAATGAAGTGATTTTAATCCTAAAATTTCAAATTATTTTTTTTCTTTAAAAATAATTTCAGATTAATAATTTGGATGTTTATTTTACCAATAAATTGTTGGCTGGATGATAAATGAGTTTGTCTCTAAATAAATTTTTTATTAATATAAATGATTCTAATCTTGAAATTACACTTGTTCAAAGGAGTTAAATTGTCTAGCTTTTTTGTTTCTGTTTCTATCTCCAATGTGTAATAGATTTATCTAAAAAAACTAAAAAAATAAAAAAATAAAACATTACCATATATTTCGGCAACACATCGACATCAAACAACACGAAAAAAAAAAAAAAAAAAATCCTCCTTTGTTCAAGTTATCACGTATACATGCTTTTATTTGAGCATTAACATTTTTTGAACTCAAAATAGAGAGTTTAAATTTCAGAAAAGACATAAAAAAAAATATTTCTTTCAAATACATGAATTAAAATATTATGGAAAGCAGTTAATATCAATGTCACGTACTCACAAAAGCTGACCTAAAGAGAGTAAATCTCTAGTTTTAAAAAACAAATTAATTAATCCTATTTGTTTTACTTTTATTAGTATTGATCATGTTTTACTTAATATTATTTTATTTTAAAAAATAATTTTTTCTCATGAATCTTTCCATAATATCTATTTAATTTTTTTATTTTTTAAAACAAAAAAATTAGAAAAGAACATAAAATTTACTAAAAAAACTAAATAATTATTTGTGGAAACATAGGAGACTAAGTTATTCGTTTCTCAAAACCAGAGGAATCAATTTATAATTAACTCACCTTATGGAGACCCCTTCCGCTTAAAAAAATAAAAAATAAAAAACAAAGGCCTGATGCCGACCTAGTTGCGTGGGCTTCATAAAAATTTAGGAATGCTCATATTGGGCTTCTTAACTTGGGCTTAAATTTAGATCCTGAACATACATTGTGCTATTGCCTCAGAAAGCTGAGGAACGGCGACAGTGCTAAGCGTATTTATAACTAAACGCCAGCTTTGAGAGACACACAGGATAGTCCCCTCCGCTACGAGCAAAGAGGCAAAAACCCTAACTCGTCGTCCCTTTCCTGTTAGTCGCAAATCAAGCATCAGGTACTCTCTCTCTTTCCCTCTTTGCAACTCTGATTAAAAAACTAAATAATTTCATTGTTTGAATAACACAATCGAACAAGGTGACCTGAAATTTAATTTTAAATCATAATCAGCTCAATATTAAGGTGTAGTTCTTTCGGCTGATGGAAATTTTGAAATTTTGATTTTTTTTTCGGCAAGATAATAAATCTGTCTTTTTTTTTTACATTTGTTGCTGTTTATATATATATATATATATATATATATATATATATATATATATATATTCCATGAAAGGCAAGTTCTTTTATCTCTTTAGGCTCTTTACTACAATTTCTTGATTGCGTAATTCAGATTTTATTGGGAAGGATTGTTTATGAATTACTTTATCTGTGATTTTTTGATGGATCTGTTTGTTGACGGGGTGTATTTTTTTGTAATTGTCTATGTGCAATGTAGGATCTTGAGGTTTTCTGACTTGTTGCATATAGCTTGAAGGAGGAGATGGCGTCACGTTTCTGGACACAGGTTTGTGATATTTGCTAGTCGTAATTTTGTTACTCTCCATCTGGTTTTGTTGTATTTATTTTATTTATTTGTCGATTTGATTGTAGGGTGATAGTGAATCTGATGAGGAGAGCGACTATGAAGATGAGGTTGAGGATGGCGAAGCTGGTGAAGCTTCTGCCCAAACAGCTCAGAACAGATATCTTAGAGGAACTGCAAGTGATAGTGATGATTCTGATGATCAAAAGCGTGTGGTCAGGTCAGCCAAAGACAAGCGTTTTGAGGAGATGTCGGCTACCGTTGATCAAATGAAGAATGCAATGAAGATTAATGACTGGGTCAGCTTGCAAGAGAGCTTTGATAAGATTAATAAGCAACTTGAGAAAGTCATGAGGGTGATGGAATCTGATAAGGTTCCCGCCCTTTACATTAAAGCTCTGGTAATGCTGGAAGATTTCTTGAATCAGGCTTTGGCGAATAAGGAAGCTAAAAAGAAAATGAGCAGCAGCAATGCCAAGGCCTTGAATGCAATGAAGCAGAAATTGAAGAAAAACAATAAACAATATGAAGATCAGATTAACAAATATAGGGAACACCCTGAAAGTGAGGAAGAACCAGAGGCTGATGAGGAGTCGGAAGAGGAGGAAGAGTCGGATTTGGAGTTTGAGGAGGACCCTTCAAAGATTGTAATATCTGATGAGGATGATGGCGAGGACCAATCTGAAAAGGATGGGGGCTGGGAGAAGATGTTGAGTAAGAAAGATAAGCTCATGGATAAGCAGTTTGCGAAAGATCCTAGTGAAATCACTTGGGATATTGTAAACAAGAAGTTTAAAGAAATTGTTGCTGCCCGGGGCAGGAGGGGAACTGGAAGGTTTGAGCAGGTTGAACAGCTAACTTTCTTGACGAAGGTTGCTAAGACCCCAGCACAGAAGTTGGAGATTCTTTTTAGTGTGGTCGCTGCACAGTTTGATGTGAATCCAGGTCTCAGTGGGCACATGCCTATTAATGTCTGGAAAAATTGTGTGCATAACATGTTGATTATTCTTGACATTCTGGTGCAGTATGAGAATATTATAGTGGATGACACGGTTGAGCCTGATGAGAATGAAACACAGAAAGGAGCAGACCATGGTGGGCCGATTCGGATTTGGGGAAACTTAGTGGCTTTTCTTGAGAGGATGGATACCGAGTTCTTCAAGAGTTTGCAGTGCATTGATCCACATACACGTGAGTATGTTGAAAGACTGCGGGATGAACCAATGTTTTTAGTTCTTGCTCAGAATGTCCAAGGATATCTAGAACGTATTGGAGATCTTAAAGCTGCATCAAAGGTTGCCTTAAGACGCGTTGAGCTGATCTATTACAAACCACAAGAGGTTTATGATGCTATGAGAAAGTTGGCTGAACAGACAGAGGATGGAGACAATGGTGAGGAGCCTAAGGTTGAGGAAAGTAGGGGTCCCTCTGCATTTGTTGTTACTCCTGAGCTTGTGCCTCGAAAGCCTACCTTTCCTGAGAATAGCAGGACAATGATGGATGCTTTAGTGTCCCTCATTTACAAGTCTGGAGATGAGCGGACCAAAGCTCGTGCAATGCTCTGTGATATCTACCACCATGCTCTCCTGGATGAATTCTCAATCTCTCGTGACCTGCTATTGATGAGTCACCTGCAAGATAATATTCAACACATGGATATTTCAAGCCAGATACTTTTCAACAGGGCTATGGCACAACTTGGTTTATGTGCATTTCGTGTTGGTCTAATCACTGAAGCGCATGGATGTCTTTCTGAATTATATTCTGGTGGAAGGGTAAAGGAGTTGCTTGCACAGGGTTTTTCACAAAGCCGATATCATGAAAAGACTCCTGAACAGGTACTGCTTTCTCTGTCTCTCTGTCTTTCTATGTTTTTGTCGTACTTGCCATGCTTGCATCCACAAGGAGAATCTTAGTTATTCCAAGTTCCCAAGTTGATTACTTATTTTTGCATAAACGTGGTTTGTTTTATTTAGTTTCTAGGGGGTGTCAAGGTAATGTGGGTGTTTAATGTTGTCTTAAGAGGCTTTAAAGCTAACTTAAAGTTTTTGTTTCCTAATTCAAGCTGAATGAAGGGCATTTAGCTTGTATTAAGAAGTCGAGTATTTTGTTTTCGGCTAGAGAAGTTGATATTCGCTTATAGAGGGTGCTTGTTTGAATTGCACACTGAGGGATTAACAGTTTTAGGCACCAGATTTGATCATGCATTATGCTTTTCAGCTTTTTGTATGCTAAGTCTTGATTTTTATCATTCAACATCTTATTTCTTTGGCGAAAAAAATTATAGACTTCTATAACTTCATTACTTGTGAGGCTTGGTCATATATGTGTGTGTGTGTGTGATTTTAGGCGGATAAGCTTGTGTTCGGTGTGCTTATTAGTGTGTGTAACTATAACACACATTTGATCATTTATGGCAATTCAGTGTAGATTGCACCTTTTGAATTTTATCTTGAGTTAAATGTACATGTTATTGCTGATTTGTTTTTGTTTGTGATACTAATTAGCATGAGTGAATCGAATCTGGGCTGTATCATTTTTCAAGCATGTTTCTTGGGTAAATGTAGCTCTTAGATTTATATTCTTCATAGTTTGCTCTTTGTCCTAAGACCGGTCCCACTCACTGGGTTAAGTTATTGATTTCAACAGGAAAGACTGGAAAGGAGACGCCAGATGCCATATCATATGCACATAAATCTTGAGCTTCTGGAGTCTGTCCATCTCAGTTGTGCAATGCTGCTGGAGGTGCCTTACATGGCAGCCAATGTTCTTGATGCTAAGCGCAAAGTCATTAGCAAGACATTTAGGCGGTTGCTTGAGGTAAGTGAGCGGCAAACTTTCACTGGTCCTCCTGAAAATGTCCGGGACCATGTAATGGCTGCTACACGGGCACTTAGGAAAGGAGATTTCCAGAGGGCCTTTGATGTTATTGAGTCTCTTGATGTCTGGAAGCTCCTCAGAAATAAAGATGGTGTTCTTGAGATGCTCAAAGCCAAGATTAAAGAAGAAGCTCTGAGGACCTACCTATTTTCCTACTCCTCCTCCTATGATTCACTTGGCTTGGACCAGCTGACCAAAATGTTTGACCTTTCAGCATCGCAGACGCAAGTCATTGTCAGCAAAATGATGATCAATGACGAGCTCCAAGCAAGCTGGGACCAGCCAACACAGTGCATTGTCTTCCATGGCATTCAGCACACAAGGCTGCAGGCTCTGGCATTCCAGTTAACAGAGAAGCTGTCAATCCTTGCTGAAAGTAATGAAAGGGCAACAGAGGCAAGAATTGGTGGTGGTGGTTTGGATCTGCCTCAGAGGCGGAGAGATGGCCAGGATTTTGCTAACGTGGCTGCTGCAGGTGGTAAGTGGCAAGATAACTCATCTTTCATTCATGGAAGGCAAGGTTCTGGCCGTTCTGGATATGGTGGTGGTGGTGGGAGGCCACAGGTATTAGGCCAAGCTGCTGGGGTTGGGTATTCTAGGGCGGCCGGAAATATGCGATCAGGTGGTGGATATTCTGGAGGCTCACGATATCAAGATGCTCCAACCCGCATGGTTACTCTCAACAGGGGAGCTCGCGCTTGAAGAAATTTTGTTAATTTTGTTTGGAAGACACCTAGATCAACTCCAGCTTTTCATATTTACTTTCTATTTTGAACTTCCAAGTATGTAGCTTTTTCAAGATTAAGCACCTTTCGCAGGAGGCTGTTTATGAATTTTGAAATTATATGTGTCTTTTAAATAATTGTGTGTTTCGGTAGCATTGCAACAAATTAGGTAATAATAATATTTATAGTACTGTCAAACAAATGACACTGCAGCTGCTATGTTTATTTTGATATGATATTAGGGTTGCAGATTAAACGATTAGATGTCGTTTTTCCAATATTATCTATAGATGTAAAATAACTGCAAGAATGTAAAAGCTGGAAGCTTTTCTACACGCTGAGTATGGTTAGGACCTGCGATTCGTTAAATTACGTGCAAGGATTAGGGATAATTATCAGAAAAACCTTATAAAAAAAATCTTATATCCAAGTAATTTATCAATTTATTTTTAAATCTCTTAAACTCAAAATAATATTTTTCTTATCAAAATATTTAATAGTTAACTTTCAATTTAACACTAATTAACTATTGAGTCGATAGATAAGATAATTTTTTTAATTTTTAAGTTTGAGAGGTTTAAAAAATAAATTGATGGATTTTTTAGATAAAAAATTTTTAAACACTAACATTCGACTGTTTTTTTTTATTATTATTATATTAAAAACTTCTTATATTAGAGCTTTTTTTCCTATTGATAGTTTGTTTCATTAATTATGAGATTAATTTTACTATCTAGTAACTATAGCAATCGATGCAATTTAACTAATTAATATTAATGAAATGACGTTCTTGTTATTCTCTTGTAATTTAATTAAAAGTTTATCATACAAATAAGAAAAATAAAAATATGTATGATTATGAGCATTAGTGATTTCTTAAATCCTAATATATTGATAGAAAAAAAGTATCATCGATAATACTAGTTTTTAATTAATCAAAACTCAATATTTTTTATCAAACAATTAAATTAAATTACAAGATGAATGTATAACATATTTTGATGCATTAATTAAATAAAATATGACCATTCATAATACAAATACATATCTTGAAAGATAACGGTTTCATTTAAATTAAGGATAATTACCAAAATACCTTCTAAAAAATCTGCTATCTAAAAAATTCACTATTTCATTTTTAAATCTCTCAAATACAAAATAATATTTTTAAGTCTCCTAAACTAAAATAATATTTTTCTTACCAAAACAACCAATAGTTAACACTAGTGTTAGTGTTAACTATTGGTTGTTTTGGTAAGAAAAATATTATTTTAGTTTAAGAGACTTAAAAATAAATTTATGAGTTTTTTAAATATAAATTTTTTTTATAAGGTTTTTCTGATAATTATCCCTAATGGTCATTAAGTAATGCAATGAGTATTATATATCATAGCTAATGGTCATTATGTAATGTAATGAGTATTATATATCGTAGCGATCGTTATTTAAAATTATTTTATAAATGCTCATTTCGTCTCAAAAAATTATCTTAATATATTTTTAGTTAAAATTTATTTTTTAAAAAATGTCTAAATACAATTCTATAAAAAAAATTCTAAAAAAATGTATTTTAGAAAAATATAAACAAAAAATGTTGATATAAAAGACAATTATGTATTGGGTAAATTTTAAAGATAATATCCGACCATATAGGTAGTTTTAATTTTATCATCAAATCATTTTTTTTAATTAATTTTACCGTTAAAATTTCAGAAATTCTTAATTAAGAATCTCCTCTATTTTTAAATATCTTAGTTAATGTTTTATGCTAAGTTTCTAACAAAAGTTCTTAATTAAAAAAATCAATATAAGCTAATGATAAAACTGATAAAAAAAATAATGTGAGCGTAAATTTAATAACATCTTAATATTTTAGTGACATATTTAATATTTGTCCTATGATAAATTACATAATTAATTAGTGAGTGGAAAGAAATAAATTTTGATTTCAAAAATTATAAAATAAAGCATTTTATAATAGGCCTAAGCAATAATAGGCCGGGCCCAACAGACATGGAAACTGAAGTCCAACCCACGATCAGTTTCTTCCACTCCGCATCAAAACATAAAGAAGACCAACAAGAGAAACAAACAAGCAAGAGAATGCTCTCGCTTTCCTCTGTATCCCGTTGCTCACCTCCCTCCTTCCTCTCTCAAAAGCCAAGAGCTCTAAGATTCCTTACGGTTCGCTCTAGTTCCACAAGAGAGTCTAATTCGAACCATAATCAAAGCCAGAGAATCAATTACTCTGGTGTAAAGCTTGAGGAGACAGTAGATTCCAAGTCAGGAAAGTTAAGACTCGATTCTTGGATTTCTTCTCGCATTTCTGGCATCAGTAGAGCTCGTGTTCAGTCTAGTGTTAAATCAGGACTTGTCTCTGTCAATGGCAAGGTTATCGATAAGGTAGTTTTTTCAACGCTTCTGCATTATTTTATTCTCCTCTGGGTTGGTTTTCTGAGATATTAAGGTTGGTGTTTGTTTAAGGTTTCGCATAATGTAAAAGCAGGGGATAAGGTGAATTGCGTAATTTCGGAGTTGCAACCTTTGAGGGCTGAACCTGAAAATATACCTCTGGATATTGTCTATGAAGATGATAATGTTCTAGTTGTTAACAAACCTGCCCACATGGTAATCACTCTTAAAAAAAGATTGAAACTTTGATTAAGTAATGTTGTGCTGAATTGAAATGTTGATGCTGTAATTTGCTTTTTGATTGTGTGATTGAGGTTGTTCATCCTGCGCCTGGTAATGCTACGGGCACGCTGGTTAATGGGATACTGCACCATTGTAGTCTTCCAACCGTTTCGAGCCAGGAAGTTTTGTCGGATTCAGAGGATATTTCTGATGACGATGATGATGAAGGGTTATGTCCTGGCTCATATGTGGCATCTGTTCGACCAGGGATAGTGCATCGGTTGGATAAAGGCACCAGTGGATTGCTTGTTGTTGCTAAGGTGATTTCCCCCTTTTAAAAATCTTTGTGGTTTTAATGTTAAATTTGCTGTTATGGTGCTTTTTTGCTAATTCTTTAGTGTACTATATATTGATGGTAGGATGAACATTCTCATGCTCATTTATCTGAGCAGTTCAAGCTACACACCATCAAGAGAGTATATGTTAGTCTTACCTGTGGAGTCCCCAGGCCAATGGCAGGACGTGTTGATGTTCCTATTGGCAGAGATGTGAGTAACAGGATACGCATGGCTGCTATAGTTGGACCAAATCGGAGACAGGCCCGTCATGCTGCTAGTAGGTGATTATTACCATTCATCAAGTTCCATCTTATATTGCTGCTAGTAGGCACCATGTACTTGTCATTTTTTATAGGCTTCACGAGTGTTAGTTTACTGAACTTTTTTTTGTTGTATTTCTGATAATTTTGTTGAACCCTATCAGGTATAAAGTAATTGAAATGCTAGCTGGTGGTGGTTCAGCTCTAGTTGAGTGGAGGTTAGAAACTGGTCGCACTCATCAGGTACAAATAATGCAGAAGGTTTCTTTTATTTAATGAATTGTTGGATACTGGAATAAGAAGAGTGAAATCGACTAGCTAGTCGGCTCATTTTTTTTAATCGAGAGGCACTTTCAATCTCTGGAAGTCCCCTTATAATTTTCATGTACAAAAAAGGGCATCAGCAACTATTTCCTTTTCTTGATGTTGGGTTCATTTATATTTTATTTTCAAAGATGACCATGGATCTTTAAAAGTGTCTGTCTCCGAGTTGGTTTTTTTCACCCAATTCTGTGTTTATTAATGCTTCCCTCATTTCCCTTTTGATGTCTCCCTTGTTGATCTGTGAATGATGGTCAACCTTGACATAAACCTTTCACTATTGTTGATTATAAGTTCTTTAACATCCTAAAGCTTTTAGGCTCATCATGGTTAGAATGTTTTTCTGAAGCAGATCCGTGCTCATGCAAAGTACATTGGAATTCCTCTATTAGGTGATGAGGTATATGGAGGGACCCGAAACATGGCCTTGTCACTGCTTCGATCCAGAACCCAGCCTAGCTTTCATAGCCAACTTTCTTTATCACTTTCAGGACTAGAGAGGCCTTGCCTCCATGCTTTGGCTCTCGGGTGAGACAATTAGAAGATAAAGCTTATCTGCTTGTTTCTCTTCTTTTCATTGACACCACTGGATAATATGGAATTGTTGCTTCTTTACATTGTTCTGTAGGTTCACACATCCCTGCACAGGGAAAGAAATACATTTTTCATGCCACCCTCCTCCAGATTTTACAGAGATCTTGAGCCAGCTTCGTGACATGGGAACAGAGAAGGTATTCTCTCTATAATGCAATTCCATGCTGGGGCATTGCCTAATGAATATTTGTGCTCCTTGGAAATTTTGCTAGTTGATTGTAAAACCTAAAGTTTGGGAAGATCATCTAATCCTGTCTGCCATATGATTAAAAGAATAAAACCTAACCAAGTAGCATTCAATCCTGGCACTCCTAGGATAGAGGCAGCAAGGATATACGTTTGGTTAGTAGTATCATTCTATGGCATTGCTGGTATAGGATGGTATGGTATATACTTTTCATCTTGATTCTTTAACCTGAAGTGATCAACAAGCCTGCTTGAACAATCCCACTAAAGCAGATGACCCACCATTTGACCTTTAACCTAGATTTTTCTGTGGCATCATTGAGCGGTTATAAGACTGAAGTTTCTGATTAATGTTGTTCATGGTGTGAGCAAATAATTTTAGGAACTTGCTTGTCTTATTATCATCCGTTTCATGTGCAGCCTTCATTTAAGGAATGACAGAATTTCTTTGAGCAACACTGGGAAAAGATTAACTGGGTGTCTGAGCAAGATGACAGTGTGAAGAAATGTGCTAGTGTGCAAACACGGAATGGACAAGTTCATGGTGGGGGCAAGATGCTGGCATGTTAATGAATGTAACGGGCAAGAACAGTCTGCGACAATGGTAGATCTTCATCACAGGGGATGGTAAGGTTTTACTTTATAGTTCTCCCCAGAATAGTCTGCGACCATGGTACTTGGGAGGCCATCCACAAACATTGGAGAATCAGGAGGAGAATTTTGCTTCTCGCACATGTTTTGTTGTGAGAATATTAGAGGTGAGCAATTAGTTGACTATTTTACGTGCGTAAATACATGAATGTATGTTAGCCTCAGTTGGCACAAGCTATTCTGAAATACCTTATCTGGCAGATCATGTATTTTTGTAGATTGTTTTTCTAAAGATCCGCAAGAAGCAGCATTCAAATGTGAACAATAAAACATTCTATGGTGCCACTTATCAAAAACTGCAATCAGATAACGTAAGATGTCATTGCTAGCTAATTCATGAGTTATTTCGGGGGTCTCCACGCCCAAGCATTCCAAGGCTCCATTGTGGTGCTATGCATTGGAATTTAGTCTACCAATCCGCATCTTCAGCCCAGTTTAGGCCCAATTAAAAGTGCGTATCTTGTACTTTGAAAAATTAAAGTTTTCATCATAAGATTAATGAAGCTCACTTTTTTGTTTGTACCTTTTGAAAGTAAAAAAATACCCTAGGTTTAATATAGATTAGAAATTAGAAAGTATTACACCTGTTTTATCAATTACGCTCCTCCTTTCAGGAAAAAAACTTATGTTTTTTCAAGTCCATATAGCTAGGTCTCAATTTGTTTTGAAAAAAAGCTAATATTTTTTTTCAAATCCATTTCATATATTCGTTTTTGTAATAAATCATATGATTAAAAAAATAAAAAATATGCTTACTTATGAATGAAAACAATAAATTTTCTTTGATTTTTTCTACTGATACCGAAATGAAATTAGAGTTGAGTGAAATAAATGATTTTGCATACACATTTTGATTGTCAATTCCATGCATTTATATTTTATTTAATCATTTTAAAGCATTTTGACGAAAAGTTAAGTCAAATTTTAATAGCCAACTAGAGTTTTAACAAAAATGGAAATTACCATCACAAGAAAAATAGAATATATAAAAAATGTAAGGTTTTGATTTTTAGTATTTTTTTTATTTTAATGCGTATTTTCTGGATATAAAAAGAAAGTAAAAAGAGCATATCCATACTCATAGACGATTTATCCATTAACATAAATAGGTCAACACAATCTCATCGGTATCCAGCCTATTATCCATTAAGATATTCTAATGAATAATTAATGATTGCAATGGATAGGGCATCTCTAGAGATAAACTCTCCGAAAAAACAAGAACTCTGTATCATTTTCACCTTCTTACCCATAATCTGGTCCGAGAGAAGATCCGTGGATTTTGGATTGGCAATCAACAATAAAGTGCTTGCAAGTTCTGAACAAAACAACAATTCATAAGCACCAGCTCTCAACAAATGGCAGCAGCAATTAGTCGAACTGAAGAAATGCCAGTAATTTATATTTTGGATTTATTCTGTTAGTTTTACAGTTGGCTGCAGGGTGTTGGTGCATCCCCTGCAGCCAATTTTCCTACCCCTTTTGAGTCTATAACTACAAGAATTCTATCAAGACCACCAACTTCCAACCTAAATGCTGGCTAAAAGGGTTTAAACAAAAAAAAAAAAAAAAAAAAAGAGTTCCATCAAATGAAACAATCTTCGTGCCTGAGCGGTAAAACATCTTTTTGATTACAATGAGGGTCACGCCGGCATGTATCAAGAATTCTAACACCATTCACCATGAACAGTAACTGATCCGGCATGGTACAGATCTTCCTATCCTGCTGACAGAAGAACAGGGGAAAAAAAAGTTACTGTCAACAAATTATATTACCATATGTCATAGATTTAATTGATTTACTTGCAAAATGTTGTTTTTGTAACGAAATCCAAGATATCCATATTCAGTGAGGCAGGTTTCTGTTGCTACCACAAACCACCAACATAGACAGCGGCGAAAAAGGTCCAGGTGGCCATGCCAAATTTAATGAGCCTAAAGGCGTATGTGATGCCTTTCTGGAAGTCCACAATACATAGATGATACGAAAAAACAATAGAGCACGATATTAGGAAGGAGCTTGAATAAGATGCTTCACTTACACAAATAATACTCCTAAGAGTTAGTTAAATTAGCATATATTCTCTTTGTTGGTCACACTTTTTTCATCTATTCGAGAACACACTTACTAAGCACTGGAAACAATTGGCCATCATTTAATTTCATCTGCCCAACAACCTAAATCTGCGCTTTTCATAGGCTAAGACAAGTAATTCTTTTCTTTAACAAATGACAACATAATCAAGATAAAAAATGCCAAATGACTGAAATAAAACCAAGTTCCTGAAACATACAACAACCATGACTTCACATAACATTAATAAATCCTTTAGCCATCGAGAATTACCTTTACAATAACAGCTCAGACCTTGTATTCCCCAAGATGCATCCACTTTGTAGCAGACCACTTGTTTCCTCTAATCACAGGGCAACTACCTGGCACGAGCCATGATAAGAATGTAAGTCAACTAGATGATTATAACATGTTAAAAACGAGAAATAGCTTCACTCCAAAGTATTCAGGAAAGGGGTATGCGATATATGGCCACACAAAAGTAACCCCTCTTGCATGGGGCCAATTATTTTCTCAGTAAAGGTTGTTGGACTTGGCTCCACAGTGTGAAAGCGGCTATGTCCTGTGTAGATAGGCACTCTCACACCAAGAAATTACTTTGGATCCTTTTTTTTTTTTTTCCATAATAACTGGAATGAGAACCGATGAAATATAAGACAAACTTCTGAATCATTCTTGATCCTCAGGTAAAGCTATCAAACACTAATAAACTGAATGATTACTAACCATGCAAACTTGAAGGATCAAGTGTCGCATCAGGTCTTGTGCTCCAAAAAAGCAATGCATTACCCATTTTTGGTTTCAGCGAAAGACCCTGTTTGGCGCATTCTGACAACTCATTCCACCATGGCACAGCGCTTATGTTTACGTTGGCAGCAGGAAATACAGTCTCACCCCCTTCTTCAACATCCGACCTGCATAAGAAGCAGAAAGAAAAAAAGGAAAGGCTTAAGTTGATTTACAGGATGCATATAAGCACATCCAATACATGCTATCCAGAGGAAGACAATCTTACAGATACATAAGAAGAGTAGCTGTCCGCTGGCCACCATTTTTTGTATTGAACTCGTCAAGGAAATAGTCAAAGTGAGCCTCATACTTCTGCCCAACTTCATAATGGAGAACTTGAAGTCCTTCTCCATGCTCTGGTTGTTCTAAAGTTAGTCTAGACAGGGATCTTTCAATATATAGTTCCGGAATATACAGTAGAAACAAAAGAATGCTAATTCATCACACATGATTCATTACCCAACACATCGCCTATTTCCTCCTCAATAATGGTATATATCCCCTTTCCAGAACACTTAAAGCGGGACTAAGCATGCAAATGTTACACTTAAAGTGAAACTTAACATAAACTAGATTTTCGGCATTTACAACCTTTCTGATGAAATGTTACTGATAGATTAAAATAGTCATGTCATCAAGTCCATATAAACCCAAAAGGTTATCAATGCAAATAGTTGGGAAGGTGAACAGCTCACTGTCTGCAAAGTATAAGAGTGGTAAAAATGGCATTGAAAAAAAACATTCAAAATTCTGCTGGTTAAAAAACTTTTGGACTAGGCATTCCTGCGTTAGTATTGTGAGCTAACTTCAGGAATTGGGGGTACATTTGACTACCATACCTGCAGGAATGAAAGAGAAGTCAGCTATCCTTTTTTCTATGTCCCTAATGACTTTATCCCGTCCTCTCCTCAAGAACATTCCCGAACTAGTACGCACCCTGTGAAGAAGAGATAAATTTAAAGCTGATTCAAACCAATGCCAGCCCTTCATCTTCTATAATCCATTTGATCTGCAATAGAAGTGGAAACCAAAACATTGGAAACGCATACCTGCTATCTTTACTCCGACCCGTCTTGCTATCTACCACAGTTGATTTCACCATATGAGGTTTGGCAAGGTTTATTAGATATTCACATTCTTCTTTTGACTGTTCAAAATCAAGAAGTTAACGCACCCAAATTATTCTTCCATCCGCTATATAAAAAACTAGAAAAGAAACTGAAAACGAGCAAGGATACATCAAGCACAGATAAAAGTAGTCACTAGCAACTAATTTGACTATTATCAAGGCATTAAAGGAAAAACATTATCAGTCAAGATCAAATTCAATTTCAAGAAATGCAGAAACTATATTTAAAAAAAAAAAAAAAAACCCACCAAGAAATTGTGATAAAGAAAAGCTCTAGGCTCCCAAGAAAGAATTTCAGTCCACTGTTCTTCTCTCTTCCCCAACCCATCACCATCTCTGCATCACCAAAACCCCAGCAATAAAAACAATCAAAAAACAAATTAAATCAATAAAGAAACCGAGGAACCATTTCTTGAATAAATTACCTTTCAGAAACCATACGCCTATAAGAAGTGAGATCATTAGGAGAAGAATCTTCATCGCTCAGAGGAAGAGAAAAAATCCCCAGACCCAATAGTATCAAAAGAACAACTGTTAACATAAATAACATACTCAACACCAACGTAAACGTCGTCCATTTCTTCGTATGTAACCTCGAATGTCTCACTTTCACCATTTTCTTTAAACCCTAAATTCCGTTTCCTCGAATAAATAAGGAGATTTTTTGAGGTTTGGATCAATGGTATTAGCGTCGAGGTTGGTGGGGGAAGACCTTCCGTTATTATATAGAGAAATTTCAAATATGGAAGGTAATTTTTCTTGTACTGACGAAATTGTCACTGGGTTTTTATGTTGTTGAAATTATATGTCGGTGGAGGTAGGAGTAGGAAGGGTGTTTTTGGCAATTTGCATAGTTTGCTGGTTTAAGTTTCCTCTTTCCGGCAGCTGTGGGCAGCACCAGGTTTGTCAGTGAGTGAAATTTGGAAGTCAATTTTCTTTACATATATATGTATCTGCAAGACCGGGGAAAAAATGAATAGATTCAGAAACCATGTGATGGAGTAAATTATATATTAATCCCTCTATGTTTTCATAAAGAATTAAATAGTCCCTCTACTTTTAATAAAAAATAATTAATCCTTATCTTTTTAATATATTTGTAACTTAATCATTTTCATTTTTTCAATTTATTTTGTTGTTTAGAGGAAACAAAAATTAAAACTAATAAATTAGTTTTTGAAACAAAAATAATTTACTCGTGTGATGTGATTATAATGATTTTAAAATTTTATAAAGTATCCATCCCAAATTATTATTATTATTATAGCAATTCAACTGAAGGATCCTATAACAAATCAACCATTAAATGATTGATATTATTTTAAAAATAATTTGGTATTTCATAGTTTCAGATAATTTGAAAATTAATTGGGATTTGATAGCATGACTCTTTTTTATATTATGATTTTCAGGCTTTCATTTTTTCCCGTGCAAATGGAATCCATCAATTTGCATATGGCTATATTGCATTTTCTATGTGAAACCTAAACAAACATCCAACCCCCCCCCCCCCCCCCCCTTTTTTTTTTTTTTTTTTTTTTGGGGCAAATGGATACCATCAAACTTTTTCTTACACTTGAAAAGCGAAAAATCAAGAAAAAAGAAAGGGAAAAAAAATCTCCTACGAGAAATTTTATCATAGAAATTTGGTCTATGCGCTTAAATTATTTTCTTTTTTCTTTTCTTTTCTTTTTTTCCTAGAAATTTCTCTAGTACCACCTTGAATGTGATTTGCAAGTTCCGTACCTTGATTATTGATTTTATTTATTTGGTATCTATTGGCATCAACGCGTCATCAAAGTCGAAAATAAAGATTTGGTCAATAAAAAATCAACTGGAATAATGTTCTCCGGTATTGTACATTTCAAATGGATACCATCAAAGCAATCCTTGAGAAAAGTAAAGGAAGCAACTCCAATTCCTTTTGTAAAAACAAAACAAATAAAATAGGAAATGCACCAAAACAAGAAATCCCAACGAGCACATAAGACGACTTTGATCCCTCTAGAAACTGAATCGGCCCAGTGAGATAACAGACCTCAAAATACAATACAGAAGTCAGCGAAAACAAAAGAAAGCAGCTGGGTTTCTGGAATAGAAGCTTCCTCGTACCAAGGGGCAAGAGCAAAGAGAGGACATTCTAAAACGGATAGGAATTTCTGGGATCGCTGTAACGGAGTATTAAAACCCACCCTTCTCATCGGTAGCGGGAATTTGCCGATCGGTATCCGCCACTCAAACTTGGTATTTTCAAATTGGGTATCATGCTCGGCAGTCAGATAGAAATGAAGGATCATCCTCGGATAGCATTCATCAAGGGACATTATGGCAGATGTCTAAGAATTCAATCAAACCAACTATCCTACCTTTTCTCCAAAATTGCCGTCTTGCAAGGATAGATTCTTCGTGGAATATAAGCTATAAGGTTTTGGGGCACGATCAGCTTTCCCCCTTTTCTCCAGTGAATTGCCTGACTTCCTTTCACCGTCGAGTGCACGTAGAACAGCCATCCAACTATCCTACCTGTTCATACAGCAATCAGTTTATGTTGTTGGCAGCAGATCTTCATCCCAGCTTAGACTTCCAGTTTCTCGTCTATTCAGACTATTGAAAGCAACAGCATATCAAATGGAAGCAATGGTGAAATGAAATGATTTAGTTTAAACCATCTGGTCGAAACCCTAAATTGGCAAGTGAGCAAGGGCAGAATTCCCTTGTCATTCAAAATAAGACCAGCTAATTTGTGTAGTTCATTTAGAAAGAAAAACAAGGGAGAAACGTCAGGAGCTCGTTTTCACTTTCACAAGTAGCAAGTCAACATTTTGCGCTTGGCTGATATATAAAATGCAAAGATGTAAACATTAGAAACGAAATGGCTACATTCAAAGGAGTTTCAACTAAAGGGGTAAGCTGATTAAGCTAGAGCTTGGTTCATTTTTTTCCTAATCCTAAGTGGGACTAAGAGATTTAGTTAGTGAATAACTATGAATTACAAGTTGGGTTGTAGAGTTAGCACCCAAACTATAAAACAATATGAAAAAGCAAATATTTGCCCCACCCCGGTAAGCATAAACACAGAAAAGCAAAACCTCAGCCAATATCCCAACAAACTTGACAGAAACCATAAAACTAGCATTAGTCGGCTGCAATGATTCAGTGTAATATCTTCAAAACATCAAGCCAGAAATTCATTAATTTCAAAAGCAATATGCTATGAGGACAGAATTCAGCCATCTTCTAAGAGAATATTGATTATTAAATTTGGGCTAGTATTCCAGTATATTACATAAATTGTGAAATCAACCTTCTGGGTTTTACACAAAAAAAAAAAAAAAAAAAAAAAAAAGGAAAAACCGCAATAGATTTCAATCAAAAATGGAAAAAAAATTACCCTCGTCGATTAATCAACGATTCTCTCCACCGCCGCGACGTTCCTTCTCAATCTGCTCTCTCTGCTTCTCAACAAGCTTCTCAATAGCCGATTCCACAGCCTCTCTACCACCAATGAGCAACCGGGTCACAATTTCCGGATCTTTTTCAAACCGGGCCGCTTCAAACTCTTTCCTGGCATTCTCCCTCAATACATCTCTCCACAACACTCCTCGCGAATCGGGCCACATAAAGAATCGGGTGGCCCTCAAGATATCACGGTATAAATGCAGTGCTTCACGTCGCGTGCTGGTTAATCGCCGCTGATTCAGAATCTCTTCCTCTTCTTCATCAAGTGATTTCTCTTTCTTAACTAAATGTCTGTCTAATAATTCTTCTAAGGTGTCTGGGCCTTCGTGTAATAGACGATGATTGAAAAAAACGTGGCTTCTATTTATCAGGTATAGAGAGGGAGATAAACTTCGCCATTTTTGCAGCTTCATGGCCATCTTTTTATGCCTTTTGTCTTTCGTTAAGACAAAACTGGCAGCAACGGAGAATTGAGATTCCTCAATTCTCTTCGCTCTGGGTGTAGTTTATTTAAATAGGCTCATAGGCGTGTAGGCTTGTGGGCATGGGCGTTTGGGCTCGTGCTTCTTCTCAAAATATGCAGCTCTAGGCTTCTGGCCCATCAATAAAACATGCGCACAACTAGGATTGTCAACATTTGACTAGGATTATATCATGATAAATCCAAATTTGATTTGTTCCGTAAAACAGATCGAATCAAATCTTATAAATTTAAATTATATTTTAAAAATATAAAATTAGATGAAATTCAGAAATTTATCGGATTTATCACTTGATTTTTATAAAGAAAAAAAATGATTACTACATTTTATATATTATAATCACTACATGTATAATAAAATATATTAAGATGATAATTTATTTATCGATGTTATAAATAATTCAAAATATCATACAATTTAAAAGTATAAAATCAAATAATTTTAATAAAATTTTGCCTTAAATTACTTAGAAAGTATGATAAAACTAAAAGAAATAAATAATAAATAATCTTTATCTCGTTGTCCACATGAGAGAAGAAATAGAGTGATGATACATATAATAACACCAAGTTTTGAAAATATAAATAAGTCAACTTATAATTTTTATTTTTATGAAATCAAATTAAAAAAGTAACAAAAAATTTATATGTGATTTTTTGAAAATACAATCATCATTGTTCAAGGATGCGCGTTATTTAAGCTTTATAATAAATAAACTTTAAATTTCAACGTAGTCTCATATTTATATATATATTTTTTTCATATTTAAATTTTTTCTATTTTAAAAAATATTATGTTTATTATAAAAATATTATTTTTAATTTTGGATCATATTATTATTATATTGAATCAAAGTAGATTCGGATTTGATCCATTTAACAAACGATTAATGAATTTGGATTATAATCGGACTTGGATCAAAACATTATTTATATAAGATTATTTAGCATATCCATTTAATTACATCAAATTCGAATCGCATTCAGGTCAATATTTGGTTTATTTACAGCCATACCCATCAAGTAATTTGGTACTAGATAACGAATTTGAAGCTCAGTTGCGCTACTATTAACCTTAAAGAAATTAATATATTTGGCCAAATATTTGGAGTAAATTATAAATTAATCTCTTCGGTTTTGAAATCGAATTGACTAGTCTTTTCTATTTCAAAAACTTAATTATTTAATTTTTATGGATTTTTTTGTAATTTGTTTTCTTTTTATTTTAAAAATAGAAAATTGAAAAAAAAAAGCATCATAAAAATATTGATGAGAAAAGAATATACTTTTTGAAATAAAGTAATATTAAATTAAGTATGGTCAAAACTGGTTAAAGTACTAAATAATAATTTTTTGAAATAAAAAAAGATAAATATATCCATTTGTATTTATATAATATCTAAATGTCTCTCATATGTCCATATATTTTTAATTACATCTCATTTATCTCTTAATGTGTTTGACATGTTTCGTCTATCCTTCGGGCCTAATTTCCCAACCAAATAATTTTTTTGATCAAAATGCCCTTGCTTGAAAAAAAAAAAAAAATCCAAAGACTTAGAAAATAGAATATCTAGGTCATGTGACTTCAAGTATTTTTTTTTTTCAAATTTTAGCAAAGGTTATTTCTGTTAAAATAATTTATGATAAAAAAATTTGATCAGAATAACATATTAAATATTTAAATTGTTTTTAGAAACATATAAAATACAATTGAAAATTTAGAGACAAATGAAATACATTACGTATCATATAAAGACAAATGAACATGTTTATCCATAAAAAAAAACTATTAGATTCATTTCTTAAAAAAAAAAAACTAATTTATAATTTACTCTAAATGTCTGTGAGCACTAGATATATGTTATGAAAAAATAGACAATTTTTCAATTGCTGACTATAAAAAAAAATCTGTGTTAATAGATCCGTTAAAAAATTTGGGTTTTCAGCCGTAATTGGGCTTTGCTTGCATGTACAATTGTCTACCTCCCAAACTACTGTTTGTTTATGTACAGGATTTTGTTAGGGTGGTTCTGCTCATTTATGTAGAACGTAATTTTTTATTTTTTTTATGGGCTTAGGCTCTTGCTTATTTTTTCCTAAAATAAAAAATAAGAGATTGATTAATATCGTTATCTTTTTTTTAATTGGTTTTTTGGTTCCAAAAGCATAAAAAATCCATAATTTTTGTGAAAATTTTTAAAACCAAAGAAAGATATTTTAAAAAAAAAATGTGATAATGATTTTTGATTTTGCTATTTTTTAACCAAAATAAATAAGCTATTTTTGTTGTCAAAATTTTGAAAAGTTTATTCAAGGCCCAATTAACCGTGACTTAATTTTGATGTGTGGAACTCAATACTGTCACCAAATACTCTAACTAATCATTAAACCCAAAAGCAAAAGCCCAAAAAGAAAAGTCTTAATAAATATTTCCTTTGATACGAATAATATTTTTAAAATTTATAAGTTTATTTTTAAATGTATGTTAAGACTGGAATGGAGAAAGACTATCCAGGTTTGGTACTAAATTCAGGTTTTTTCTATAAATTAATGATTTTGAAACGGCGCAAATTATAAATTAATCCTTTTAGTTTTTTTAAAAAGAATTAAATAGTCCTTTTAATTTCAATACTAATTAATTAGTCCCAATATTTTAAAATCTCTTTTTAATTTAATCATTTTTACCTTTTATTTTTTAAAATTAAATATTCATTCTAGTTTCAACACTAATTAATTAATTTTTATATTTTTAAATCTATTTGTAATTTAATTATTTTTACTTTTTCAAATTTTTATTTTTTTTTGTTTTAATAAGTAGAAAACAATAAGTAAAAATATGAAAAATTGATGAGATATATTTTTGAAATTAAATAATATCAAATTAAGTATGATCAATATCAATTAAAATATCAATTATTTTTTTTAAATAAAAAGAATTATATAATTTATTTTGCAAAAATAAATTGACTAATTTATAATTTACTTGATTTTGAAACTTATTCGATATGCATGCAAAGCAGGACAGGTCGTCCTCGTCACAAGCTCCCAGCTCGAATTCAGCCTGGTCATATGCAATCAAACATCCACAAGAAACGCCGTACCGTGACAGTTAATATCTAAAATCAGCATCGTCGTCTAAAATCCAGCATTTTCTCCTTCGTTTCTTTTCTCTATGCTTCAAGCTTCCACAGCTTCTTCTTTCTGGCAAGTTTCTCAGAGCAGCCATAGCCGTCAATGGCTTTACTAAAAACAAAGCTCCGTTTCCCTCCCTCTTCCTCTCCTCTCCCTTCTCGCCTCCTCAAACCCTTCTCTTCCTCTTCCCTTCCAACCTCACAGCCTTACCTACTCCAAGATGACATTAACGACGATGAAGAAGAACACGCCATTAAATCCCCTAAAACCCCACTGTCACCCGAAGAAACCATAATAGCCGAGAAATCCCACCCTTTAATCAAAGACCATTACCTCAACAACCCCGGAAAAACACCACCGCCTGACCCCACCTACACCATCTCTTCTCTCTCCCTTGACTTCTCCCAGATCATTTCCACCGTCCATTCCATCTCCCCCTCCATCGTCCGTCACGTCATTGCACAATCCAGTGGGGTCCGTCAAGGAGTGCCAGTTCCGCAGGTCCTTGCTTTCTTCAACTGGGCTATCAATCAAGAGGGCTTTGATAAATCCCCTGAGGCTTACAATGAAATGGTTGATTTTGCCGGCAAGGTAAGGTTGTTTGGTTTAGCTTGGCATGTTATTGATTTAATGAAAGCTAGAAATGTGGAAATTAGTGTAGAGACATTCTCGATTCTTATGAGAAGGTACGTTAGAGCTTGATTGGCAGAGGAAGCGATCCATGCGTTTAATCGTATGGAAAATTATAATTGTAAGCCCGATAAGATTGCATTTTCGATTTTGATTAGTGTTTTGTGTAGGCATAGAAGAGCTAGCGAAGCTCAGGAATTTTTTGATAGTTCAAAAGATAAGTTCGAGACTGATGTTTTTGTGTACACGAATTTGATTTGTGCATGGTGCTGTGCTGGGAGTATACCGGAGGCGGAGAAGGTGTCTCGAGAAATTGAAAATGGCTGGGATTAAGCCTCATGTTGATACGTATAGTATTGTTATTGATTCTTTGTGTAGATGCGGGCAAATCAAGCGTGCTCATGATGTTTCTCGGAGATGCTTGATGCCGGATGTCAGCCAAGTTCGATAATTCTTAATAGTTTGATGAGGATACACGCTAAAGCAGGGAGGACGGGGAAGGTTTTGCAATTGTATAATCAAATGAAGAGGCTTGGATGCGAGCCCGATATGATTACTTATAATTTACTTTTAGAGTCTCATTGTAAGGATGAGAATGAGAGGATGTGAAAAGGGTGCTTATGTTGATGATCGAGAAAGGAATGCATCTACCTTTAATACGTTAATTTTATGTGTTGCTAAGTTCGGTAATGTGAAAGCTGTTCGCAGGATCAATGAGATAATGAAGGAGTTTAAGTATGACCCTAATCCAGTGACTTACAACACCTTGATGAAATTGCATGTTGCCTTGAAATCGACGGGTATGGTTTTGAAGTTGAAGAAGGAAATGGATGAGAACAAGCCTAATGTGAATACCTACAACGTTTTGATCACTATGTACTGTGAAATGGAGAATTGGAATGATGCTTACGAGTTGTTTAGGGAAATGATCGAGGAGAAGTGCTTGAAACCAAGTATGCCGGTTTATGTAATGGTTCTTCACCAGCTGAGGAAAGCAGGAGAGTTAAAGAAGCATGAAAATTGGCGGCAAAGATGGTGGATAGAGGATTTGTTAGCTGAGTTAGGTGATTCATTTTGTGGCCTAACCTTTCTTATTGAGATATGCAGACATGCTTAGGGTCACAATCTTGTTTTTCACATACAATCATTCTTTCAATCATACCGAGATAGGTTTATAATTTAAAAAAAAATAATAATTTCACTGAAATATTTTTGATAAATAACAGTTTTCTACATTGACAGCACTTGAAGATTACATGATATTTTTAAAAAATAACATATATTTTACTAATTTAAATTTATTACGTGATATATCCATGAAGATATAAATTAATAAAAGACAGGTTATTTTTTAAAATTTTAACTTTTCACTTTTTAATCAGTAAAAATTTGCATCATATAATGCGCAATGAATATCTTGTCATTGCATTGGTTGCATTTGTATTTTTGCTTTATTGACTACTACATTGTTGGAATTGGCTTGATGCCACTATGCTTGCAGCATTTTTGGCACTTCTCCCTACTCTTATTTCTTACAAATGCCAACACCAGTTAGTTGAATCTTTAGCACTTGTTATCCTTGCAGTTATCTTAATATTGCTGCCAACGAAAAAAAAAAAAACGTTGCTCTAGAGGTCCCAAGTGACATTCCATCAAAAACTCTGTTAAAGAGAGGGAATTTTATCTCAGCGTTGCTCTTTTGCCAGGTCAAATTGGCGACGGTAGATGGACAGTAGAAAGGCCCATGGGCTTTTGGGTTTGTTGATTTCTGGACTGATTTCTTTAGCTATTAGTCCATGGATAAAATGTGCAAACAGTTGGATATATGAAATTAGAGGTGTATAAAATTATACAAGTTTTTCGAAGCTCTATTTTAATTTAGGAGCCTCCTCCTCTATCTTAATTTTTGGGTTATATATATATTTTTTTTTAATTTATTTTTTGGGAAAATATTTTCAAAAAATATTATTCATGTGTTATTTTTTATTTTCAAATTATTTTTACAAGTCAAACAATAAGATGAATGTTTTCATTTGCAAATTATATGATTAATTCCAGTTTTTTTACTTGAAGATTTTCTTAAAAGATCGATTAAAAAATTAATATATGTGTAAAAATAAAATTGATTTAATTTAAAATACAAGAATATATTAAAAAATTAATTTATTGTATAGTTAGAGATTGAGAGAATAACATTTATTTTATTGAATATATATATAAATTTAATTTGAAGTTCCGAACGTAGATGACGATGCCTGATACAAAAGAACGATGTCGTTTAAAATCCCTAAAATCGGTGTCGTCCTCTAAAGTTTAAACCCAGCAATTTAAATCCCCTTCATGTCATTTAGCTCTGCTTCTCAAAGTAGCCATAGCCGCCAATGGCTTTAATCAAAACAAAGCTCCGTTTTCCTCCCTTACTCTCTCCTCACATCCTCAAACCCTTCTCTTCTTCTTCTCTTACAAGCTCAGACTCCCCCGTCCTCGAAGATGACTTAAACGACGACGAAGAACATACAATAAAAACGCCCAAAACCCCACTGTCACCCGAAGAAACCTCAATAGCCGAGAAACTCCACTCCCTAATCAAAGACCACTACCGCAACAACCCCAACAAAACCCTACCTCCTGACCCCACCTACACCATCCCATCTCTCTCACTTGATTTCTCACAAACCATTTCCACCGTCCATTCCATCTCCCCTTCTATCATCCGCCACGTCATTGAACAATCCGGTGGAGTTCGTCATGGTATCCCGGTGCCCCAAGTTCTTGCTTTCTTCAACTGGGCTAGTAATCAAAATGGGTTTGATAAATCCCCTGAGGCTTTCAACGAAATGGTGGATTTTGCTGGTAAGGTAAGGATGTTTGATTTAGCTTGGCATGCTATTGATTTAATGAAAGCTAGAGGTGTGGAAGTTAGTGTAGAGACCTTCTCGATTCTTATGAGAAGGTATGTTAGGGCAGGATTGGCCGCGGAGGCGATGCACGCGTTTAATCGCATGGAGGATTATAATTGTAAGCCTGATAAGATTGCGTTTTCGATTTTGATTAGTATTTTGTGTAGGAAACGAAGAGCTAGTGAAGCTCAGGAATTTTTTGATAGTTTAAAAAATAAGTTTGAGCCTGATGTTATTGTTTACACAAATTTGGTTCGAGGGTGGTTTCGCGCTGGGAATATTGCGGAGGCGGAGAGGGTGTTTGGGGACATGAAAATGGCTGGGGTTAAGCCTAATGTGTATACCTATAGTATTGTTATTGATTCGCTGTGTAGGTGTGGGCAAATTACGCGTGCTCATGATGTTTTTGCGGAGATGGTTGATGCAGGGTGTCAGCCGAATTCGATAACCTATAATAGTTTGATGAGGATACATGTTAAAGCGGGAAGGACGGAGAAGGTTTTGCAAGTGTATAATCAAATGAAGAGGCTTGGGTGCGAGCCTGATACGGTTACTTATAATTTTCTTATAGAGACTCACTGTAAGGACGAGAAACTTGAGGATGCGATTAAGGTGATTAGTTTGATGGGTAAGAAAGGTTGTGCTCCGAATGCGTCTACTTTTAATACGTTATTTGGGTGTATTGCAAAGTTAGGGGATGTGAATGCAGCTCACAGGATGTATAAAAAGATGAAGGAGTTGAAGTGTGAGGCCAATACGGTGACTTATAACACCTTGATGAAAATGTTTGTTGCTTCGAAATCGACTGATATGGTTCTCAAGTTGAAGAAGGAAATGGATGAGAATAAAATTGAGCCTAATGTGAATACCTACAAGGTTTTGATCACAATGTATTGTGGAATGGGGCATTGGAATAATGCTTACAAGTTCTTTAGAGAGATGATCGACGAGAAGTGCTTGAAACCTAGTCTGCCTGTCTATGAAATGGTTCTGCAGCAGCTTAGGAAAGCAGGACAGCTAAAGAAGCATGAAGAATTGGTAGAAAAGATGGTAGATAGAGGATTTGTTACTCGTCCCCTGTAGAAGAAGCTTGGCATTCTGCACCGACGAGTTATTCTTTATCCCCATTTGTGGCTTAACCTTTCTTGTTAAGGTACATGCTTGTTTGTGTCTTGCTTAAGGTCTGATATTGTAAACTGACATTCTGATATACACGAGCATTTTTTTCAGAACAAAATTTGGTGAATTTTCATTGCATGCTTCAAAACTACTAATTTCTACCCCTCTGATATTTCCGACTTTTTTCTACAGTGCTGTGATTGTCTGCATTTGTAACCGGTAGTTAGTTTTTACTTTTATTATTCTTCCCAACTCTCTCAATGAAAAATGTACTGGAATGAATCAACTCATTCCCGCTTTCTGGGAAGGCACTATTCTTGAAACGATTCAGATCACCACAAAGTGACCTCGAAGAGAGGCTTGTTAAGCTGGATGAGCTCCTTGCATCCACGGTTGTCACCTCTAGCTATCTTGCATCCTTATTTAACTGGAAACTGAAAAAAAAAAACACATCATTCCTGGAAAGAAAATAGATCACTGCCATCACCAGTCATCATTATCAGGAAAGTCAGTTTTATTATTGTGCAGACCATTGCGCAGACCTTCACCAATGCCTCAATTGTCTTTGCCAGCAAAATGTTGAAGCGTCTTTTCCATGTATTTTCTATCTAAAAAAGACTACCAAGTACTTCATCATTCCCATTACCATGTACAAGACGCAAAAGTGACTTAGAGTAAGTTTTAAAAAATTTTGAATTGTGAAGTTCGACTTTTGAGTCATAATCTAAAAAGAGAACTTATACCAAAAAGAAAAATCAGCAATCCGAGTGAACTCTGCTTAAAAAATATAAAAAAATAAAAAATCAAACATCAAAGGATTGGCTCTTAAATTATAGTTTTCTCTAATAAAAATAAGTTAAAATGATTTTGAATTAAGGGTTGGTTGAAAGGAAATGATTTAAAACATTTTTTTTATAAAAAAGGAATATAATATATATTTGCTACCAAAGTAACAGATGATTTTGGTAAAACAAGACTTGAAAAATTAAAAACCTAAACTTTCATTGACTAAAATAATTATAAATTAGTTCTTCTATTTTAGAAAGAAATTAAGTAATTTATTTTTATATTAAAAGCTAATTATTTAATTTTTTTTTTACTAGTGTTGATTATGTTTAATTTAATCTTATTTTATTTTATAAAATATCTTTTTTTCATCAATTCTTCTATATTTTTTACTTTTTTTATTTCTTAAAACAAAAAATCAAAATAAATTAAAAAGTAGCAAAAAAAAATACAAAAGAAATTATTAATGTAAAGACTTAATAAATAGTTTTTAAAACAATGAGAACTAATTAATTTGTTTTTCAAAATTAGAGAGACTATTTTGTAATTTACTCAACTTTCATTGGCCATCAGAGTTTTTTTTTCCCCTTCTCTCTGAGGTGGGCTTCTTTTTCCTTAACCATTTTAATTAATTATTTTCTTTTGGGTCACCTACTCCTTCTCGGATTCGAGATGACTAATTAACTTTGTTTAGCCGACTTGGTTTCCATGACTTGCAATACTCCTATTAGGATTTAAATTCTTTTTAAAAAAACGAGGCTATGTATAGGCGTATTTCTCATCCATAGCACTCATCAATTTCACTGATTCTCCAAAGTATAGATAGCCTCGGGAAAGGAGAGAAGAGTTATTATCTCCTAACGTTGATTTCTGTTCCTTTAATTATGGCTTCGAAGTGGACTAAATTGCCTACTGATTTGTTGCGCACGATAGCAGAGATGCTCAGCACATTGAAGGACTTACCTCTGCCGTCAAGGTGTTTGTGAAGGTATGCCTTCAATGCAATGGACCAGTCCAATTTATATAAGCATTATAAGGTGTCTGGGTATTTGGTTCAGTGGGTTGTGATTTGAGGGGTTAATTGGGCCAAACCCTTGGGCAATTTTGTGACAGAAGGCCCATAACTGAATATAAAATATCTGCAATATGTATAAAGCCCACAGGCCTGTCCTTAAGTCCATCCAAACGGAATCGTTGTCCGAATGCCGTTGTTTGTACGCAAGCTAGCCAAAAAAAAGATGCAAGATACTTGCAAAACATGACAAACATATATTAATTCGGAAAAAAAAAAAAAAAAAAAAAGACGATGCATTGTTAAGACTACTTCTCAAAAGTAGCGTGATGGTAAAAACAAGTTGAAGGCCAAGCCTTTTTTTCCCTCTTTTTTTTTGAAAGCCTTATGCACTATGCCCTATTTAGCAAAGGTTCCAATTGAGTTTTTTTGTTAAGGAGAAATGATCGGTTGAATTTGGTTCACAACTAAACTAACCAATACTCGAAGGACGTGTCGTCTCATTTAGCTACTGCTAGACAAAATAATCTCTCTCTCCTCTTGATAAGAAAAAATCTTTCAAAATTTTATAACACTACAAGAATAACTAGTTTTCTACTCCATCAACTCAAATTTATTTTTTTAATTCTCTTCCTAATTTCTCTTTATTCTTTGTGTTTATCCCTCTCTGTATATATTACTTACAAAATAACTTTCACTAATTAATCCTTGAATATTATAAAAATTCTCATTTTATATAATTAGGAATGGAAAAATAAAAACATGATCAAACAACACATAGTTGTTGAAATTTTTTAAAATATTCAATAACTATTCAATATACATTTTATGGATTTATTTTATGTCTTCCGTACCCTATTCCGAACCACTCTACATGAATTAGAAGTGCTTGTGACTTGTAATCAAATCCATTTAAAAATCAATAATAATTTGACGACTAATGTTCTATTAGGAATCAGAGGCCTAAAAAGCTGTTACCAAACACAATTTTTTTCCCTCGATCTCTTTTTATTTATAAAAAGAGATCGATTTATATGCCAATAAATGAGACGGAAAAGCCGGACATGCCTTTGGAAAGCAATATTATATCGCTTTCTTTTATTGAAATGTTATTCTCCCTGTAATTTGCATTCATATCCATACCTCAATAATGTTGAAATTATACATATACATATAAGCAGATAAAGTAGTATACAAACCAGATCTGAAGAGCAGAGGGTAACAGGGGTGGCGAGGAGAGGGAGGAATGATCGGAAATCTATGAGATGGGTGGAGTAGGAAAATTAACAAACATAATATCAAACAACTTAGTTATCTTCCCCGCTCACCGACCCAATAACCTTTCGAAAATCCTACTGTGTGTGTGTGTAAGCAGGTAAAGTAGTATACAAACCAGATCTGAAGAGCAGAGGGTAACAGAGGAGATGAGGAGAGGGAGGAATGATCGGAAACCTATGGGATGGGTGGAGTAGGGAAAATAACAAGCATATTATCAAACAACTTAGTTATCTTCCCCGCTCACCCACCCAATAACCTTCCAAAAATCCTACTCCCTCTCCATTTCCTCCCATCCGAGATGAACTTCCAGCGGCTACCAAAGTAGTTATGAGCCCTTACCCTAGCCTTCCACTCCATTATATAGTGTTGTCAACTTCAACCTAGCTACTTTTACTGTTAACAAACAGATCAACGGTAGCTATTCGTGGAAAGAATGATCTTGGCCGTTCATTCCAACCATTTTAAGTCAATGGGCTTATTCATGTTTCATGACATGTTTGGGCTTGTTCTCATTTCTGTGTGCTGATTTTAAGACATCTCACAAATCATGCATGAACGCTTTGTGTTAGTATAAACACTTTTGATTCATAAGGATAAAGTTGCATGACTTATATATATAATTTATTTTATTTTTATCAAGGGTTATTTTACATGAGTAATGAGTATTTTATGTTCACCTAAAGAACTCGCTCTCTATAGATTATCTTAAAAATAGATAAATTCACGAGTTGTGTGTGTCTGATGTCGATAAAAATTTTTTACTTGTATGTTAATATACAGTTTATATAATAGCTAAATCACTTCAACTTCAAATTTTCACTTTAGTTCATTCATTTGTGTTTTTACTTAATTTTTATTTTTTTCCCTTTAATTCTTTGATGTTGAATTTTACTTTTTCCTTTAATTCTTTGATGTTTGATTTTACTTTTTATGTAATTTATTATTTTACAATTAGTGAGATTTTGGTGAAAATTAAATAAGATGCACTTCTTTTGAGAACAAATATGAATTTACATAACCCAATATGGAATTTCATAAAATTTAAAATCTTATTTATAGAGGTTAGTAAAAGGTTTTTGGCCACAATGAAAATGTTAAAACCTCTAAAAATATCAACTCATGAAGAACGCCTGCTTATAATAAATTCGAAGAACATTACATTGTTTGTTACAATGGATTTGTGTCGAGCACTGCTAGAGATGCATGAGAGTGAAGAAGAAGAACCAGTTATTACAAGACTTCAAAAAATGGTTTCATCGCCATCTTTAAATTCGTAAATATAAAGAAATATTATCATATTTTTAGCTATAAGAGATAAATAATTATTTATAGAAAAATAAGTAAATTTTCAGCACACAGTATACGAATTTGAAAATTTAGTATTCAATTACTAAAAATTCAGTTATAATAAAATCCATAATACTATGATTCGCATGATTGTTATTTATAGTCTAAGGTGATGCTAAAATGACCGCTCTTTATTATTTTTCTTCTCTCAAGTATATGAAAACTAAAAACCCTTCTTTATTATATCTTTAACTAAAAATACTATAAATTTATGAAGCAACAAAACTAAATTTACAAAAAAAATACAAATAACATTAAAATTTATTTGACAGACCATCAAAACAGATAGATAAGAATAAAAATACTCACACAAACAACCAACTTAAATTTATAACAAAAAATATCAGAACACTTTAATGCAAAATATATATAAAATAAAAAAAAATTAACAATTTAACAACTGTGAAATGACTCTAACCTAGTTTATTTAAGTTACAAAATTGTGATTTCACGAATAAAAAGTTTATTTGTAAGTTATAAAATAAGAAATCACGAGTGATGCCAAGGACCATAAACAAATAAACCTTCAAAAAAAAAAAAAAAGTTGGACAAGTACAGGGGAAAGTCAAAAGAGAAAGATGGGTGAATCCGTTTTTTCACTAGCGATGTGGAGTGCCGATCGATTCAAATGTTTTCGTATCTTTGAAACAAAAGTAAAAAAAAAAAAAAAAAAATCGGCTGCAGTGTGGAGCTCCGTGTGAGGCCGCCTACTATCGTTGAAATAGCATGCAAAGCCCGTGGGCCAACTTAAGTCAATCCAAACCAAAATTTTAACTGACTGTCCCAAGCTGTCAGGGCCTCTGCTTTTAACCGCTAGGATTCAGGGTGGACTTGTTAAAAACAGTAAATAAATATTTTTAATTTTAATTTTATTACAAAGTAGTCTATAGCAAAGAACAAAAATTTCACTCTCTTGGGGAGTAAAAATTCTTCTACTCACACATGGCAATTTCGAACAGCCGTGTGTGGATAGCATTGAAGGAGGGTTATGTTTTTTTAATCATACATTGTTTACAACATATAGGCTAAAATCTCAATAACTTTATTTTTATAAGAGAATTTATTCTGTTATTTTTTAGCATTTGGATGAATAAAAAGTTAAAAAAATAATCTTTTTTTATTTTTCAATTATCCTTATGAATATTTACAAGGACAAAAATACCAAAGGATAAAAAGAAGAAAACAAATGTAGGTTTAACTTGATTGCATGTAAGTTATAAAAGATGAATGAAATTCAAGAATATTGACGTTATTTAAACAAGAAGTCTTGAATTCTAATAATTATATATACAAAAAAAATTTTAAATAACCGTATTCGAGTTATACGTCCGATGAAAGAGCGAATAATTAATCTATATTTTTAAATCTGAAATATCACAAATAATAAATGAATGCACTTACAATCTCAATTAAATGAGATTTCATATATTACTGGCACACAATTGTTTACGTATACATTGTGAAAAAGTAGAATTTCAATCAGATAAATGCCTTGCTATCTTCCTAATGGACTTACACAAAACCCTCTTTTTTTTAAATGGTACGAATGCATTTGCATGAAAAAAGACACTTCGTACATGTTTGACTTCATCGAAAATCAAACCTTAATTTGCAATAATTTAAAGTTTCCAAGGTTGATGTATAACCATAATTATCAAAAAATAATAACTGCTGTGGACTATTTCATTAGGGGAATCGTAATTACCAATTTTCCTACTACAAGAGGGACTTGATTATCCATCATCTTTCTTCATATTAAAAAAAAAAAAAGGTTTGAATATGATGATCAATTACATTTTTTCTTAAGTAAAAATGATTATTTGAGAAATTAATTATGAACTCCTGCCAAATTTTTGTATTTTACTTTACCAACTCTCTAGCCTTATGGATCAAGATCGACAGCATAGAATTAGGTGTGCTCGTAATCTGTCAATTTAATTCACCAGGGGTTGGTGAATGTTCAATGTTACAGCTTATCTTTTAAGCGTGCTCATCATCTTTTAGTTCATCAAGTTTTATGATTACTGATTAATTTTGTCAATTAAAAACAATAGATTTTTTCAATATTTATATCATATAGTTTTTATTTTTATTTTATTGAAACTCTTTATTATTTTTTTTTATACTGAATTGAAACTCTTTGTTATTCAAAATTTATTGTTTTCTTTATAACACCACTAATCAATAATCAATGTATTACCTCTTTTTTTAAATTTCGTATTTTACAATGTCATTTGTCCATTATTGATTGTGGCATTATAATAAAAGATCTAAAATAAAAAAATCTGAAAGAATAGAAAGTTTTAATTAAACTAATAAACAACTGAATATCTCAATTAAAAACAAATAAAAAATTTCAATTAAAAAAAATTCGAAAAATATATGACCGGATTACGGAAAAAGCCCTTCAAAATTTACCTACTTTTGCCAAATTAAGCCTTTTTTTCCTTAATTGTTTATTTTACTTATCCTATGTCAAGCGTCACGTTTAACATTGGTTGATGATTAGATAAAGCTTAACAGGTCTTAGACCAACATTGACAAAGCAAATGGATGTGCAGATTAGGGTATTAACTATTAGGAATTATACTTGGAATGCCCAATAAATTTCTATCCAATAAGGAAAGCTTCATAATCAGCCCAGCTGTATTAATATTAAATTCTGGTAGGCAAGTATGGTTTGCTAAGTCACACCTTCACAATTTGACCAAACTCTAGTCCATCTCTCAAACAAGACAGACACGGTCAAGACACAAAAAAAAACCTTGTGCCAGTTGATGTTCCGATTTTATCTTCTTAGGACACAAATATATAAAGCCATGTAAGAATGAGAGATCGAAAATTTTGTTCAGAGAGAGTTCAATAAGAAGAGAAATGGAGAAACGAGCAGCATCAGCACCAAAAAGGGTCTTGAAATTTCTACCAAAAGCTGCTTCTGCCATCAACTTCCATAGCCTTCCATTTAGCCCAGGTAGAGATAAGAGATCAGAAAACACACACAAGCACAAAGCCATTGTCGGCAGAGGAGCTAATCCTATCAGGTCGATGATCCCAGTTGAAGTTAGAAGACAGCCGACGAATGAAAGCTTTGAGACCCAAGAAGAACCCACCTCACCAAAGATCTCGTGTATGGGCCAAATCAAGCACAAGAGGAAGATGAACAAAGCCACTTACAAGCATATTTCACCTCCTCAAGATACAAAGCCTGTGTCACAGGCTCCGAATCAGGTAAAGAAGCAGGCATCTAAACTTAAGAGACTCTTTACTGGATCAAAAGCAGGAAGGAAATCTAATGCTTCAGATGGTGATAAGCCAACAGTTCCTGATAGGGCACCTTCATTAAGTCAAATGAAAAGGTTTGCAAGTGGTCGTGATACTTTGGCAAGTTTTGATTGGACCGGTCATCAGATTGCACCAATGAGATCTGATCACAGGGATTGTTATTCTGATGAAGAAAGGGACGATGGCTTTGGAGAAGAAGACGAAGATGATGAAGAGGTTATTATTCCTTTCTCGGCACCTATAATGGTAGGTGGAGGAGTAGACTTGCTACCGAGGAAAGAAGTTAATATTTGGAAGAGAAGAACCATGAATCCACCCAGGCCTCTTCAATTGAGATCCAATTTGGTATGATCAGACTAATTAGTACAATTTTTTTCTTTATTTGTCGAAGTATGCAAATATGTTCTTTGTTTTTCTTAAATCTAAAATTCTGCAAGAAGGCAAAAATGGAACATGTTAGGTAAAATTGCAAAGAAATTTGTACAAAATGTGTTCGTTGGATTTTTTCTTATGATTGCTTGGAGTTGGTATGGAAATTAAAGCGACAACTAATGATTAATCCAACAAGCATCGGAAGGTTGTGGCAATGCCAAAAATTGATCAACTGGCAGCAAGACAAATTTACTTTATTTGTTTGGTTTTGTTTTCTTCCGCAACAAAAATCTTGTAGTAGGTAGTCCTTTCGAAGAAGGCTTCTAAAATTCTAACCGCGCGAAAAAGTAGAATTTTATATGTACATTCTCACACGTTGGAAATACGATACATTTCTTCATAAAAAATTAACAATTTTGGCAGCTGCCTCCGTTGAAAATGTAACCGTACTAAATTAATGATTTTCCTCGTCCTTCTGTATATTTTGTATTTAAAAAGATTCTTTTATTATTTTTTATTTTAATATCAGTGTTGTACTTCACACTTTTTTCATAGTTTGTGTCACTAATATCGTTAAAAATAACTTAACACGTGTTGCGTGCTCATAGTATGAACTTTTGCTCATATACATTTTGGTCTTAGAATTATTTGAAAATTTCATTGAAATTTTTTTTGTCATCATATTTTGTAGTCACATAAATTAGTCCCTTAATGATTTTTTTAATTAAGTCCCTACATATCAAATTGTAAATTTAGATAAAATTATTTATTTAATTAAGATGGATTGATGGATAAGGTAAGAGTTAAGTAGATTTAAATAGGTATGTCCGTTTAAATTCATAAAAAAAATATTTTTTTATAATAAATTATATCTATTCTTAGAATTTTTTTCCTTTTTTATTTTTAAATTTTTTTTTTGTCTAGGTTAATTTAGATTTAAATCATGAAAAAAAATTAAAGAAAGAAAATAAAAAACATTATAGTAGCTATATGATATCATAAGAAACCAATTTTGTTTTTAAAAAATAGAATACCTATTTAAATCCATTGAACTCATTTAAATTATTTAAGTAATGTTTGTTAAGTTTATAATTTGACATATAGGGACTTATTTTAAAAAATCATCCAGGACTAAATTGTATATGACTATAAAATACAATGATCAAACAAAACTAAATTAAAATTGAAAAAGTATATAATATAATGACCATAATAACATTTTCAATGAAGTTCCAGAGACTAAATGTACTGTAACAAAAAATTTATACTGTGAACGCCAAACATATGTCAATTTTTAACTATTTTAATGAGACAGAATCAAGAAAGGATGTATAGATAATAAAAATATAAAGTACATGATTTTTATTAAAATAAAAAAATAAATGGACTTTTTAAATATGAAACAAAGAGCATAGGAATATAAGAAATGTATTAACCCACCATAAATTAAGGTAAGTAGTGGCTTTTGAGTCCAATCAAAGACGTTTGAAAGGATATCGGCAATTTCCTGTGTGTTTTATGTTGCAATACATGTCGCTTGCGTGCTAACAATAGCCCATCCTGCTTGACATGGACGTAGTGTCGGTTGAATCTACGGCTGAAATCTTCAGCCATTTATACCTGGCCGGTAGTTGATTTTTTTTAGAAAGTACTCGAGATATTACATGGCTTTCCTTTAACAGTGTTTGTTTTGTAGTTGAAATAATATTTGTCAAAAGTATCAAAAAATAGTATTTCTCCTGCATATCTTGGAATTCAATCTTTTTATAAGTTTTAAATATTTATTTTTTTCTAGAGTTTCTAAGATTTTCTCGATTCTAGTGATGCGACAAAAGATTTATGGTGTTTTTTAGTTGTTATTATTAATCACAAACTCCTGTAATAAATATAATTTTATTGATTAGTTAATAAACACATATAAAAAATCGTGCTTTATATATATATATCATTTTTAATACATAATTTTTATCGTTTTTAATTACAAGTATTGTTATCTATTGATTTATTGAATTAAAAAATTTATTGTTTTTTTAATAATAAATCATATCAACTCATGATGAATCCAATGGACTAAGTTCCTAAATTAAATTTGGAACAGTAAAAATATCACGATCATCGCTGTATCCCACAAACACGTGTCTCGGTTCCTCTGACCTGTTATGCGTCCACAACCTCAAACTGTGTCTGGTCCCTCTTCTGGCTACCAAAAGTCCAAAACTAGATTCAACCCATAAACAAAAAAACCCAGCCCATGCCCCATATCATCTTCCAACCCAATGTGAAAGTCCAGTTTGACCACAAAATCCCTGTAATAACCGACAAAAAACCTCGAAAAATATTTTTCTTATTTCTTTTTTTTCCGGGTATTTAAGGAGATTATATATATATATATAATTGCTTTTTTATTTTTGGATTAACAGTTCAAATTTATTCTTATACAATAGAGTATTTTTTAATCTATTTTCAATTGATTTAATTTTATTTTTAAGTATAAACTAAGTATCAAATTTATCAATTTAGTAAGATTTTAAAACTAAACTATTAGAATTAGTTACACGGTTTGTATATAAAAATCTTATATCTAACTGATTTATAAAAATATTTTAAAAATAAAAATTAATCATATATAAATAAAAATAATATTTTTGGAGGTTTGGCCTAAAAAGTTTGATATGAAAAAGCAAATTAATAATTTATTATATATTTAAAAATAAAATTAATTCAATTAAAAATATAAAAAATAGATTAATTCAATTAAAAATATAAAAATTATCTTATTATATAAAAATAAATTAAGCTGCAAATCTTTTCTTTCAAGAAGCATTATAACAGTACAAGACCTGCCGCCCCTTTCAATACAGATCCATCTTATTGGTCAATCTGTAACAATTTCTACAGGATAAATTGTCAACTCCCATCACCATTATTGGACTTGTGTAGCCTTTGCTTTAAAATTCATTGTTCCAAATTTGCCAAATTGAGCTACAAAGGAAAGCAACATTCCAATCAATTTCAAGGACAATCGTGCTGAACCTGTGCTCTCTATTGTATAGAGGAACAAAAACTCTGCCTTCAAAATATCCAAAAACAGGGGAAAGGGATGAGGAAGGACAACGAACTTCGTTTTTGTGGGTTTTAGCTATGTAACAGTCACAATATAGCAGAGAAAATTTAGCAACTTGTGATCAAAATATGAGCCATCCCCAACTCAAAAATTGTTATATTGCATCACATTATCAATTTTTTTCATAGGTTTAGACGATCATTCTGTTATTGGAGTATCATATTTTAGACAAGATTTCTGTTAATTATTGCAAAACAAATCAGCCATCGTTTTATCGATTGATTTTCAAGTAAAAGTAACTAGTCACATCCAAGATCAAAAGATGGATAAAATGATAGAAATAAGAAACAATTGATAATAGCCAACAAGGTATACAATGGCATTGAAAATGTAGTCAACAGAGCCCGTTTGACAATAGGATTTGGCATGAAATTTTACGAGCTCTAATTCAACTTCTTTGCCTGTCTGAATTTGTTGGCCACTTCTCATAACTCATTTTTATCTATACAATTACAGTTCCTTCAGCAAATGACGAAATTTTTTTGTAAATTATACTCTAATAGGTAACACGAACTCCTTGGTATCTAAGAATTTCTCCAATAAGCTCTCCTTTGCCAGAGCCCACGTACCTTCCAGAAATCTTACCATCTCTGATGAACAAGAAAGTGGGCACCTCAATAACATCCATGTCCTTCAAGAACTGCATGCAGCTATCATTCTCATCGCCATTCATGCGTGCAAACACCACAGTATCAGACATCTGCCTTGACAATTTAATCACCGTTGGATAAACCTTCACGCATGGCCCACAATGCTTCAACCCCACATCAAGAACAATCAACTTGTGATCAGCTCTATGATCATCAATCAACTTCTCCACATCTTCTCTGCAATGCAGCTGTACAACAGCAGAGTGATTATCGCCGTAGTATAAAACATCCCCCATCAGCTTGTCTTGGGTAATCCCTTTTTCTTCATGAATCTTCTCCATGCTCTTGTAGAAGCTGAAGTGTGGAACTTTTTCTATTTTTTCTCTATCGCAAAGCTCTCTAGTCTTCTCTGATTCATCTGCCATCACAAGAAGGAAATCTACATCGTTGCAGGTTCTGCTAAGTTCTACCATAAAAGGGTAGATTTTACTGCTATGGTAACTGTGGCTTGCTGCATATTCTACAACAACAAGCTTGTCTTTCGCTGCTCTAAGTGCTTCATCGAACTCCTCTACGTTGTGAATTTTCTGTACTTTTTCATCCTTAATAGGTTTTTTGGTTTCTGGACCAGCGGTAGCCTTTGTAATAAAGTATGTTCTGCTTGTACCAGGTTTTGCTGCCAGAGGTTTAACTTCTTTAGTAACAAAGGGTACCAAAAAGGAACTGTGCAAACAAGGAGGGCTTAATTTAGGGATTTTTGAAAGAGATGATGGTGGTTTTGACAAAAAATTTGTGATGGTAGCCATGGAAAGAAGCTTGCAGAGAAAAGGTCTAGGCAATTGAGAACCTGGGAGGAGCTAAGCACAAATCATAAAGGAGAAGAGAGCCATGGAATTATCGTGAAAATCTTAGGGACCATAAATGGTGTCCACACATTTGTTTTGTGATTCTTATCATCCCACAGATGGGTGGGGCTAGATTTTTTTGACCCTTTTTTCTCTTTACTCTTTAGCATATCCTTTTGGATAATTTTTCGTCTGTTTTCATATAATGGATTTAGTATAGAATCTGGTTTAATATCTTAAAATAAATTAATTATATTTTTATATTTTAAGTGAATTTTTAATTTATTATTCTGATTAATATTTTTAGTCAAACCACCGTAAAAAAAATCGCATGATTATCTAGGAGAATAACAAAGGATGGTTCTGAATCTTTAAATTTAACATATTTGAAGGATCCACAACAAAAACCGTTTGACTTCACATAATTATTTGAAGTAACGTTTTACTTTCATAGGGGCACTTTTAGTTAAAAAAATTAGTCATGTGACCTTTTTTAATATTTTTGTCCAAAACATTTATTAAAAAATAAATTAAAAACTCATTTTAAAATATAAGAATTCACAAATTTTATGAGCGGAAGGTCATCGGTGCTAAAGTTAGTTGGGCTCTAATAAAAAGGTATAATAAATGGATCTCTGCATATAGGATCCGTAATTGTTTGGGCTCAGCTTAAAGAGCTCTACAGCTACTGGCCATTTTCTTTCTTTGGGTTTTTCAGACGCGAGCGGAGAACACGGGCAGCTGGCTTGGGATACAAAAACAAGAGAAAACGTAAATGCCTTGACATTTGTCGGATTCTTTCACAATCCCTCTTCCGTTTGGTCACTTTTCTTCATTTTAGCTCTTCCATGGCTTCTATCTTACGTTCTGGAATAATAACTTGCTCATCTTTGAAAGAAGCAACGGCGGCTAAGGCTGTTTGGCATCTGTAATCTTACGGTTGCAAGTGAGTATTAGTGATCTGAATTCTTAGAAAATTTGTGGTACTAAAAGAAGGGAAGCTTACATTTGTCCCTATGCCTATAAAATATGTAAGTCTATTAACTGGATAAATACATTCACTATGCCTGTTTTACTCGGCATTTATGTTGAGATTACTAGTCCATCAATCAATTTAGGTTTTTTTTTTTTTTTTTGAAATAACATTAACCTTAGAGTTTTTTCATCAATTTAATCTGATTTTTATTATCAAACACGTTTACAGATATCATTGAGCTAAAAAGCTTTTTCAGAAATATAAAATTTAATATGCAATGATATATCCTTGCGATGTCAATATCCTAGTTGGACATGAATCGGAAACTTACGGGTTTTTTTTTCAAGAACTATAAATTATTTCATCTAATTTCCACAAATTAATTAATTAGTTTTTTTGTTTTGAAAAATTATTATACGTAACCAACACTGATTAAATAATTAATATTTAAAATAAAAAAAGAATTAATTTATTTATTAAAACTAAAGAGACTTTGTAATTTATTCGTTTTTTTTTTTATTCAGGAATCAACAGTCAATCCCTCAATTTGATGGACCCGAACATGGAACTTGATTGCATTTTTTCTTCTTTCAATCAAAATAAGCCGAAACCATAGTGATCAAAGAAAACAGAAAATCAACCAAACTCAATGAATATCTGCTAATTCAAACTTGCAACAGAGTTGATATCTTTCGATACAATTCAACTCAGCTGGGTTGATATCTCTTGATACAATTCAACTAGCAGGACAGTTGGGGCTAACCGAGCAGTTGAGATGGTGTTTCCGTTTACGACAAACTTGTTTGATTCTATTTTCTTGCTCGTAAGTGTGGAACGTTTTCTATTCTCTCTTTAGTCTTCTCTGATTCTATCTCCCATCACAGAAAGGAAATCTACATTGCAGGTTCTGCTAAGTTCTACCATAAAAAGAAACTGTGCAAAGAAGGAGGACTTGATTTAAGGATGTTTGAAAGAGATGTTGGTGGTTTTGACAAAATATTTGTGATGGTAGCCATGGAAAGAAGCTTGTCGAGAAGAGGTCTAGGCATTTGAGAATCATAAAGGAGAAGAGAGCTTACGAATTATCATGAAATCTTGTGACGTATCCACATATTTGTTTTGCGATTCTTATTATCTACAGTGAGCTGGGGCACGACTTTTGTGACACTCTTTTTGCGATCCCCACATTTGTTTTGTGATTCTTATCATCTACCAGTTAGGAGGGGCTAGATTTTTAGGACACTTTTCTTTTTAGTTTTTAGCATACTACTTTGGGATAAGGTTCGGTTTTTCTTTGGTGTCGACATTTATTATTATTTTTTTTTGTATTTAAAAATAAATTAATTATTTTTTGTTTTTAAAGTAAATATTTAATATATTCTTTAGTAATTTTCTTTTCAGTTAAACTGCTGAAAAAAAGTCCCTTAAATTAAATACTTTGAAGTAAATTAATTATTTTTTGTATTTAAAGTAAATCTTTAACATATTTTTTAATAGTTCTTTTTTCAGTTAGTCTGCTGAAAAAAGTCCTGTAACTTACATATAATTTTTTATTTTTCAAAACTACCTTTAAACCAAAGGTGTGTAAATGATGTTTTATTTTTTAAAAGATATTTTTGTTAAAAAAAAAAAAAAAAGGTCACGTGTCCTGTATTTTTTTCTATAGTTCGGCTGAAAGTTTTTCCTAAATTAATTTATTTAAAATATAAAAATTTAATTGGCTTATTTTTTGAATTTAAGAACAAATTGAATATTAAACTAATTATATAAGTATATATTAAGCATTTCCCTTATTCTTTTTCCTGGTCAGAGAATCGGCTTAAGGTCAGAGATGCTAAAATTAGTTGGGCTTCAATAAAAAGGTGTAATAAATGGATCTCTACATACAGGATCCATAGTTGTTTGGGCTGAGCTTTAGCAGCTTTACAGCTACTGGGCAGTTTCTTTCTTGGGTTTTTCCGACGGGAGCACGGAACACAAGCAACTGGGTTACGGGGACAAAACAAAAGAAAGCGTACATGTCTTAACATATGCCGGATTGCTTCAGTCCTGCATTTAGAAATTGCTAGGTATAAAATGAATATCGATTTTATCCGATTCAATAACTACTAATTAAGAATGTTTAATGAGTATTGAAGTGAGTAAAAGTAAAAAAATGTACATCTACTAATATAATTTTAGGATATAGATTGCCACTCTTTACCTTATCAATATCCATTAATTTATTTAGATTTTTTTATTAATGTTTAAAAATATAACTGTATAAAATTTAAACATGAAGGATTAAAATATATATTTTAAACACTTTGAGGACTAAAAACTTATAAATAAATGATCAATAAATTTTAAGGATTAAAAAGGCTTTTCTTGAAAATTATAGAGACTAAAATAAATATTTTTGACAAATTAAATTTATCCATTTCAAGGAGTAAATTAATGTAAGTCAAATATAGATTAGATAAAGATTTATATAATGATTTCTTAATAAATAAATATTTTTTTATATAATTAGATTAAAAAATTAAATTAATAATCTAAGTACTCGTCCGTTACCATCACTGCCTGCATTTGAAATAAGCGATCACAATCACTCTTTCGTTTCGTCAGTTTTCTTCATTTTAGCTGTTCTTCCATGGCCACTGTCTTACCTTCTAGAATAATAACTCGCTCATCTTGTAAAGAAGCAACTGCGCCTAAGGATCTGTTTGGCGTCTATAATCTTATGGTCGAAAGTATTATTGATCTGAATTCTTAGAAAATTTATGGTACCAAAAAAAAAAAAAAAAAGATCACAAGCTTTTAATATGCCTGTTTTACATGGCAATTATCTTGAAATTATTAGTCCATCCATCTATCTAATATTTTATTCAGAAATAACTCTAACCTTAAAGTCTTTCCATCAATCTAATAATTTGAATTTTGAAATAAAATTAACCTTAAAAGTTTCCGCGTTTCATTACTTTTATATAAGGATTTTATAGTTCTGATTTTTATTATGCTATATAAAAAAGAATCAACCTTTAAATAATTTTGCATTTACTTTTATTAGGATTTTTAGAGTTCTGAGTTTTATTACCAAACAGGTGTAAAGATGTGCTGAGCCCAAAAGCCTTTTGAAAAATACGAGATCTGAACCAGTGCAATGATCTGTCCTTTTGTCAATATCTTAGCAGGAAATGAGCTGGAAACTTCCGGATTTTTATGGGTAAATTATAAATTATTTTCTTTTAATTTTCAGAAAGAAATTAATTAGTCTTTTTTTATTTAAAAAATTATAATAATTTTTTAAATAAAAACTAATTAATTCATTTCTTGAAACTAAAAAACTATTTTATAATTTATTCTTTTTACTCAAGAATCAACCGTGAATCCCTCAATGTGAGGACGCATTTCGTTTCCAATCTAAATCAGCCGAAACCACAATGATCCAAAAGAACAGAAAACCAACCAATCTCAACGAATATCTGGTATGAAGATCTTAAAGACTCGTATGTGATGGTACCATTTTAGAAAATAAATTATATCAAAGAGAAAGTAATTGAGGTCCAGGTAATACTTGGATCACCAGAAAAACTATGAAAGGTGCCTTTTCCTTCATCAAGGAAAGTCAAATTTATTGCAAAACATCATAAATAATTCAGAACAGCGACCCCATGAATAATTCTTCATTCGATACTTTAACATGAATAATCCTTCCTTCAATACTTTATTTCCTTAAATTGAGTTTTGGGCTTGGCCAGTTTCTCTCAAATTTATCGCAAAACATCATAGAACAGCGACCCCATGAATAATCCTTCCTTCAATTGAGGTTTGGCCTTTGCCAGTTTCTCCGTACTGCCCAAAACCTGGCTCAACATTCGATTCATTTCCTGACTAACCAACTGTCAGAACACCGGGACCATGGTCCATCGTTCAATTAATACTCAAGCTTTTACTACCCCTTCAAATGCCCAAAATCCAGTCCAATCAATAAATGCCTGGCAAA